GATGGAGGGAGGCTGGGGACAGACAGACAAAGGAGGACGTCAGGAAGGCAGGGAAGCCACGCCAGGAATGGCTGAGTGGGCGCATGAGTCACAGCGGAGGACACGGGACTGGGGCAGCGAGCGGATCCCGGTCAGGCGTGCCTGATGGAAGCGCACATGCCCCTGTCCTTGGCATGTGGTCGGCCGCTCGGGGCAGAGAGAACGGACTTGGGAGTCGTTGCTTGAGGAGCCACGCACAGAGCAGCCAGCACTGACCCATGCAGGGTGCACCCGGCGGGAAAACAGGGCCCCGGGGTGCAGGGAAGAGGTCCCTCCTGGGGGAGGCAGAGGAGCTGAGAGGAGGAAGAGGAGGGAGGGAGGCAGAGAGAAGAGAGGAGGATGAAGAGGAAACCCAGACAGGAGCCGGGAGGGTGCAGGGTGGCAGGAGCTGGGAGAGCGGAGCCCGGGGGACCGTGGCCAGCAGACCAACCATGAGACGGACACAGAGCCGTCGCCTGCGCCGCACCTGCCGAGGGTCTGTGCCAGGGAAGGCGGAGGCAGCGGGCAGACAGTGAGTGAGTGTGAAGTCCCCATCTCAGACATGGTGACGAAGGAGCGGCTCAGACAGAGCCATCATCCAGGACTCCTCAGAAAAGGGGGTTTTGGGTGGAGTGACTTCAGGCCGGCAGAGACGGAGAGGTTAGAGATTCTTGGGGGGAAGAGGGACATGGAATCAAGTCCTTGAGACGAGAGGAGCTCCAAGCCCCTGCAGTTAACAGGCAGCACAACTAGCTACGGCCCCTGGGGAGACGGTTTGTCACCCCCATTTGAAGCAGGAAAAATGGAGCCCTGAGGGGGAAGAGACGGGCCTCTGACACAGAGGCGGTCAGTCCTGGGCTGCATGAGACCACCTGTCTTTCTGGGCCACAAAGGCCCTTCCAGGCCAGGGCGGGGCTGGCCGCCCGCAGTCCAGGAGGGGAATGCAGGGAGGGTCCCCAGCACACTGCGGGGGGGGCTGTGGGAGAGGCTTGGGGAGGAGGAGACGGAGCCCGGAGGAAAGCGAGGCACCTCCACCCCGGCAGCAGCTGCTCCCAAATATGTCACAACTTGTCAAAGCGGCAGAAATAGAAGCTGCCCCGGAGTGGGCGGGTACGGCCCGGGGGCCTTCTGAGCCCCAAGGAGGGCAGGAGGGGGCGGAAGGGAGGGGGCAGGAGGGAGAGGCCGTGGTAAGTAGGACAGGGATGCCAGGCCTAGGTGGGCTGGCCCGGCTCCAGGGAGCCATCCAGTGCCTCTGGCGAGCCTGAGCGTGGGGCGGAGGTGGCGACAGGAAAGGCAGAACCGGCCAGGCGCTCGGTCCGCACTGACCCCCGAGGCCGCTCCTCAGGGTGCTGCCCGGCTCACAGGCCTCTCGGAGAGGCCCTCCTGCCCGAGCGTGAGCGCCCTGCAGGCCACAGGCTTCAGGGGCCACTCGGGTCCCTCAGTGCAGCACCTGCCTCACACACAGGGGAGCAGGGAGGAGGAGGGCAGCGCGCCCTCACTTCCAGTCCAGGGCTCCCTCTTCCATGGTCCCTTCCTGAGGGCCCAGCTCCGGGAACCACTGGGAACTCGAACCCTTCCCCGCCCCCAAGGCCCAGGTGCACACCGCCCACACCCTGCAGGCCCGTCAGGCTCTGTGACCACCAAGCACCTCCTCGGACCGTCCCCGGACCCTCCTGTCCCTCCAGGCCTCGCCCTCGCCCGCCCAGCAGAGGCCAGAGATTCTTGGCAAGTGCCCTGCGCTGAGGGACCTGGCGCTGGGCCGACTCCGGCAGGAGGGACTTCCCAGGGTGATCTGAGGCTTGTCCTCAGAGGAAAAGGACACCGTGTGGGCCGTCCCTCCAGGCCCTCCCCTCCAGCGCTTCCCCCTCCCCCTCCAGAGAGCTGGTGCTGGTCGGCACCCATTGCTCTGGCTGCTGGGGCCCCAGCCTGGACCCAATGAGGGACCCAGCACGGAGAACAGAGACCCAGCCATCTCTGCGGAAGCCAAAGGCTCTCCCTCCCCGATTTTCAGCACCTGAGGCTCTGGACCGGGAACCTGGTCCCGGTGTTAGCCAATCAGCTTGGCAGCCCAGGCCCGCCCACCTGCGAAGCCGGCTGGGCCTGGGAGATGCTGGGGAGCCGAGGGGGAGGAGGGAGCAGGGAGCAGGGAGCAGGTGAAGGGGGTTTCCGGGACCATGCAAACGAGGCCAGGCACACAGGGAGGAGCGGTCACGCTGGGACGGTGGTGGGGCGAGGGCTGCCTCTGGAGGGGCCTCTGTGCCCAGGCCAGTGGTGGGGATTAGGGCCTGACGCCCCGCTGTCAGGTCGCAGCTGATGGATCTCCACTGCTGGCAGCACAAAGACGCTCTGTGGTGGCCCCAATGTGTCCCTGTCCATCAGAGGGCGGCTTGGGGGGGGGGGGTGCCAGGGGAGGAAGGCCAGGTCTCCAGGTGCCCTTCCCTGCATCGCGGCTCCAAGAGGAGCAAGGTGGGTGGAGGGACAGCCCCCCTTTGGGGGGTTGATGTCAGAGACACCCGAGTTGCCCTATCTTCCGAGTCCTGGGAGGGCGAGTGCCCCAGAGCGGGGCCCGGGCATGGTCCCTGGCCATTGACTGACAGACACACAAACATGTCTACACACGGAGTCACGGAGACACAGGCGCACAGGGTCAGCCTGGCCTCAGGGAACTGAGTTCTGCGGGTCTGGAGTGAAGGCCACTCCTTCCCCGGGGCCACAGCACCCCTCCCAGGGTCACACCACCCCTCCCTGAGGCCACAGCACCCCTCTCCGGGGCCACAGCACCCTCCCCGGGGCCACACCACCCTCCCCAGGGTCACACCACCCCTCTCAGGGCCACACCACCCTCTCCAGGCCACAGCACCCTCCCCAGGCCATAGCACCCTCCCCGGGGCCACAGCACCCTCCCCAGGCCACAGCACCCTCCCCAGGCCACAGTACCCTCCCCAGGCCACAGCACCCCTCGGTGCTACGCCGCTCATTGCCTACCTCGGTGAGCACACTGTGTGCAGAAGGTGGTGAGTGTTACAGGCCTGTTCACGTCTTACTCAGGCCTCGGGTCCCGGCGCCCAGCACACATAGGCCAGACCTGTTTCTTGACAGAAAGAGTAACGAATACCTCTGTCCCCGGCGAGCAGGAGGTGTCCCTCCCTTGTTCCTGGTGCTCTGGCTCCCGGGAGGCTGTGCAGAGAGCCGGGGACTCGGCCTCAGGGAGGCCAGGTGGGGAGGAGGTGTCTCATGTGCCCGGTGAGTGCACACACACACACACACACACACACACACACACACACACCATCCTTTGCCAGCGAACATGCCCATCCTCCCCGTCCACGCGTCCTCCTGCCTCTAAGCCGGCCGTTCTACCCCCAGGACCTCACGCCTCGCTCCCGAAGGCCGGCCGTCCTCTCCCATGGGTGCCCCTGCCTGACTTCCAAGTCCCTCCATCACTGCTGGGTGCCCCCTTCTCTGCAGGCTTGTCCCAAACCCTGAGCTCCATCGACCCGTCCCCCGTCCCCTCCACCTCTCACCTGGACCCTGCGTGACCTCCTGGACCCAGCGGTGCTCTCCTCCTCCCACGCCCGACGCAGACTCTCTGCAAGCTCCTGACACACCTGCTCGAGGAACCCACGCGTGTACACACGGCGCAGCCCCACGCGTGTGCACACGGGAAACGGGACCAACTCCCTGGCACTGTAACGGGACCTCCCGCTCCGGCCGGCTCAGCAGCTAGAGCGTGAGATCCCGGACTCCCCGCGAGGCCAGCCCGGTCCTCCCGCTCCCCTTCCTCCAGGACATGGACACGCTGACCGGAGAGACAAGGCCCGTTGGGTCCCAAAAGGACAGAACGATGCCATTTCTGGGTTTCCATAGTAACTCCAGCATCCCTCCTGTTCTAAGGGCCCCTAGGTTTCGCGTGTAGTAACCCTGAAGCCCTAACGTGAGCCTTGTCCACTCCCGCCCCCACTGGACGGCAGCACGGGTCCTCTCTGACCCAAGGCCTCTGCCAAGAGGGGACCCCGCACTGAGAGGCCCAGGGGTGAGCCAGTCCCTCCTGCTCTCGCATTCGAGAGAGACCTGCAGGACGGTGGCCATGAAGGCTCAGACAGGAAGAGGCAGAGCCAGCCAGGAGGCCAGGAGCCGGGAGATTGAAATTGTATGGAGGGGCTCTGCTCCCCGCACCCCCCACCATGATGGAGAGGACTCGGGGAAACCTTGGGACCGATTGAGGCAGAAACAGACTGGAGGACATGACGTAGGAGGATTCAGGGGAGGGAGGGTGGAGAGGCAGGGTCCCCCAGACATGACTTTCCACAGCTGGAGGGTGGCAACCTGACCAGCGTATTCTAGGCTCCCACTGGCCGTGCCACAAACCCCGAGTTCCTCTTCCCTCCAGGTACCCCCATAATTGGGCCCTGGGAGACACGGCCAAGGCTGCTGTGGAGACCAGAAGGGCAGGCCAAGTGGCCCTTCGACCGGCCTTCTCGCCCCCGGACACGCCTGTCCAGACGGGCAGCAGCCTGCCCTCTGAGAGGGACTCCTGTCTGGCCGCGACTCTCAGGGCTGCCAGGAAGCAGGCGATGGATTGACGTAGGACCCCTGCCAGCCGAAGCCCACCCGCCGGCCCCTGCTCTGGCTCTTTGGGACCAGCCACAGGGGCAGGCAGGCCCCCGCCAGGAGTAATTGAAAGGAGCAGATGAGAATGTGTTCCCCACCTCCCCTGCCCGCCCCAGGGGGGGCCGCCGAGAAATGAAAACTAATCAAATTACAGCCGACGGCCTCCCTCCGGGCCCAGGAGCCCAGAGCTGGCCGGGGCAGGCGGGCAGGCAGGCTGGGTGGGTGGGTGGAGGCCGGGGCGGGCGGGCAGGGGGGGTCACGTCTAATCCACTGTGAACGTCTTGATGTGCAGCAACAGCTTAGAGGGGGCTCAGGTTTCCGCGGCGTTGGCTATATTTATCTCTGGTTCCGTGCCAGCGGGGAGGGTTTAAATGGCACCCAGCAGTTGGCGTGAGGGGCTGCGGGAGCTCGGGGGCCGGTGGCAGGAACCAGCCTCTTCCGACCCCATGGAGCTGTACGAGACGCCCCCCTGCTTCTACCAGGAGCCCCACTTCTTCGACGGGGAGAACTACCTGCCCACCCACCTGCAGGGCTTCGAGCCGCCCGGCTACGAGCGCGCCGCGCTCAGCCTGAGCCCCGAGGCCCGGGGGCCCCTCTACGACAAGGGCCTGGGGACCCCCGAGCACTGCCCGGGCCAGTGCCTGCCCTGGGCGTGCAAGGCGTGCAAGCGGAAGTCGGTGTCGGTGGACCGGCGGCGGGCGGCCACGCTGAGGGAGAAGCGCCGGCTCAAGAAGGTGAACGAGGCCTTCGAGGCGCTCAAACGCAGCGCCCTGCTGAACCCCAACCAGCGGCTGCCCAAGGTGGAGATCCTGCGCAGCGCCATCCAGTACATCGAGCGCCTGCAGGCCCTGCTCAGCTCCCTCCGCCAGGAGGAGCGCGGGCTGCGCTGCCCGCGGGGCGGGCCCCAGGCCGGGGTAAGTGGCTGCCCGCCTGCGGGGGGGGGGGGGGGGCAGCCGCGGGCCCATCCTGTGTCCTGTGTCCTTCCCAGATGGGACAGAGGCAGCAGGACAAGCAGAGATGGGGGGAGGGGGAAGGGGGGTCAGGGGTCCGAAGGAGGAGTCAGGGAACAAGTCCAGAGTCAGCGGGGTGTTGACTGGGATGGACAGCTCTGCCCCCTACCCCCCTACCCCAGCTGGTACCCCAGCACTGGCACAAGGAGGACACTGTTCCTGCCCCAGGGGCCCCTGCTGGGCCGGACATCTGGCTCTCAGGGTCAGGAAAACCAGGCACTCTTTAAGCTGGTATCCTGTCCACCCAGGAAAGGCCTGGGAGCTGGGGGGAGGGGTGGGAAGGGCGGAGCGAAGGGGTGAATTGTGATGCTCCTCGGACGAGAGATGACCTGCTGAAGGGGTAGCCTTGGCCCAGGAGCTTCTGCCCCAGGGACTGGACAAAGGGCACCACCGAGACGGCTGTGCCTGACCTTGGGCCTCGGTGTCCAGCAGGTTCCCAGCGAATGCAGCTCCCACAGCGCCTCCTGCAGTCCAGAGTGGGGCAGCGCCCTGGAGTTCGGCTCCAATCCAGGGGGTAAGTGAGGTGGCTCAGACCCCTCAGCCTTGTCCAGCCCAGGGAGCCCCTCTTTCCTTACCCCCCGCCCTTGGCTCCTCCCATTGGCCTCTGCAGAGTGGACTAAAGCCTTGGCCAGCGAGAGGCCAGCCTCCTGCAGCTCTCGGCCGGTGCCTGGTGGCCCGTGGCTGATCTTCCCCGTGGGGAGGACACTGTCCCTGCCCCAAGGGTCACTGGGAGTCCCTGAGCCCATGCTGCCTAAGGCCAGCAAGACCAGGGCGTCTCCCAGGACACACCACCCAGGTCCACCTCCCTCCGCCCCAGGAGAGCTGCTCCCACCCCCAGCCCAGCCCCAGGGGAGCTGGGAGGAGGCACCTGCCCCACGTACCGCTGGGAAGGGCAGCAGCACTCCTGAGCTGGGGACCCCGCCCACCTTCTCCGCACAGACCACCTGCTCCCGGCGGACCCTGCCGACGCCCACAACCTGCACTCGCTCACCTCCATCGTGGACAGCATCACCATGGGGGACGTCTCTGTGGCCTTCCCGGACGAAGCCCTGCCCAACTGAGGCGGTCTGCGGCCGGCGGCCGGGGGCCCACAGGCCGGCCACAGATGCCGCCTACACCAGGCTGTCCTGAGGCCCGGGGCCAGCCTGCCCCCTCCTGGGCTGTCGAAGGTTAAGCCGCCATCCAGAGAGAACATGGGCACTCTCACTCGCTGACCGCTCAGAGCTCAGGGCCATCCAGGTCCAGGGAGACAGAGCAGGGGACCAGAACGCCTGCGGGGGCCTTCAGGGGCAAACTCAGGAGCTTCCCTTTGATTTTAACTCAGCCTTCCACTCCCCGCCCCCCCAAATCCTGTCTGAGCGACCCAGGGTCCGACCCAGACACACGGAGCGCCCCGTCGGCTCTCCCTGAGGCAGCGGCCGGGCTGGGCCTGCCCTGACCCGGGAGCAGGGGGAGGGGCCCCATCCCCCGTCCCCGGGGCCAAGCTTCTGCGTGAACACTGGGAGCTGCCAGGTCTCCGTTGTTTGTTCTGCGTGCTGTTTGTGAAGCTGCCATCTGACCAAGGTGTCCTGTGCCGAGGAGCCCGGGACGGGATGGGGGGTGGGGGTCCTGGGTTGACTTCCTTTGATAACTAAGCATTGTGTGGTTTTGCTATTGTTTTGTAATTTTTTTTTTTTTTGCTAACTTATTTGGATTTCCTTTTTTAAAAAAACGAATAAACACTGGGTGCTAGATGTCCGTGATGATGTAGACAGAGGGGTGCCTGCCGCTCCTGCCCTCCTCAGTCCAGACATGCCCAGGATTGGGCATGAGCCCCACCCCTGGAAGCCAGGTTGGCCCACAGCTGAGGCCTGGCACCCTCTAATTCACCACACCGTGCACTCACCACCACCCTCCAGGTCCTCCAATGAACCGAGCAAGGCCTGGCGCTCAGCCCACACCCCGGCGGGGTGCAGCTGGGATTTGTGGGTTTCCCTCCCTAATCCCTGCCTCTCCTCTGGTGTGGCACCAGGAGCCCGTAGGGATGTGGGAGATGATGGAACCCCACTGCACCCTGCCGTTGTCCATCATCCGGGCAGAGGGGACGGTGGCCTGGCCTGCAGCCTGGAGGAGGAAGATTCAGCAGTTGGGGGGAGTACATGGGGGCTCCCCGAGAACCACATGGGAAGGGAAGCGGGGGCTGGCTGCTGCTTTTCAGTCTGGCTTCCTGAAGGGAACAAGGACTAGACACGTGACACAAGGATCAACTGGGGAGGCATCAGGAGCTAGAATTCCCATGGACCATGAGCATCCACTAAAAACGTTATTAATTCCAACTGCTTCAGGTTGTTTGATTTATTGCAAATTATAAGTTTCATAATCATGACAGAAGTCAGGAGTCTGAGCGTGGTATCCTCCAGGCCAACTCAGTTCTCTGGGGCCCTTAAGGGGGGGACCCCAGTTGCTGAGCAGGCGCTGGTGCCGGAGGCTCAGCCCTCCAGACTTGCTCCTGAAGACGGGAACCCAAGTGCAGCGCCCCAGGGTGTGCCAGAACTCTGCGTTAGAAGAAAGACAGAGGAGGCAGGCGGGCTCAGGCCCTGGGCGAGGGCGAGGGTGAGGGCGAGGGCCAGGCCTGCTGGGAATCACAGGCTGGGCAAACTACATGGGGTTTCCCCCTCGTTTGCATCCTGTTGCCTCTCGCCCTTGGGAAGGTGCAGGGAGCACCTAGGTCCCTCCCTGACTCACTGGCCTTGGACGGCAGGTGGCTCAGGCCCAGTGCCTCTGCCTGGCACCCTCCAGGCTCCTGGGGACACTGCCCACTGCCTTCAGGTGCCCCTGGCTGGGCTGGGGCTGGGTGGGGGCTGGCCACGGGCCTCCATCTCTGTTCAGGAGCTGGGGGCTCTGGGGTTGCTGAGTACATTTTTAGTTTATTCCTCCTCAGTTGTGTGTCATTTGGAAGCTGAGGTTCATATTCACATGCTGGTGAGGAGGAGCCGTCCTCAGCAGCGGTGCCCAGGGCTGGCCGCTCCCACCGTGCCGGGTGTGGCCACGGCCTGCCTCGCTTCCCGCACGGAGGACACAGCTGGGACTGCAGTGACGGCGGCGCCGCCAGCCTCATGCTGGTGGCGGAGCCCAGGGACTTTCCACATTAACAAGAGCGCAGTCTGCACCATTACATTCCCGAGAAGGATGAATGAGTAATGAGGGCAGTTCTTTAGGGAAATTACTTTAAGTCCCAGTCTCTGGTGGAAGCACCTACAATAAATCAAACTGGGTTAATCAAATGTCGGGAATAAGACTTTGGGGAATCAGCCTGGAAGGAGATCATGGCTGGCAAGAGGGATGGCAGCAGGCAGGCTGCCCCTACCTCCCACCCCCGGCACCAGCAGCCCAAACCGCCTTCTCAGGCTGGGTTTGTAAGAGTAGAAGCTACCGCCCACCAGTTCTCTGCCCCGAGCAGAGCCCTAGGCCTGGAGGATGCAGACGTGTTAGAAAAGGACTGGAGCCATGTTTAAGTTGTAAAACCAGGTTGTTTATTGGCAGGGCACGCACACGCACACACACACCCAGGCACCCCCTCTGAGGCACTGAGCTGGCACAGTGCTGAGGAGGGACTGGCAGGAAGCTGTGAGGGCTCAGGCCTCGTGACTGCAAATACACTCACTGAGCATCAGCCTCCTCTGATGAGCAGACAGGAGCCTCATCACCCACCGGTCTCGCCCCCGTCACCTCCCTAAACACTGCACAATGCCTGAAGGACCCAGGGCCCACCAGCTGCCGCTTATGACACAACCACGTGGAGGATGAGGTGGAGGATGGCTGCGGCCACGCCCACGTACCAGCTCATTGGATCCCGACCGTCACATGGCCTTGTGGCCCCCATTCCACCAACAGGAGCCTGGGGTTTCTCCAGGACCTTCCTGTCCATCACCCCAGCACAGGGGCTTTCTCTCCCCGCCCCTCATCTCCACAGTGGCTGAAGTGGGGGAGGGGCAGGGCACAAGGGGAGCCCCCACTCCAGCATGGGGACCTCACCTCTGAGATGGTGCCAAGTGCTGAGCCGGGCACTGCCCCACTAGCACCGCCTCCCGCAGAACCAGGTCCGGCTGCTCAGCACCTGCTGGGAGTGTGGCCCCCACACCTGCCTCTGCTCTCGCCTGGAGAAGCCAGGTTCCACCCACATTCTAAACGTGGGTCCCGCACTTCCCGCACCAGGTGGGTGAGGAATGGGTGCAGGAGAGGGTGTCCTGGGAATGACATGCTGCTGGGTACAAACTTCTGGAGGAGGCACGCCCTGCACACCCAGGGAGCCCTGAGCAAGGGGTGGAGGGACGCCTTCACCCACATCCGATGACCTGGGGCCCGACTCACTTAGGGGGAAGCCTCACGTTCTTCCCAGGAGAGAAGGAGAGGCAGCCTCAGCCTCCCTTCGCCCATAGCGTGGAGTGAGTGTGCACTGCCTCAGCCTCGATTTGGGGCTGTGATGGTCTCTGTCCTGCCCGGAGCTAAGGCAGCAGGTCCTGACCCTCCCCACACCCTTTCCCTGCCCCCCAGCAGCTCCACCCCACCCTGGACGGGAGGCATCCCTCTGCCCGCCCTCTGGCTTCCTCCACTGGCCAACCTGCGCCTCACTGATGGGGGTCTGTTTCCACACTTGGACCCTTGGCATGCACACACACACGCAGCCCGTTTCTCCCAGATTCTTCTCAGATGCACACGTGGGTTCAGCTTAGGCCAGGCCTGGCTTCCTCCCCAGCCTCACCCAGGACAGGCCACTGCCGCCCAGCCTGCCAGGGTCCCGGAGCAGAAGCCATGCCACCAGGCAGAGCCAGGACAGGGACAGGGACCAGAGGCAGAGCCCACGCGCAGTCTGAGGTGCTCTTTTCCTGGAAAGGTCGCCTGTCCAGGGTCGGTGCCCTGGTCTCCTCTGGAGGCCAGAGTCCAGGTGGGGCCAGGACAAGGAGGGAGGTGGAGTCACGCCACCTGGGGCTGCATGACTCCAAGAGGCCCCGCCACATCAGACGACAGAGGGCACGCGGGCCTGGGGTGGCGGACGCCCAGGGGTGGGGGACGTTCTGAGATCCAGGGCAGCTGGAGAGTCGCCGAAGAGCTGGGAGCCTGGGAGGACGGGGTCGAGCAGGAGGGGTCCAGCGGCTGAGCCTGTGGCGCCCTCGGGGCGTGGCTAGTCCCGGAAGGCAGAGAGCATGTGTCCGTAGAGATAGTGGGAGTGCGCTGAGAGAGAGGGGGGCGTTAGCGGCAGATGGTGCCTCGAGCAGAGGCCGGTGGAGGCACCCCCAGCAAGCAGAGCACCAGGCCAGAAGCAGCAGAGCCCGCGGGCCAGCCAGGAGGGCGAGGAGGGCGCCGAGGCCGAGCGGCTGGCTGGCCCACTTACCCCGAGCCGCGGGCACAGGCCAGACCGGAGGGTCAGCAGGTGTAGGTCCGCACCGTGGAGGTCTCCGGCCTCTGCGCCCCGGCCGGCCCGGCTGGGAGAGGCGGAGCCGAGAACACACAGGGCGGCTGTTAGTAGGAGCGCCGGCGCTGGGCGCCCAGGCACGGCCACAGCGGTCAGTGCAGCGCAGGCAGCCAGGGGGCAGCGTCACTCACCTTCAGGCGTGATCTTCTTGGGCGGGGCCGGCGGGGGCTGCAGGGGCCCCAGCGGGGACACGCCGAGCACGCCTGCCGAGAGGTCCCGCGGCCGGAAGCGCTTCCTCCAGGAGGGCGCGCGGCGGAACACCTTGTCCTCCGCCTGCAGGGACACAGTGGCTGCACCTCCCTCCCTCCTGGGTGCTCGGCTGGCTCCCTGGAGGCTCCCTGATGGACACTGTCTCGGGGGGTGGGGGGCCTCTGGGGGAATCTGTCGTCACGCAGGTGGGCTGTCTCCCTGCACACGGGAGACCCCCAGGACCCCCAGGCGTCCTCCTGTGTCATCGTGGGACGTGCTCACCAGGCACTGGGGAGATCAGACCCCTGAGAGTGGTGTCTGGCCGTCTACCTCCTTGCCTGGAACTTACACATACGCTGCACATGTGTGAATGTGCCTGTGCGTGTCACCAACGCCAGGGCACCCCGTGCAGCTGGTGCTGGCAGCCCGCGTGGGTCCTGTCTGCTGAGGCCCCCTGGTCACACTACAGGGAGGGCTCAGCCCCCGGGAAGGAAGCTCTGGGACATCGGCGGTGTGAGCAGGGGCCGCGGGGCCTCGGGTGGGGGACGCGCTCTCAGAGCAGATGGAGTGAAGATGGAGAAGCCAGTCTGGGGTCTCCTGTAACTGGCTTGGAGCCAAGGAGCTAAGGCAGACATGACAGGCCAGGGCACGCAGGCCAGGGACAGGAGCATGAGGGGGTGGGCTGTGTCCTCAGGAAACGGGGTGGGGGGTCAGGCGTCCCCATGGGCGCATGAGCCAACAATGACCAACAAGGCCCCCGTTCAGACGGCACTCACATCATCCAGCTTCCGGTCGGTGCCCAAGGCCAAGAGGTTGTTGAACTCTCTCTCCATTGCCTGCCGTGCCTGGCATCCACGGGAAGAGAGGGAGAGGCAGGAGGGACTGAGAGCCACAGAGACAGAGGCGAGGCCAGGGCGCCACCACCAGCCACACCTTCCACACCCTAGACTCCCTCCCTGGCTGCTGGCTCGTTGAGGACAAATAGGAGGGGGAAGCCGTTCACAGAGCCAGCACTTGCAGCCCCCACCCCCACCCCGCTGCCCGCAGGACGGTGCACAGGCCAGACATAAACAGCTCAGAGAAGTCAGCGTACTCCTGGGTGGCGGTCCCCGGCCAAGGACACATCATTCCCGAGCATCCCTGGCCAGGCGGAGGCTCAGGCAGGCAGGAGAGGGCGGTGCCGTGCCCCTGAGGCCCTGATGCACAGGGACACCTGGAGGGACAGGTCCCAGAGCCCTCCGGTCCCCCAGTGACGGGCGGGGCCCCGGACGCCGGTGCCGCCCACCTGGGTGTTCTGGGTGGGGATCTGCAGGACCAGGGCCAGCGTATTGTGGTCGAAGTTCTCGTCCAGGGCCAGCAGGGCACCGTGCACGCCGCTCTCCTGCAGGTTCCCTGCGTAGTCCCGAAGCCCGATGGACTGGACCCAGTGCACCACCTGCTCGTTGGTCCAGACCAGCACGTCTGGAGGCAGGAAAAGAGCAGAAGGACCCAGGTCCAGAGGCTTCCGGGGAAGAGGGGAGCCCCCAGACCAGAGACCCAGCCTTCCCTGGCCTCGGCTCCACCCCATCTCCCTCCTCCATCCTGAGCCCCCTCTCCTTCCCTCTCAGCTTTGGGGTGAGGCCCCTGCACCTTCTCAGAGGCCCCAGTGGCCCGCTCACCCCTGATCTCGTGCTGGCTCTCCTCCCGCCTCCTCTCCAGCTCCTTCCGGTCGTAGTTGAGCCTCTTCAGACACATGATGCCGTACTGCAGGCTGCTTCTGCAAGCACACAGCCCACCCAGCCTCAGGGCCACGCCCCTGCCCAGCTGCCCACATCCTCCAGCAGAGGGAGCCCCAGACTCTGCTCCACCTGCATGTGACCCGCCAAGGCCACTCCCTCTCTGGTCCTCTGAGAGGGGCCTCACGATGAAGGAAGTTCTCCCATGGAAGCAGCATGGCCCTCCCTCCCCATGACTGACCGAGACCCGCCTGCCCAACAGTCAGTGAAACAGCCCTAGGAGAAACCTCCAGGAGGGGAGTTAGAGAAACGACTGGTCTTCAGGGGTGAAGGGGAGAGAATCCAGCTTCCGCAAGAGGAGCTGTTGCCTCCAGAAGGGCCACGGGAAGGGACTGAGACGGAGCCCAGCGAGGAAGGCCGCGGCCTGCTCACCGGTGGAAGCTGTCCACCATCTTCAGGTGCACCCGCAGGTCCTTCTTGGTCAGGTGGTCCAGCATGCGCGCGTCCACCAGGCACTCCATGAAGTAGCTGCGGTACTGGGGCAGCCCCAGGCTGGGCAGCCACTCGTTCCCGATCCACTCGTGGCTCATGTCCCCATAGGCCAGGGTCTGGGAGGAAGGCAGGGCCAGGCTGCGGCCGCCCACAGCAAGCAGCACTGTGGGCATTAGCTTGTTCCCCAGGGGCGGGGCAGGGGGGTTTTCAATGGGGCTTTTTAGGTCCCAAAACGATGGCTCCATCAGGGACACAGCAGCTCCCCAGCAGGTGTATGGGGCCATGGGGCCTGTGGGGCGGCTACCTGGAGTCTCAGCCTCACCCCTGCTGACGGCTGCAGGGCAGAAGGCGCCAGAGCCCGGGAAACCTGGAGGGTCAGCTCCTCCCCGCCCCACACCCCGGAGGGGACCACTGAGCTTTGTGTCCCTTGCTCAAAGAAAGCTTTAACAGTTTTACAATCACCAAGTTGCTTTTCTCTAAGACAGCAACGTTCAACCTTTTTCATCTCAGAGCACACATATGCTAATTACTAAAAGTCTGTGACACAAAAAAAAACATTGTATTTTTGGAAGATCTGAAAAAATAATTTTGATTCATGTCAAAAGTAATTTTGACTCATGCCTGGTGTTGTGCTGGCTGCTGTCATTTCCATTGGGAAAGCTGAGGAGGGCGGTCCGGGCCCTGGCGGAGGGCCGGGCAGGGCCTGTCTGACCTGGGACACAGCAGCCCTCAGTCCTGCTCAGATCACAGGCCCCCGGGAGGGTGGGGGAAGAGCAGGGTGCTTCCAGCCTACACCTTATTCCTGAAGGGCGCCCAACGGGGAGGGTGTTGGAGGCACGAGGCCAGCACAGCCCTCAGGGCTCCTCCCCAGCCAACCTGAGAAGCCAGGACAGCAGCTGAAGGGGAGAGAAGGGAGGGTCCCCGCAGGTGCCTGGACCCCGCGTCCGGCAGGAGGCCTTACCTGAGCCCAGCTGCCCTCCTCACTGTCCTAGCAGGAACGTGCAGCGTGAGGGGAAATGGCCAAGTCACAACCTGGCAGCAAGCACCCAGGCCCCACTGAGAGGGAGCCAGCACCCAGGGCTGGGTGGGTGAGCAAGGAACGCGTTGGCGAGGTTGAGAGAGCAGGAGGCAGTGTGGGTGCCATGCTTTCGGTAAGAGGGCAGCAAGGCCTTGCACAGGGCTCAGCGCTAGGCAGGACCCGGGGTCCAGGCCCACAGCAGTGCCAAGCTCTCTCCATCCCCCATGCCCCACCCCTGGCCTGGTCCCAGCTGTGACCGTAGAATGGACTCCGCCCCCACCCTCACCCAACCACTCTGTCTCACTCCTTCCTCACCAACCCTCCACCTGAGAACAAACTCAGTCACACGTCAGGGCTACTCTCACACTCGGCGACTTCCCACAACCTTCCCCCCTTGGGGCCATCAGCTCTAATCCCAGGCCCAGCGCCGACTCACTGTTTTAGTGGATGTTGCCAGAGTTTCCATCTCTTCATGGGTGACCCAGACATTCCCGGAGGACTGCAGAGAGAGAGGAAACCTGGCTGGTCCTGCAGCGGGTCCCCCAAAGACAAGAACAAAGCTCCCTCCCTGAGTCCTCTCACAGCCTGGCCCCAGCTCCGCTCGTTGTCAGCTCTGTGTCCCTTCCTGAGCACAGAGCCTGGCACTGGGACGTGTCCCTCGCGCCTCCACGGTGAGTGAGCATGAACGCTGCAGCCCCAGCCACAGGGAGGGCCCACGGAGAGGCTGGAGGCCCTACTCCCACTGCCACTGCCATTGACCGCACAGAACCCTGAGGCCCGGCTGGAGCTGCTGCCTGAAGATCAGGGACTATTGGCAGAGTCAGGTGGGAGGCAGGAACTGGATCTGCTGGGACCCCGGAAGCAGCATCACCCCTGCAGACCAGGTGGAGCCCTGTGTGGGGATGGGAGGTGAGGGGCAGACACAGCTGCCATCCCTCCGAAGACCCCTGGGCGGCATGGCAGAGCTGCTCCAGGGCCCAGGAAGGGTCTTGGGAGGGAGAGGCCACTCACAGTCCTGGAGGTGGGTGGGGCGGAGGGGCTGGTCAGCGACACCATCTCCTGGATGGCCAGCCGCAGCTTCAGCCGGTGCAGGGCGTTGCTGATGCCGATCTCCCGCTGGATCTCCGTGTCCGACAGGGCCGACATGATGGCCCCGCTCTTGACGTTGGCCCGGCAGGCCGCCACGTACCAGGCCGGCATCCCCACCCAGAGCTGCACACACGGGCACGGGTCACCACTCAGCCTTTCTCCAGGAGCTGGGCACCCCCCAGGCAAGGCCAGGCCCAGCCACGGTCTCAGAGGAGCAGACGTGGAGAGGACCATCATCAAACGCGTCTCCCTTCACAGCGGAAACTCTGGGCCTGGGGCGGAAGGGGCTCCCAGCTCTGCCGGGGACCAGCTCCCGGGGCGGCCACAGCAGTCAGCACCTGTGGGCCCTATGGCTCAGCGGTGCCCGCCGCCCTTTGCCATCAGGTATCCGCTGTGCCGATGGGCATGGGGGTGGGTAAGTCTAGGTCCCCGGTGCACTGGGCAGGGGAGAAGCATGCTGGGAAAGTTCTGCCCAGGAGCCGCCCACCCAGGCCCTGAGTGGACCCTCTGCCTAGGTACCTCCAGCCAGGAGACCACGGTAGGGCCGTCCCACTGGGCAAAGGGCAGTCCCCTTCGGCGGGCGTCTTCAAGCAGCTGGTGCCTTGCAGGGAGAGGAGCAGACTCAGCAGTCCTTCCTGTCCCGCCCCAGGCTGAGTCCAGGGACATGACTGTGCCCCGTGCTGAGCTCCCCTACTCACCCCGCACCCGCTGCCCCCTGCTCTACGCCTGAAGCAGTGTGACTCCAAGACACGGGCAGGAACGCACTCCAACCGGAAGCGAGAGCTCTCACGTGCATGCGGCCCGACCTCGACCATGTCAGACTCCTCTGCCAGGGCCGCCTAACCGCCAGCGCCCAGCCCCTGCGTGACCCCCCGCACAGGCCAGCTTGGGTCAGAAAGGGCCCTGCCCACCTGAGCCCAGCCCCGCAGCCCGGGGACGGGCAGCCTGGACGGCGGTGCTTACTTCTTTTTCCGCCGCCGGTCCCTCTCCGCCTGGGCGCCCAGCTTGGCAGGCACCAGGGTCTCCTGCAGACTGAGCTCGGCGTCTGTCAGAACTAGAAGGGAAGGAATGGCAGGTCAGCAAGACCCTCTGCTGCCCCCCCCCCCCCCGGCGGGTCCAGGACTGGGAACAAACCAGCAGGAAGCTCCTCAGTGCATAAAATCCAGGGCCCGACGACGACCCACCATTCTGGGAGCCTCCACTCAGGTCCCTGCACCCAGACCGCCCCAGCCCAGACGGTGCCCCTGAGCGCTGGCCCTGCGGGTATTTTCCAATGGGATGGAGCCACACTGCGACGCTAACAGCAGCAGAATCCTAACCAGACGTGTCCCTCCTCCAAACCAAGCTGCAAAGGAGACCAGGAGAGCCAGACACGATGGGCCACGAGGCTCAGAGAGAGTTCTCCTGGCCCAGGTCGGATGGGGAGACACCTCTCTCGGGGTGCCCTCCGGTGCCAAAGCCACCAGGGGAGCAAGTCCAAGTCTGTCCTCTCCACCCACAGCCTCTGAGCGAAGGCCATCGCCCAGGGCGCGTGCAGGCAGCACCTCCGGGCACACGGGCAGCTGGTGAGGATGGTCCAGAAGTCGGAGGCGCTGCCTCGGCTCAGGGGCGAGCATGGCGGGAGGAGCATAGGAAATCAGGCTTCACGCAGGAGCCTCCTGCACTGATCAGACTCAGCCTGGTCTGTGTGCTCAGCTCCCCTATGCTGGGGCAGATCCTCCACCCCGGCTCTGGCAGAGGCTCCCACAGAGTGGAGGGCTCCCCCCCCCCCCAGTCCTCCTCGCTTGGCTGGGTTCTGACTCACACCTTCCCAGGGCAGGAAGGTATAATTATGCAATTATGCATCGGGCTCAAAGGTTCCTTTTCTCATTGATCATGCAGGCTCCCCTTCCTAAAACTTGTTCATGCTGTCCCTGCCCCGTGGGCTTCTAAACCTCCTCAGCGGATTCTGCAAGGCCCTTGTGAGCTAACCCCAGCCCAGGGTCCAGGCCACCTCTTCTCTCCCCACCGCTCCCACCCACTCAGACTCCGCTGCATTCAGGACTCGCACACACGCCTTGTTGCCTTTCTCAGACCCCCTCCCCCACCGACTTTGCCTCTGAGTCACCCAGATGTTGCCAGCACAGCGAGCCGCTCCCGTGGCCCCCAGGGCACCGAGGCCGAGGCCGAGCTCCTGGAGCACCTTGGGCATCTCCATCTTGGAATTGTCCCTTCACGGTTCCTTTTCGTTAGAGCTCCTTGCAGGGTGGACTTGACACTGAGCCTGTGTCCAGTCACCCAACAGGGGTCTGCTGCACAAGGACTGAGGAGGTGCGGGAGGAGAGTGGACACGGCTGTGTGCCTGCCACCTGCCAGGTGTGCTAGGCTTCACACCATCACACAGGTGGTGCGGTGCCCGCTGCCAGGCTCCTACTCCAACAGGCACATGGAATGTGGGCCCCGGAGGCCAGGCGGACCACAAGTCCTAACCACACTGCTCTTCTGGAGGTCCTGAGCACCGAGCATCAGAACCCTCGCTGGACGACCCCTCACAGGCCCAGCCTTCACTCTGTACAGAAACCTCTTCACAATGGCGGCCTGACCCTGGGTGGGGGTCCCTGGGGGACGGGCAGCTGCCCGCTGGGGAACAGCAGGCTGACAGAAACCCCCTCAGGCTGGGGTCCCTGCGGGCGGCAGCAGCAGCCAGGCGCACACCCAGCACCCCCCTGCCCTGGCCCTCTCCCTGAACACGGCCTCGATTGCTGGGAAGGGGGCACAGACCGTGGCCTGCAGCTCCGTCGTGGCTCAGCCTGCCCTTCTCCTTCTTGCCAAACAGGCGGCCGATGGACGACTTGATGCCCTTGCGCTTGGCGCCCTTGTGCAAGGAGTCCTGGCTGCTGCTGCTGCTGCCCTGCTCCTCCACGGCACTGAGGGCGCAGGGGGGGGCGCCCTGAGCGTGCAGCGGGGTGGGTCAGACCCGAGAGCTGCAGGCAGGCCAGGCGGGGGTGAGGGGCAATGAGAGCAGGTGACAAGGGAGACGTGGGACTGTCCCCCTCAGAGAAGGGGGATGCTGAGACCGAGGGACGGGCGGGTGTGACGGCCCTGGGGAGGAACAGCTGGGAGGGCTCCCCTACCTCTTGCCTTCCTCCTGGCTCAGGGCTGGGTGGCCGAGCTTCTCGAGCCGCAGCGTCCTGGGTGAGGAAGGAGGAGAAGTCTCACATTTTATGGTGGCTTTATCCTCTCGGTTCTGTTCCCGAGACACTGGTGACTGAACAGACAGTGAAGCCATCAGGGGATAGAGGGAGAGATCGGGCCGCAGGAGCGCAGCGCAGAGCAGAGGCCTGGGGCCTGGGGAGAAGCCAGAGGACCGACCACGGGACCTGCTCAGGCCCACTCACCTGCAGCTTCCTCCGGTGCTTCCGCAGGTCACTGGGCTGGAAGGGAGAGCAGTGTGAGCTCACGCACCCGGGGGCCTGCACGCCCACCCACGGGAGCCCAGGGCCCAGGCGGGGGGAGTCAGGACCTCACACAGGTCCGCAGACATCGCAGCCGAGAGCCGCTGCCCAGAACTAAGCCAGGGCCCTCTGCGGGGAGACGGGTGGGCAGTGGTGAGCTTCCTGAGCCCGTGCTCCTCCGGGGAGAGGTGTGTCCAGAATAGGACGTGCTCGTGGCGGGACGTGTGGGGTGCACACATCACGGGAGGCGGGGGGAGCCCTGCCAGCCCCAAGGCTGAGCCCAGCGATGACAGGACTGCTCCTCTACTGTCCCAAGACTCACCAGGGTCATGACCCCCATCCGGTCCAGGTTCTGAGCAGCACTGCGGGAGGCACCCTTCGGTGTGGAGCGGCCACTGAATGCAGGGGACCCGCTGGCCAGGGACAGGGCGGTCAGGGAGGTGGGGATGGGGCCACGCCTGAGCGGCTGGGTCAGGTTGAGGGCCTCCATGCTGCCGCTCGTCACTCGCGTCTCAATCTGCTCCGCGCGGAGCTCCGTGGACTCTTTCTCCTCCTGGATCATCCTGGAGGCACAGGCCAGCACCGCCGGCATCGGCCCTGGGATCAGCCCAGATGGCCACCACGAGGCATGCGTGTGTGTGCGTGTGTGTGCACCCCTGTGCCATGTTGCCTGGCCTGTGACAGCCACAGTGTGGGCGCCCCTGACCCAGCAGCCCTCTGCGGCCCTGAAAAGCTGGTGTTGTCTGGCTCGGCTCTCCCTTGTCATCGGTCATAACATTCACAAATGCCCTCGGTGACAGGTCAAGGGCCCACCCGGGTCACTTTCTGTTGAGGCCTCGGGGGCGGGGGAGGTGGGTAGACCCCATCTGAATCCTGGCTCTGCCCCTCCCTGTGCTGCTCTGGGCAAACCAGTTGGTCTCTGGTTCCGGTCCCTTGTCTGTAAAGGGGAGACAGTGCCGTTGCCCTCGCCGCCCCCCTCCCCGAAGGTAGTGAGGCTGCAACAGCCTTGGTGGGTGGGAGCTGCACCCTGATGTCCACTGAAGATGTGTGGGGCACAGCCAGCCCCCAGGTCAGTCTGAGGTCAGTGCTGGGCCACAGCCTCAGTTCCCTGGACAGTGGTGCTCTCGGGAGCACTCGGGAGAGACACTCCCACGGGCGGCCCTCACCGGATCTCCTCGTTGATGGCGTCCAGCTGCTCCTGCAGCATCATGGCCAGGGTCTGCGCGTCGGAGTGGCCGCCAGGGGAAACAACATCCGCGGAGCCCACCAGACCCCCTGGCCCGTCCTCGTCCGTGTCGGAGATCTCAGGGTCACTGTCGAAGGCAGGGACGGCCGTGGGGGCCAGCACGCCAGGCAGCAGAGACCGCTCCCAGTCCTGAGCAGAGGAGGAGGGAAGAGGAGGAGCAGTTGTTCACCCCATCCAGAGCAGCAGCAGTGCCATCTCCCGGCGGCCCCAGCCCAGACCTGGGGGTGCAGAACCTGCATCCTAACAAGAGCCCTGGCTGATCTCTTTGCACACAGAGTCTAAGAAATACTACTGGACTGTCAAGGAACCTGATGAATGTGCTTAGCAGGGATTCCAGAGGCAGAGATGCTCCAGCCCACACTGGCTGTGCAGCCACCGAGAAGTCGTGTGCCTCAGTTTGCTCATCTGTGAAATGGGGGTTCGCAGGACCTATGCCGTGGGCAGTTTTGAGGAATAACTGCTCAGCAGTGTCTGGCACAAAGTGAACACTAGTAACACAAAGGGTGCCAAGCCCCAGGGTGTGTTTGTACACAGTTTGCACACAGCAGGACCCTCTGGTCAATCCTGAGGAGAGGAAGCTTCTCTGAAATCATCCTGTGAACCTCTCTGATGGACAGAGGCCCTGAGAGAGGGCACGGCACCGAGCTGGGACAGCCAGGGAGCAGGGAGAAAAGGCGAGGGGCCTGGGCAGCAGCTGTGTCGTGAACAGGAAGAAGGTGAGGGGGGAGAGAAAGAAGCACTCTGGACTGTGACTCCCCACCCATCAGACGAGGAGCTCCTTCATCCTCTCCCTGCGTGTGGTGCCCTGGAGCCCGTGGGTGCCCGGGCTCAGGACTGCAGGTCAACCACCCCGGGCCAGGCGGCAATCAGACGCCTGCCCTTCCTGGCCCTCGAAGGCTCAGTGAGATCTCACAGCAGCATCTCAGGGAACTCCAGGGGCCGTCCCAGGTAGCTAGCTACCCTGCCATCCCGCCGTCTCCCCACAGACCACAGCATTGTTCCAAAAGTATGCCAACTCCATCCTGCCCCATCCCCACCCGAACACACGCCTGCACACCCAGGCACACGTGCACACGCCTCGGTGGGCCCCAGGGACCGGGAGGTGGGGGAGCGCAGCTGTTGCAGCTGCCGAGGCCCCGTCCAGGGCTGCAGCTGTCACTGGCACGGGGTGGGGGGCAGGGGAGGATTTGTACCACACGCCAGCCAGCTGTGAAACCGGAGCCAGGCACGCGGCAAAGTGACCCCACCTCCCAGGAGATGCCCCCTCACCCTCCACCCTCACCTTGGCAGACTCTTCCCGCAGCGAGAAGCGGCGACGCAGGCCAGGGGCTGCCGTGCTCAGGGGGAATCGCAGGTCCACCGCGCTGCCCGTGTGCGACCTTACGTGGGACAGAGAGAGGATGGGTGAGCCCCGGGCACACCCAAGGCCCAGAGTCCCGGGCTGAGGAGTCTCGGCTCCCCTCCTAGCTGCCCGTTCTGTGATGGGCCCACAATGCCTCCAGTCAAAGCCTAGGGTTTCCAACCCCTGAGGAAAGCAATATGGCAAGCAGTCCTCTGGGCACATCTAACTAACCCAGGGCCAGTCTCTCCTGAGCATCCTGTAGGAGGGGAGAGCCTTTGTGCCTGCCACATGCCCTAGGCGGCCCTCAACTCAAACAGCAACCCTGCAGACCCCTGAGGTGGTGTCTCAAGAGAACTGGAGGGAACCAGACCCCCTCCATGGGCGGGCTGTGGGCCGTGGGCTGTGGGCCGTGGGCTGTGGGCCGTGGGCTGTGGGCCGTGGGAGAGCAGGGAACTTAGCAGGCTCTCTCCAGGAAGCAGGAAGGATGGCCTGTGTCCACGGCCTGGGAGGTCTCCCTGTGTGTGACCTGAGCACCCCTCCAAGGTCAGGGGCTCCCTTCTAAGCTGCCCGAGGAGCTGGTGGCTTTGACCGAGCTCTCCAGGCCTCAGAGTCCCGCCCCGAGGGCCTAGGCGGTCTTTGGTGGGAGGAAGCCTCCGCCTCAGGGTCCACCGGGACCCCACCCAGCCTCCCGTGCCCTGTACCTGGAGTGGCTGCCATCCACCAACGGCCGCCCTCGACCCTTCAGCTGGTCCACCTCTTGGCGCAGCTTCTCAATCTCTTCGGACAGGCGGCCCTGTGGCAGGCAGACGCAGTGTGGGGGGGAGGCCAGGAGGGACAGAGAGGGGAGAGAGGGACAAAGAGGATGGCAGAGTTGGGGAGAAGCAGCAGAAGGCACGGCAGAGTGCAAAGCCAAGGCCCGTGACACAGCTCACACCAGACTCGGTCCAAGTGTGGAGCAAACAGAAGGTGGCAGCAGGCGGGCAGGGCTGGGGCCAGGACAAGGGAAGGAAGGACCTTCGGAGCAGGCCCGAAACCCTCACGAAACCTGGCTGACCCTGCAGCTGGGCGGCAGAGGCCCATGCCCTCAACCTCAGACACTGCCGAGGCAGGGACTGCGGCCGAGCCTCCAGGAAGCTGCTCTATGGCCTCAGCAACCTGCTCTGCTGTGTCTTTCACTGGCCCTGGTCTCTGCCGCCTACTCTGTGCCCTATGCTGTGGCCTCAGGGTCTTCTCTGCACCTACTGTGCAGGCTCCATGAGGATCAGTGAGGTAACCTGCACACGTCCAGCCAACGGGCTCACTGTCCCGGGCACCAGGGCAGCTGCACCCAGCACAGCCCGCCCTCCCCGGCTCGGAGGCAGGCGGGCGGCGGCGGCGGGTACCTTGTGGTGGTGCTGCTCCTCTATCTGCCGCTGGGAGCTCTCCAGCTCCTGCATCAGCGTGTTCTGGGGGAGAGCAGTCGTGAGCCAGGGCCCAAGGGCTCCTTCCCCGCTGCCGGGCCTGGCCCTCGCATCTGCCCTCTAGGGCGGCAGCTCCTCTCTTCTCCAGCCTCACTATGGGCAGGGCAGAGGCGCCCAGGCCAGCCTCCTACCTGACTACCCTCTCACATCCAACCCTGCCCCTCCGGCCTCTCCCCTCCAGCAGGCCTGCTCTCCCACAGACCCCGCCCCTCCCGCAGCCCCGCCCCCGGGCCTGGGGCACCCACCTTCTCCTCCAGGGCCGCCATGCGCTCCTTGAGATGCAGCTGCAGGCGCTCGTTGGACTCGCTGAGCAGTCGGTCCACAGTGTCTGACAGCCGCTTGTTGTGGTCCTCGTTCATCTTCTCCCGTTGGCGCACCTGCACACCAGTCCACTGCACACGAGGCCACTGCACACCAGGCCACTGCACGCCATCCCACTGCACGCCATTCCACTGCACACGAGGCCACTGCACGCCAGGCCACTGCACACCAGCCCACTGCATGCCAGTCCACTGCACGCCAGCCCACTGCACACGAGGCCACTGCACTCCAGGCCACCCAGGGCTATCCATGCTCCCCTGTCCCATTCTCATTCTCTGTGAGCCCGTCTCTAACTCTCCCAACCGCCTCCTCCTGCCCTCTGTGGCTGTCCCTGCCCAGGGACTTCCACATGCCTGCTTCCTTCGTGCCACCCTCAGCCACCCTGTGGGCAGTGAGAGGGGCCTCACCCTCGCCAGCTCCTGGTTCTTTTCCTGCAGCTGGCCCTCCAGCTGCCGCAGGTGCTCCTCGATGTTGCCATGCCTTTCCTCGGCCTGTGGCAGGGACAGATCAGCGCAGCCGGCGTTTGCCCCCGGTTCCGATCACCTGTCTCCTCATCATGGTGCCAAGTGGTCTCTGGGGATTGGGGCCTCAGGGGCCAGCAGAGCCCAGCCTCCCCCCCATCATTGTGGACACGATGACATCATCGAAGAGACAATGGTGTCAACATGGAGATAACAACATTGGTGTCCGGTCAGGGAGGGAGGGACTTCTCCCTGGTCACAAGCCAGTCAGTGGCAGAAGCAGACTTGGCCCTGGACCTACCGAGGTACACCAGGCTGCAGGTTCCACCCACAGGGCCCCCACGCTGCTACACAAGCAGAGGCCCGGAGTCTGATGCTTACGACTGCCGGGTGGGGGATAGCCTCTGCCTGACGGCAAAGCCTCCTAAATCCCTGATTACTCCACACACGTCTATGTCCTGCCCTCCCCAGCTCCTCTAGAGCCCAGTGTTCACCCTCTGATGAATTATCATCCATAAAGTGAACTATCCACTCGTTAAAATCACACTCCGTTTCTTCAACCTAAGGCTGCAGCCTTCAGCAACCAGCGTGGACCCCAGATCCAGATGCTTCACCTTAATAAAGGTGGACAAGTGTGGGTTCAACTCCCACCCCCTCAGGAACTGCAGACTTGGACCCCATCCCTCTCAGACCCCATCTTTCCAGAGGTGAACACTGCACTCTCCACTCCAGACACAAACCACAGGAAGGTCAGCCACGTGGTGAAAATGACCACTGGAGGTAATTGCACGAGCAGTCTCTTCTGCTTCTCGGAGCACTTTCACGCCTTCTGAGGGACTGTCCCATCCCACAGGGCAATGAGGGCGAGGACCCTCCTCCAACCGACAGACAGGCAGACACCGGTGGGCTTCCCGCGGCTGCGAGGGGGAAGTGGCAGGGACACGGCGGACCCTGGGCCCGGCCACTCACCTTGGTGAGGGCTGCGATTCTCTGGGCCAGCTCAGCCTCCACCTCCGGCAGCGTCTCTGCCTTCCGCAGGGTCTGCTGCAGCTTCTGCTCTGCCACCTCCAGCAGCTCCTGCAGGTGCCGAGCCTTCTCCTCGCACTGGCGACGGTGGCAGGGAGGACAGTCAGGAGGGAGCCCTGCAGCCCCCCAGCCTCAGCACAGCTCCAGGACAGGCCAGGAAGCAAGGCACGACCATGGTTCTTGGCTGCCCAAGACCACCTGCAGGACCCCAGGGGGCTGCTGGGCCACCCAGGTAAGATCCCTGTGTGATGGAGACTCCCAGCTCCAGCACACGCCCCCACCCCACCAGGAGCCGCTACCTGGCGGTGCAGGGACTCCTTATTGGCCAGCTCGTTCTCCAGCTTGTCATTGAGGTCATGGATGGACGTGGCCTCACGCTGAGCAGCCAGGTAGCGCTTCTCCAGCGTGGTGATCCGCTCCTCCATGTCGTCCTTCTGGGCCAGAGCCTGGGCAGGGGCGGAGGGGCTCGAGACAAGGTCACCGACTCCCCCTGTGCCTCCCTGTCTGCACCTCTCCACTCTGCCCTGCCCGGGGCTGACCTTACCTCATCCCTCCGCAGCCCCTGCCCTAACGGGACCCCACCAAGGTCAGTCTGACACTCCCCAGCGCTCGCCTGGCCCTCCTCCCCTCCCCAGGCATCCAGGCAGTCGCCCTCCTGAGCGCTGCAGGCTGCACCCAGCACGTTGCACCCAGCACGCTGCACCCAGCACGCTGCACCCAGCACGCTGGGGCCGGCCAGGCCTCGCTCACCTCCCGCAGGTCCCGCTGATGCCTGCTGCTCAGCTCCTCCGACTTGATCAGGTCCCGGCGGGCGGTGCCCAGGTCCTCCTCCAGTTCAGCCACAGCTGCTGTCAGAGTGACCAGCCGCTCCCGGGCCTGGCTCAGCTCAAAGTTCTGCTTCTCCAGCAGCTCCTGCAGCTCCTGCAGCCGGCCCTCGTCATCCTCCAGGGACAGCGAGCCATCAGTCCACCATCGGGGCCCCAACACCCTACTCCCCTGTGTCCCCCACACAGGTCGGAGGAGGGACGGCTCTGCCCAGCTTCTGAGCACCCCTCAGTCCACCTGCCTCCTCCGCGCTCAGGAGCTCGTGGCAGACAACGAGCTGACCCCTGCTCTCCCGTGTGTCTCCTAAAAAGCAATACTTCCTAGGGTGAATTCTCAGCATCGTATGCCCTAGAGAGGGGCCTGACTGAAGACCAGGCTCAGAGACAGCATCTTTCTGCAGAAGCTGACACAGGCAGATGGCCCTGACAGTTGAGGTGGACAAGCACCTTAGTGCCTAACCGTGGGCAAGACAACAAAACCCTATAGATTTCTCTGCAGATGGGGCGTGGGGAGAGAAGAGAAGGGGATGTGGGAGGAGGCCCTGGATTTAATTTGAGCAGTGGCTCCACTGAACAGGTCAGGGCCCCACCAACTACCTGTCTGGGGGAAGACATGCCCCTGCCAGGCGGCTCCCACGACCCACCTTCCACAGGCGTTTCAGTCCCAGCTCCACAGCCCCCTCCTCTTCCGCTGCTCCATCCCGGGCCCCTGCTCCCTGCTGCAGGGCAGACAGCTGCAGGGCACAGCCCCGCACAGGGAGTCAGAGACAAGAGAGCCTCTCCCTGGCCCAGACCCTTCTGGGTCCCCTGCCTCCCTTCGACCAGCAGTCTCCAGCCAAGACAGCGAGACAGCAGGGAGCATCTACAGGAAGCCGATGGGCAAAGGGTGAGCCAGCCTCGGCTTCCAGTTCAAGCACATGGAGGGTGAGCGGGCGCTTACCTGCTGGTGGGCACCTGCCAGCTGCTCCTCCAAGGTAGTGACTCGCTCCAGGGCCGTCCGGAGCCGCTCTCGCACCTGCCCAAGGGATGGAGAAAGACACAGACCCCCTGGATGTGGGCTGGGGAGCCAGGGCTTGGCTGGCCACTGTGGTGTGAGGCAGAGAGGCCCCACCAAGAGCAAGCTTCCAGAGGGAACCTGAGCGGCCCCCGACATTGGGCGGCGGAGGAGGGAGCCCGCTATGAAGCTGGCGGGTGGGGGCAGGGGGGGTGCAGGAATCACAGAGAAGGGGGCGCCAGGGCTACCTTCTCATCCAGGGCCTTGTGGTGCTCAAACAGCGACTTGAGGGCCTTCAGCACCTCCACCTCACTGGACACCCCTGAGGGAGACTGGGCCTGGCGCTTCACCACCGTCATGCGCAGCGAGCGCTCGTGGCGGGACACCAGGCACTCCAGGTGTTCCAGCAGCAGCTGGCAGCAGAGGGAGGCGAGAGGAGGCATGAGCACGGGGTAAGGTTATAGGAGGGCCCACGAAATCACGGTACACATGAGTACAGCCACGTGTGCCGTCAACATGTTGAAATACTTCCTTGTTCGTAAGCAACTGCTGTCCCAACCAAATTCCACCCCATGCCGCTGCCCTGGCCTCCCCCGGGGACCCCAGGTGGAAGCCCAGCACGGAGGGTGGAATACTCTATCTCCCACACATAAGGCAGGGAGTGGCCAGGCTGGCCAAGGGGCCCACCCCTCCCACACAGGCCGGTCACCCCACTCACCCTCGTGTTGTTCCGTTCTGCTTTCAGCTCCGATATCTCTTCCTCCCGCTCTAGGAGCTGCTCCCGACACATGCTCAGCTCCCGGGTTAAGGTGGCAAATTCCTGAAAAGCCCACAGCCCCTCAGTGCACGGGACCCCGTGGAGCCTGAGAGGCCACGGCCCTGGGTCACTGTCTTTCTATCAAGGCCATGGCCAGGGGTCAGGCCTCACACACACTGCACCGACACCGGACTCAATGGCACGCCCCGGGCACCGTGACGCCCCCCAAAGGACTGGTGCTCCCCTCGCCTCCTCCGCTCATCGCTGCCTGGTTCCCCAGGCCTGCATGCCTCCCACCTGCCCCCAACGCTGGCCCACAAAGCACAGCGTTAGACACGAACTTCTTTCCTGGTTTTCCAGTTTCTGTCTCCAGGACCCTTTCCGTAGCCTCTCAGGTCTGGTCAGCCTCAGTCCCTGCTGTCTACTTTGCGCCATGGGCTCCGTCCCCCCTCCCCGCCTCCCCAGCCCACTCCACCTGAGGAAATCACCCCCGCCTCAGACCTTCCAGGCCTCCCCATCTGCCACCTCCAAGAACAGGGTCTGGGGAGCAACAGCTAGCCTGGGGTGCCACCTGCTGGCCGCATGAGCTCACTGCAGCTGCCAACTATGGCTGGTTTTCTTCCCGCATCAAATTCCACCCGCTTCTCCAGAAGCTTGGAAGTGACAGGGAAGGGACTCTGCAGGGAGGTGAGGGGCCATGGAGGCTCTGAGGGTTCCCTCTGCTGATACGCAACTGAGATGCCCTGAGGACACTGGGCTCAGCAGGGCCGGGGGAGTAGGGGGAGGCGTGCAGGCCTCGGGTCTTACCTGGGGGAGGGCGGAGTTCAGGTGGCGCTGCAGCTGGTCCCGCTCCTGCAGGGCGTCCTGGAGCCGGCCCTGTGTGGCCGCCAAGGTCTCCTGACTCTCGCGAAGGGACTCCAGCAGCTTCTCCCGCTCATCCAGCATGTTCACCATCAGCTGCTCAAAGTTGGCATCCGCGTCAGCACCGTGTGGGGGACCCAGGGGGTCCCCCTCGTTGATGGTGGGCATCACCTCACACATGGTGGGATGGGCAGGGCCTCGGCGTGGGGGGCAGGGAAGGGGTTCACAGGGCTGGCACCTCCAGGGGGACCCGGGGCAGGGTCCTCAGAGAGGGCAGTGGGGGGGGCTCCTCCCCATGGCATCAGTTGCTCTTGGTCTGAAAGGCGCTGGGTGCCTGGGGCGCCCCTGCGAAGTGGGGCCCGAGGGCCTGGCTCAAACCCTCGGGGCTGGGGCTGGGGCTGGGTGCGCTGAGTTCCCAGGCAGGCAGGCAGCAGCCGAGCATGGCCATGGCAGGCAGGAAGCGGAGCTGGAAGCAGGCCCTTTGCTTAGACGGCGCACTGGAGCCTGGCAGAGTCCCAGCTGGGTCCCGCGACACCCATGGTTCTGGAGGGCAGTGGCCTGTGGGAGGAGAGACTGCTGTGAGGACCCGAGGAGTGGAGAAGGCGCCCAGGGGAGGGTGGAGGAAAGGGAAGGGAGGTGTCGGTGCCCGCCCCTTCTCAGCATACCCGCCCAGTTCTCTGGGGAATGCACTCCCACCACAGCCTCTGCCCCTGCTTCCCCCCAGCTGTCAGAGTGCAGCCGGTAGAGTGGCTCCCACCCACGTGGCTCCCTGGCCAAATATAGAAATGATTCAGCCAGCCAGCGGCAGGCTGCCCGGAGCCTCCTGAGACCTGGGGTGGGGGAGAGCGAGGGGAGGAACCAGGGTCTCTGGCCCCGCACTCTGGCTGAGGCAGGCAGAGGGGTTAGAGGGCTCTAAGAAGGGGTTAAAGGGCAGCCACCGGTGGTCCTGCCTGATCACAGTGCCGCTTGGCTCCCTAGAGAGGCTGCTTGGTAAGGCCCGGCGGGCACTGAGGCCAGCATTCAGGGTGGAGGCTCTGGCTCCTCACCGCAACCCTGAAGCCTGGCACTCAGCGGCAGGTGTCCATTCTGCTTTCACGCCAGATGACTCGAGGAAATCCACGTGGACGTGGGTGGGGCCGTCACTCCCCTGGGGCAGGGCTAAGAGGTGGGGGCCCTGCTCAAGGCTTGGAAGCTTCTTTCTCTCTCCGTGTAACTGCCATTCTAGCAGTGCTGTGCTAGCGTGTGCTTGGCCTGGCTCCAGCTATGCCCTGAGCCTGGCAGAGGGATGCCCGGTGATCAGATCAAAGGAGGCAGCAGGCAGCTGGGACTTCTCTGCCTGCAGCCGGCTCCTAGCCTCCCTGCTGCTGCTGCTGCAGGCCACTCTCTGAGTCACTGTGCAGAGCGCCTGCTACCGAAGAGGCTTCCTTCCCTCCCCCGCCCTCTCCACCTGGAGCCACTGGGGCAGCTTCCTGTCCACCCTCAGGTGGCAGATGGGAGAGGACAGGACACGTGGGACCCCAGTGTGAAGTCAGGGAGAACCAGAGAGGAGCCAAGCTTCTTCCACCCCAACCCACCTGCCATGCACTCCCCCAAAGTGCTGATGATGTGGGCAGAAACGGGCACTGAGGGAGGCTGGGAGGAACGTGACGCTGGACCAGAGGAAGCTAGAGTGCCAGCATGAGAACTAGAGGACCGGTGGTTCAAGCAGGCGTGTGGGTATTGCCCACGCATGCACAGAGGTAGACACAGAGCAGAGACTTGGACATACACACAGGTGGCTACGCACACACTCCCAGACACACTCTGACCCGGGGGATCCTGTCCCCACGCTGACAGCCACCATGGAGGCAAAAAAGTAACTCCCTGGTCTGCACCTGCTCACCCCGCATCCCTGCCCCGAGAACAAGAAGCCAGCTGCTGTCTCACTGATGCTACCAGCACCAGTGTCCAGGACCCCACGCCCACCTCCCCCAGCCCAGCACAGCCAGGCCCTCCCCCCACTCCTCCCCACGCCACCCCAAGAAGAAACGAGAATGCGGGAGAGGAGGCTGCGGTAGAAGCTTGCTGAGGAGGGGCACTGATCCAGGGCAGCCTGCAGGGGATGGAAAGCCACCCAAAGCTGGCACCGAGAAGACCGCCTGGGTGGCCCTGGGCTTCTCACCACGCACCGTAAGACGGACCCCACCAGGCTCGCTTTGCTCCCTCTGAGAGATGAGCTCATGGATAACAGAGCTGGGAACAGCAGGAAGCACCCAGTGGTGGGCAAAGGTGGGCCCGCGGAGGTTTACGGGTCCTTATGGGAATGGCCCGGAGGCTCTCAGGCTGTCCACTGTGACATGCAGGCTATCTCGTCCACCTTGGCCTCCCCCCAATCCTCCTGGTCATTCTGGCAACAGAGAAGCTAGCTTCGCTGCCACTGGCCCCTCCCCAGCCGCCCTCTAACCAGGGCCAGGTAGCAACTCCATTTGCCCTGGCAAGATGCCACCAGGTAGAGCCAGATGCCCTGCTGAGGGCTCCTGCGGAGTCAGCAGGAGGGAGCAATAGGACAGGGCCGCCTTTAAATAGCGCAGTTACCACCTCAGCCTAACAAAGGCTCCTGCCCTCTCAGGACCACGCACAGGCCCTGACTCAGAGGCGAAAGCTGCCGCCCCCAGAGCATTTTGAGGGGATGGAGAGGTTGCCAGTGAGGGGTGCAGGCAGGCTGTACAACAGCGGACGAGGGCTCCAGGTGAGCAGGGAGCGGTTGGGGCTCATAAACACGGGTCATGAAAACTCTGAGGTCTCTTGGGCTTCCCAAAATTTACCTCCATCCTATCCCATCAAACAGGAAGAATGGGTACTCCCCGCTGCCTGACCAGATGGCAGGCCCCAGCACTGGGAAAGCATGGCCTTGGCCAGGGCCAGGCGGCTGCCCCACGGAGGCCACAGGGCCAAGCCAAGCTGCCAGTTGGTGCTCAAGTCTCAATGCCCATGAGTTGAGCCAAGATGGGGCCTCAGAGGAAAGAGCTGAGAGGAAGGTCACCCTCCCAATTTGCCTGCAGGAAATGGGGAAGGAGGTGTGACAAAGGAAAATAACCATTATGATGGCAACTATGATTGACTCAGCTTCCACCACGTGCCAGGCACTGGGCTGTTGGCTGACATATCTTAACTCAGTCCAGTCCTCACAATTCCTTGCGAGGACACGGAATTCTTCCTCCCATTTCAGAGACATGGGAATCAGGTCTCAAGTCACATAACCAAGTTTCCACAGGGAGGAAGAGGAAGAGCTAGGTTCAAATCCATTCTGTCTGAGTCCACAGAGGGGCCTTACTCCTTCACCCCATGGCCTTTCTCAGGCCTCTCTGACCCTCACAGAGTGCCAGGGTGCTGTGGCCGAGGGACAGCTCCCCCCGCCCCTGGGGGCAGGTCTCTGAGTAGCAGCCATCCTGGTCACTGATGAGGCCACCGGGCCTCTATCTGTGAAGCCCATCTCTTTAGCTGCTCCCAGGAGTTAGTGACGAGCTATCTTTCCTCAAGACTCAGCTGCTGAACTGTGGTTGTGTGTGTGGTCCTTAGATCCATGTGACTATGGGGGCGCGGCGAAGGACGTGGATGAGAATAAAGAAGTCAGTGAGCCAGAAGGCTGAAGGGGGACAGATGGTGACTTCCTGTGGCTGCAATGCCCACTCCTCCCCTCCATTCCTCCTAATTCTCTACCTGGGGCCTGGGGAAGCTTTCCATCCTTCAGTCATCCCTACTCCGTACCAGCCCCTCTTCTCCAGCACACATACTCCCCACAGCTCCACACCACCCCAGGTTTCCATAGCAACCCATGCAGGGCCTAAGCCCCAGGGGAGAGTATCCCTGGCATAGAGTGACCACAGCTAGCTCCCTCACATCCTAAAGCCTTTCTGCCCCCAGCTCCCTGCCTCCCTGCCCCCACAGCCTGACTGCCTGTCCTTCTTCCTAACTCTCACCATTACCCTCAGAGGCTCTAAAAAGACCACAGAAACCCCTGGTAACTCTTTCCAACCCTAAGAGTTTAGCAAGCGAGAGGCCCAGGAGCCTGGCTCCCTGCCCCCCAATGCCTCCTGCACACCCCGAGGTCTGACATCATGTGCCCAGACAGCACCACCCTGTCACCTCCCACGTCTCCCAGAGCCGCAGTCCCCAGAGGCCAGGAGTCTAGAGCATTCTGGGGGAGGGGGACAGCCACCATCAAGATGTTCACCATCTCATTATTCCGAGATACCATGTGCCCTGGCAGCCTCCTTAGGCCTCAGGACCAAGTCCTAGAAAACAGCTGAGGGGCACCATCCAAGCTGCTCCTCCTGGCAGCAAGCAGCTCCCCTGGGAGTGCTGGAATCCCACCCCGCGGCTCTGCCCTTTTCTAACCCAACAGCAATATGACAAAGTGGGGGGTGGGGGGGAGACTGTTACGAGTGTCTACAGGATAACTGTGTATCTTCCAACTGCCCCATGGCTCTAAATTGCCTTCAAAAGACCTAGCCCCCAGCACCACCTGCCATACAGCAGGTGCCCAATAAAGTGTGCTGAACAGAGTACTAAGCACCAGCTCCAGCACCTCGGAGAAGCCCAGCTAGCGGAGGGGCCGCATGGGGAGTGGTCCCCATGCTAAGCAGAGCCCCCCCTTCACCACTTGCTCACTTGCAGCAGCAGCAGAGCAGCCGCCCACCCCCTGCCCCTTAGCGGACACGCTGGTGCCTCTCTTCAGAGGTGACGTCAGCACCCAGCGGCACCTTGTCCTCCACCCCTTTCCTGCTCCAAGAAAGCACCCGCACGGGGCTCCAAGTCCTCCAACCGGACTGGGCAGCTCTCTTCCCACCCGCCCCAGAAGCTGCAGGGTCGGCCCTGGAAACCATCTGCGTGGTGGTCAGCTCGCACCCTCAACCTAATACTGCCCAGGACCCCACCCCACCCTCTTTCTCAGGGGCGCCCGCCTCGCCCCCACCTCAGCGGACCTCGGGCTGGCACTGCGCAGACCCGCATCCCAGGCTCAGTCTGCACCTGACAGCTGGAGGGTGAAGAGCTGGCGACATTAAGAAGGGCGCTGGGAGAGACCCCGCCCCAGGAGAGCGCCAAGTGCCCGGCCCTCCGGTGCCCCTGGCATCTCTGAGCGGAGCTGGCCCAGGAGTTGAGGCGCTTGGGGGTAGGGGGAGGAATGGGGGTGCAGCCCCTCCCGTTCTCTCCGGACCTGCCAGCTTAGGCCCCTCCCCCGAGGTCCATGGATGAGCACGCACTCCACAGCCCGGCAGACTGGGCATCGCCCCCACGCTCACCCCAAGGGCACTGCACCTAACGGGAACCGGCCGGCGAGGGGAGGCGGCAGAGGGACGGGCTGATGCTGCAGGCGCAGGAGACCCCTCCCCGAACTGTGCCAAAGCCCAAGGTGGAGACCTCTCCCCCAACCCAGGCTCCAGACGCTCACCTGCCTGCAGTCCCCGGAGACCCGGCAGCTCGGCTGGGCCAGGAGCCCCAGGGTCGCTGCGAGGACCCTGGCTGGACCGAGCAGCTGCAGCCTCCCAAGCACAAGCCCCGCCCCTAACAAGACCACGCCCCCGCAGGGCGAGTCCCGCCCCCACGTGACTACACACCACCGCAGCCTCCCAGGCACAAGCCCGCCCTCAATGAGACCACGCCCCCACAGGGCGCGTCCCGCCCCCACGTGACTGGATTCCACTGCAGCCTCCCTACGGAGCCCCGCCCCGGGGCCTGCTAACACCCTCAAGCCCCGCCCCAGCACGTGACCCGAGAGCAGCTGGGAGGCTGCGTGGTTTCAGCTAAGCTGGGCTGCGTCACACCCGCCCTCCCTTTGAACAGCCCAGTCTCAGTTCTAGCCACCTGCTCCCCGGAGTGGCCTCCGTCCTGGCCTTGTCTGGTGTGTCACCTCACACCTGCTCGCTCGTGCCCATGTATTTTCCTTTGGTAACACCCATTTTTAATTGAGAAACTTTTTAAGTCCAGATACATGTCCACGGTGTGCACTCTAAAGAACTGTGTCACTTTTATCAATCCCAGCCTTTGGTGAGTGTTAACATCATGAAGACAGTCTCAATGCCAAAAGTCCTGATTGACAAACTATGGTATTCTCCCCATTTTCCTGACCTGCTCCTCCCTATCTGGTGTGGCTATTAATGCCCGTTTCCACTCTGGTTTGTGCTCATCCTGAGCCTGCTCAGCCCTGCACAGGCGAGTGCACTGCAGCGGTGTGAACTTCTATGTGTATGCTGTGTACCTATTTGCAGATGTGCACGTGTTCACTAAAGCAAGGCTGGAGTTGAGCTCAGTTTCATATATAACCTTTTTTTTTTCCTTTCCTATAATAAATTCACCACTTAGCTTAGTTTCCAGGTATCTTCTGTAAAATGTATGAAAATCTAAATAATTGTGATTTACTTAGGGAGTAAGAAATGAAGCTAAATGTCCGTTTTATCTGACCATCAGAGAAAAATCAAAGTATGTATTTAAGGAAGTGAAAATTACAAAACAGGTTTTTCAAAGGCAGTCCCAAAAGTCCCAAACCTTCACTAGGTCAGTACAACGATTGAAATTTCTTTTGAAAGCCAAATTTTTTAAACTTAAACTTTTAACGCTACTTCTTCACAACAGACTCTCCCAGGCCATGGTATTCTGTGAAAGAGCCACACTTAAGGGGCCAAAGAGCCGCAGTTTGCCGACCACTGCTCTAGGTGGGTTTTTTTTTGGGGGGGAGGGGGAGTCTCACCAAAGGGAAATCCCTGAGACACTTCACATCCTTTCACTAATAAACACAAATCACCTTAGAAAAGGCAACTCAGCCAGTGAAGAGGGAAAACTAAAGCCATGTTAACCGTCTGTCAACGCTATGCTGAAGCATCATCTAATTTGTCGATCATCATACCACAGCTTGATACAAAACCTCAGAAGTTGTCAGAACACAACTAGCCAAATGCATTTCACTCCCCTTTTTAACGGAACTCCTAAATGCAGGCCATGAAATCCACTAGGAGAGCCCCCTTTAGTTCCAGGACCAGGGATCTGAGCTTCTGTTCTCCTGCCTCAAGGGCAGTGTTTACAGAGATGTGCAATGTGCTTAAGGTCTTGCCTTTTGTCTTTTATCATTTAAATGCCCCAATTCTGTTTTTGTGTGCACGGCTTTAATTCCCCCCTTGGTGTGGGCTAAAGGTTAGCTGTCAGCAGAAGTATTCAGCAGATGCTCCCTAAGAACAGTCCTTAAATAGCAGGGGGCAGGGAGGATGGTAAGGAAAAAACAACACACTAATTTAGCGGTATGGTGACAAGGTTTTCCTATCTAAAGAGTATCATCTTAACACCCACCTCATGGCAAGCTCCAGCTCATGTGGCAGGGGAGCAGGAGGCAAAAAGCAGCAGGATTAACTCGTTAGCAAAAACAAAACAAAACAATCCAAGTCAGGATGCCCTTCGCAGAGAACACAGCCACAGCCTGACCTCTGACAACTATGCTTCTGCAAGAAAGAAGGAGGCCAGACCGCCCGGGGCAGAGCAGGAGTCCCAGTGCTTGTAGTTCAGGAACCGGTTCTGAGAGGGGATGTGTTTTTTAATGACCGTCAGTATAATAAATGTCTTTCTAACAATTCAATGAAAATGTCACCCTTTTTCCTGTAACAAATTTCCTGGTTTGTTTTACATTTTACTTAAAAACAGACTCTTTCATCAACATCATACAACTTCAGGTTGATTAGGGATAAGGCACACAAATACAATCAAATTTTCACTCACCTTTGACTTTTTCTACGTGCACTCTGCCTACTCACTCCCCTTTGCCACCATCTACCACAAGAAAACCAAGAATGATCTTCTGTGGGAGAGCTGAGGGTCCTGGGTGGGAGTCCTGCCTACGTCACTGACTCCGTATCCTCAACCACAGGATGAGAGCAGTACCACCTACCTTGCAGGACTGTGGAAATTAGAGATATTACATAAAGTTCCTAGTACAGGACCCAAGACACAGTTATTACTATTACTATTTTCAGCCTCACGCAAAAAAAAAAATACCTAAAATCACAAACTGGCAAAATAATATTTATGTGATAAATATCCAAAAATTATTTTTAAAGAAAGATACACAAGCCAATCTTATAAGATTCTGAAAACCCTGTCACCTGGTTTATTTCTGGAGAAGGGTAAAGGGAGAATTGTCACTTGAATTTGAGGGGCAGCTAAACTGGAAGCTACAGTAGCAGCAATTCTATGCCTCCAAGGTTCCTCTGATCCACAGGGAATGCTTCAACTTCCTTGTTTGATTCAAGAGTCTAATTTTTTCCTAGAGCAAGATCATCCATTTTCATTGGGATAAAAGAATAAAGAACAACAAACTCAATAGCACCAAGTGAGTTTAAAACAGAAAATAGGACCCAGCTTCTCCTATCAGATGAGACTCTTCCATCAAAATCTGTTTAGAAGTCACGGTGGTCTTTCCTCTTGAGTCAACCCTCCTCCCTCGCCCAGCAGGAGCCCCAGGGGCCTGAAGAGCATGTGCATCACCAACCAGAGGAGCAGTCCAGCCACCCCGCCACAGGACAGAACACAGGCCTACGCTCTCAGGGAGAACGGGTACTGAGGGTGCCACCAGTCAAAGAGCCGAACGCTGTGCACCGGGTCCAGGATGACTTGCACACCCTGCTCACTGCGCAGTTTCCGACCCCCGTGCACAGGAGTATCTTGGAACACCAGTCTCACTCGATGATGCCGCATGTCCGTGCTCACATTGATCGTAAACTGGAGGGAAGGGAAAGCAAATGGCATTACATCCCACACCCAAACTGAACAACCTTGTTCTCCTACAGCCCCCTCTGAAATGAGACAGTCTGGAAAAAATTTGCATTGGCAAGGCCACAAGATAATCCCTGAAAAGATATAAAAAATTAAGTGTGACTTTATAAGTTCTGCTTAGTTTGATATAGTATATAAGTAGGCTAAGGAATGCCTCTCCAATGGATGAATAAATCAGGATATATGCACAAAGACTACCACCAAAGCCAACTTTTAAATACTGGGTGAGAGCTGGATGGTTCGAAGGGATTTTAAACAGATATTGTTGAGCAAGTGAAGCCAAGATTCATAAAACACACCCAGATCCCGTTTTTGTTTTCTCGGTAAAATAAACCACAAGACCTCTAAATGTTGATGTGTGTGCAGGTCCACAGGGAACAATATGGGTATCAAGTACCTGGTGTGGGAGTGAGACACAGCTAGGTCAGTAACGTGGCCTGCCTAGAGGAAGGGGACAGGGGTCTACAATAAGAGCAGCGTGGATGACATCACACCAACTACTGCAGAGGGGCCGAGTGCAAATGCACAGATCAACAGACACATTAAAGAACAATCCCCAATGGTAAACTGCAGCGGTAGGTTGTAGGTGCACTACTTAAATTCTTCAAATGAAGTATGTCCTATCGATATTTATTTTACCATTTTAAAAAAAGCTATATAGGGCTCACATATGGCCACATCCTTGTCCCTAGTAGGATAATGTTTCTCACATTATCAATCTCTACAAAGAGACGCAGAAACATTCCCTTTGCTACAGAGAACAGAGGTAAAGTATCTCAAACATGCGTAACTTCTACACAAATTTGTCTGTTCCCAGTACACAAGTCTGCTTTCAGACTTTTTAAAATCTTCATTAAAGATTTCTTCTTCAATGGTTAAATCTACAAATTTCTTTCAAACCCTAGGTACAGTTAAGAGTCTGTGCAAGAGTGGAAGAGACACCGTCTCCACTTACCAGGGTGAATACCATCCCCATGACAATGGGAATAAAGATGAAATTGAGAGTGGTGACCTGCAGGAGGCAGCAGTCATGGTCGGGGTTGGTGTGAACATCTTGGTACTGGACAGGAGGCTGCAACCCTCCCACGCACTTGCTCTTTAACCTGGGGGACTGAGGAGAACGGAAAGTTAATCTCATGGCTAAAAGAACATGTTCATGGACAAGACTCCACCAATGAAAATTCTATGGCTCAACTGATGCCGAGACCCATGTTTCTGTTTTCTCCTCTTTTCCTATGTACATGTTTGTTTCCATAGAGATCAAGAAAACCTACCCTTTGAGAGGGGTACTGTTGGATAGGCAATGTGGCAGTGGGTGCAATGCTGCAGTGAGATGGTGTTTCCTGCCACCCGACAAGAAATGGGAACGTACAGCTCTGTCAGAGGCTCTCCAACGTCTGGAAAACTGAAAACTCCCTGTGATGCCCACTGCAGACAACATGTGCTGTACAAAGGGCGGCACCATGGCTTCCGCTCCCAGGCATCCTGCATGGCTGAGCTCCTGGGCCAAGGGCTCACCCTCTGCCTTCACCTGCTACCCATGTGTTCTCTCACAGGAAAGTTCCCTCTTCGTCTTCTCTTCATGGCAGTAGTACAGGTTTTGATGTGTATTGTATTTTAATAAGTCAACTTTATGCCTAGTTCAACTTACTAGAACAAATATCTGAAAAACAAAAAGGAGATACAATTACGTACCTGTTTTTTAAACTTGAAGTTGAATTCCCACATTGGTTCCTGTCTGTTCCCAACAATCTTCCGGCACCAGAAAAGTAAGCACTATAAGAAAACAAACCAAAAATAAATAAAAGACAAAAAAGAAAAAAAGTCTAAATAAGGCAACAAAAAAATAATCAAGCCAGAACCCTTTCTGGTTGCCAGCTCTAATGCTATGGGCTCGCTCTGGCACAGATAGAGGCCCGCCCCCCAATTTGACGCTGTGCAACGTGAAGAGACAATCCCAGGGCTACTCAGTCCAGAGAAGAGGGACCAATGAAGTCAACCTCAGAGGCTGTACAGTCGACCCTCCTCTTTAAGGACAGAAACATGGTCTCTAGGGACGGGGCACTCTCTTAGTCAGCAGGCCACTCCACCAGGCAAGATGGGATCCAAGGCAGGCCAAGAAGGCCAGCCCTGGAATCCACAGGAGCAAGCCACTCGGGACCCTCTGGGAGCCGACCACCGGGGTGGACACTCCAGAACCGGGCTGGATTCAGCATGCCCCTCGGTGAAGGCAGGCTACAGCTAAGTGTAAGCACAAGAAGTCAAGTACCTCCCAGGGGGTAAGGGGTGGGTCGTCCGCCGTGCCAGCTGTCCTGCCCTTCAGACATGCCCTGTACGTCCTGATGTTCCATCAAAAATAATGGGCTTGGCTTTAAGGGGCAAACACTTCTGCTGCCATCACAACGGCTCCAGTGTCTCACACAAGCTATGCTACTGAAAAGAGAGAGAGGGAGAATCGTATACGAAAAGCTGGAGTCCGGGAACATGGGACCGCTCCTACAGGCGTGCTGGCAGCTCCCTGAATGCCATGCGACTGTGGCTGTACAGGTGGCAAGGCCACGCGTGGGACAGCTGCACTGCAGGTCCCACGTCCTCTTCAAAGACCTCTCACCACAAGGCACAGAAGAAGCAGCCAGGCAGCCTGGGCTCACTATCTGGGTTAGACGTTAGCTATCATTCCACACTGCCTTTAAGAGATGCTAGGCGGTGATAAGAGAGTGAAGACACAGGTCCCTTAGGATTGGGCACTGGAGCCGCTACGATGTGCCAGCACAAGTTTGCCCGGTGCTGCTCTGCTTCCAGCAACCGACCTGCCCCTGGCTGGTCAGCACTGAGGTGATGCCCTCCTCATCAGAGTTAGTCTGACCCTATCACTATCCAGGAGGGTGTGGGGGACTGTAAACGTGACACAATACACTGTCCACTCACATTACAAGCAGAAACAGCTGCTGGGTGAAATTCTACCCCAGCCCTATATCCATCAGCTGTCGTGATATTGAACTGAGCTCCGCTCATGGTCTTGACCACCTCCATTTGCAACCCTGGGAGGAACCTTGATGAATAACCTTGAAATCAGTGGTACCTTCTAATCAATATGTATCAGGTAGAACATTATCACACTTGGGCTACACTAGGGAAGAAGAATCATTGTACCATCCAAAGCATAGAAACAAAATACAAGAGAGTAGAAAGTGCTATAGAACACCAGATTTTGTGTAAGCTGGGAATAAAAATTACCTACAGACTCAAAAGATACAAAATTTAAACAATATTAGTTGGGGGGGAGGGTGGCGGGGACATCAACTGCCCTGAATCATAGTATCTGCCCTACAGAAAAGAAAGAGAATAGACCAAGGCTAACATACCTACGTACAGTCAGAATGCCAGCAGATCCTAAAAGAGCAGGTCTACACCAAGACCCTAAAGCAGGTCAACAAGTAGGGAAATGCAGCCGTCCATGTCCCGAGAAGAGAAAACCAGTAAGCTGTGCGCGTTCTACCTCTGCCTCTGACTTAAAACACTGAGAACGACAGCTGAGACCTGCCACGCAGGTGTGTTCTTCCTATCCCACACCTTCAAAACCATCTAACGTGGACATAATGCATGAAAGTAAGACAAAGAGAATAAGGAATATGATACAAGCATGAGGAAGCCAGGCCGGCATGGAGACATGAAAACCCTGAGCCCTGTTAGTCCCCTAGCAGCCTGGCACCCACAGGCCTACCCCCCACCCCACCACGGAAGCTGGAGACACGCCCCACAAACAGGCCTACCACACAAGAGCCCCACGCGGATTCTCACTTACTTTGGAATTCTTTAACGTGCTGGGCGTGCTTTCTGGAATGGCTGGGTGTTTGGAGATTCGAGCAGCGAAGGGCTCGTACATATGGTACAGAGATCGGATCACACACGCACGGAGGCAGCGCAGCTTCTCCATGGACTCTGGGCGCAGGCGCAAAGGCAGGGAGGCATCCAGCGTGTAGTGCCTGAAACACGACACATTACTCCTACCAACGTGTGGCCTGTCTCTCCGGCTCCAGGTCAGTCTCCTGTGACCCCTGGTCTGTGTGACTTCGCGCGCGCACACACACACACACACACACACACACACACATACCCACACACCACCATCTCTTCACTTCTCAGCTACTGTTGCTATGTGAAACTCAATTTAAATGTACCTTATAATCCTGTACTTCTCCATCCTTTTCAAAATTTCTAATTACCTGTATTTCACCCTAAAAAGAGGAAAGTCTTAGCTTTGCTAGGAGTTCCAAGTACTTCAGACCCTGCCCAGAAGGCATACCAAGTTCTCTACTTCCTTCCCATCACATTCTCACTGACAGCTCCTAAACTCACTACACTTCTGTACCCAGTATCAAGAACTAGTCCTCCTACTAGTCACACCATCACCCTCTCCTCACCCCTACAAGTGTATGTAGGGCAGCTTAAGAACAAACTATATGGTACTTCAAGGCGACCAGCAAATATAAGAAAGTAGTCTAGCTGGAAAGACAAAACAGGTGGGCATCTGAATCTTTTGAAAATCCCAGCTAAGACAACCCCCTGAGGAAAAATCAAAGACAGTTCTAAAACGTGAAGCAACACTTTTGTGGCAGATGGATACTGGATCAGGGGAGGAGACAACCACAGGGAAGACCGTTGCCTCGATGAATTAATAATATGAATTTTAAATGAAGGTCTCAAGGAACCCAAAGCCAGGCTCACACCAGGCCTGGAGTAGAGAAAGTGCAAAGATCACCATCCCGGAGCAGTTTCAAATCACAAACAGCATGAAATCAGCTACACAGACAACAGGGAGCTCCCTGTGGCCGCACCTTCGGTACAACCTGGTCCAAAAGGCAGCAGTGCAAGTGACAGTCCAGGCATTCTTACAAATCAGGGAAAAATTCACAATGTCCTCGGGACGGATGTAGGAGGCCAGCAAGAGCCAAATATCCATGGGGTACTCTTCACCCCCAGCCCCATCCAGGTCTTCTGAAACAGAAAAAAAGAATTATAATCTCTGCCCTTACTTAGTTAAATCACCTTCCACAAACTCTGACCTTCTATTACACACGTATCTAAAATCCCCAACACTTAGATTCTCCTAGGTCTTGCACAGCTAAGAAAAAGGTTTAAAGGTCCAAGGAAGCCTCTCAAACTCATCACTTCCTGCTTATTCCAGCTGTTGGAAATGTTTGCTTCTTGTTGCCCCAGTGAATAGGTCTCGTTTTTAAGGCATTTACTTAATAATTATTTATATGCTATTTTTAAGTTTTCAAAATAATGTTGCATACATTAAATCATTCAATCCAAAAGCTAACCTTTAACCTTTAGTTCAGACCTGTCATAGAACTATCCAAAACCCAGATTTCTTCCTTCTCTTTCCTGGGCAAAAGCCCCTACACCACCTGCCTACGGCTGCCTCGGCTTCTCTAGGTAATTGCTCCCAGCAGTTCTTTGACTCAATCAGGTTCTTAAGCTGAGTTCCTCTTTTCAGAGACCAAGGCCTCTAAAGAAACATCCTCTTTTCTGGTTCCTATCCTTTCTTGCAATCATTATCAGGCTCTCTCTATCACATTACATCACTCTGTGAAAGAGAGGACCCCAGCACTTCCTCCCCTGAGACCCATCAGAACTTTCACGAAGCAGAGAGCTATTAAAAATTTGCCTTGAGAGCAAAAACCGATTTGGCTCAGTGGATAGAGCGTCAGCCTGTGAACTGAAGGGTTCCAGGTTCGATTCCGTTCAAGGGCATGTACCTGGGTTGCGGGCACATCCCCAGTGGGAGATGTGCAAGAGGCAGCAGATCAATGATTCTCTCTCATCGATGTTTCTAACTCTCTATCCCTCTCCTTTCCTCTCTGTAAAAAAATCAATAAAATATATATATATATTTTAAAAACTTGCCTTGAGGGTCAAAACTCAGTAATTATTAAAGAACCGTGTTTTAAACATAATTATTAAGAAATTTCAAAATGTCGAAATGGAGTCAGTAAGGAAAAGCTTCATGGCACGTTAAACCCTGTCCAACTCAGTTCTCTACTGCAGTCACCACACACAGGACTAAAGAACCAAAAGCAAGCAAGCCCCGAACCTCTGTGCCTCTTGCTCTTCTTCTTTCTGGAGACGGGCCTCTCATAGATGCTCTCCTCTTGCACATCCATCTCATCACTGCTGTCCAGGACATCGCAGGGCTCGCCGGCCCCAGAGAGAGCCTCCACCACGGGAACCTGAGAGGCTTCCAGGCCGCACAGAGATTTTACTGGAAGGAAATAAGGAACGGGTGAGAAGGCTGAGTCCCATCCAGAGATATAAACGGCTTAGGCAGGATATCAGCATCCATGAGGGGGGGAGGGGAAACAAAAGAAATAACCAGCATGAGAGTCTGCTGAAAAAAAATCTGAGACTCTAAAAAGGAAGAAAATTAAGCATTTTAAATTTAAAAAAAAACCTGGAAAGCAATGGGCAAACGGACTCCTGAAAAGTGCCAACCTCCAAGGCGAAGAAAAAGGGAGTGCATTATTCTCCCACTATAACCTGCATGGGCTAAAACTAAAGGCCAGTGCTGTTCTCATTTGCATACATCCTGAGTACCAGCGTTTTGAGTGGCACTAAATCCAGTTTAATCACGTTCTTGGCTTGGAGACAGTAGGTGTCATAAAAACACAAGCCTCAGTGCTTGAGTGTGACCTATGAACCAGGAGTTCCGGGTTCGGTTCCTGGTCAGGGCTCCATCTCCAGGGTGGGGTGTGCAGGAGGCAGCCGATCCATGATTCTCTCTCATCATGGATGTTTCTCTCTCTCTCTCCCTCTCTACCTTCCTCTCTGAAATCAATTAAAATGTATTTTTTTAAACACACAAGTCTCAAGGATATGTAAGTACAAAGCTTGAAAGCAAGAGAAACAGAGAAAAAGAATAGACTTCAAGGTTCTTCCACGAAAAGCAAAAACTGCAGAGGTCGTGGAGGACAGGGCAAACTGCAGGAAAAAGACTAAGCAAACCCAAACCGGTGTTGCTCAGTGGATAGAGCGTCATCTGCGGACTGAAGGGTCCCGGGTTCGATTCCAGTCAAAGGCATGTACCTTGGTTGCGGGCACATCCCTGGTGGTGGGTGTGCAGGAGGCAGCCGGTCGATGTATCTCTCTCATTGATGTTTCTAGCTCTCTATCCCTCTCCCTTCCTCTCTGTGAACAATCAATAAAAATGACACAGGACATTTCTGCTGCACAAAGTGCTGGCGCTCCCGGAATCTATGGAGCAACCCCGGGGAGAGCCCACTCGTTTAGGGAAGATGCCCCCAGGGCTGCAAGGACGACACTGATGGAGCCCCAGGGGCAGAACGCCCGGTCCCGCGGCCGGAGCCCCGGAGGCCCGTCGGCAGCCTACCCTCCTGCTGGACGGCGTTGGCGACGGCTTTCTTGATTCGTCCGGACCTCACGACGGCCGGGTCCGAGTTGGCATAGTCCGCCACGGTCACTGAAACAAGCAGGAGCCTGTGAGGCCTTCTCCCTTCAGCGTCCCCCCCGCCCCGCGCGCCGGGCCCGGCCGCCTCCCCGACCCCCAGCCCCGGCGGCCGCTCACCGCCCCGCCCCTCGCTCACCTCGCCCCGAGCAGGCGTCGTGGGCCCGGAACTTGAGTCGCTTCCCGCGCTTGGGCATGGCGGCCGGGTCGGGGCGAGGCCGCCCTAGCGGGCCAGGACCCCGGGCCATGTCCTGGGCCCCCGAGCCGGCTCCGGGAGCCGCGGGACAGCGCCACTCGGCGCCGTGGCCATCCCGCGCCGCAGGACGCCGCTCTCGCGATGACTCATCCCGGGCGCTGCGTCCCACCGGCGCGACGTCCCCTTCAGACGCCAATCAGCGACAGGCGTGGTGACGTCAGCATTCTGCGCTGTCGGGGCTGGGTGCTCGGGGCTCGGGGCTCGGGGCTCGGAGATTTGCACCCTTTACACAGATGAGGCTTTTCCTGTTTTCAGCTCTGTTGCTTCTCCAGGTGTTAACCAAAGATTTCTCTGATCATTGGCATCTTGATTTTTACTTTTTTTTTTCAATTGACTCGGTGTATTACATTGAACATGTATCGTAGTTATACTTGGGGAAATATCAATGAAACTATTTTTATTAGGAGAGAAATGTGGCGCCGTTACAGTCCACAGCCTTGGATCTAGATCGGAAACCCGTGGAGCTGATAGCAGGACTTACTCACCGCTTCCTGGGGACCCTCCCTGAGGACGGTGCTAGGAGCGAGGTGGAGTGGCCAGGAAGACAATGGTTGTCAGGGAGGCTGTCATCTGAGAGCAGTGACCAAGTTGGTCCTGCCTCAGAGGATGCATATTCTGCCCCATCCCAGCCTCTCCACTACTACCCAAGCACTACATTTTCTCCTGTTGACTTTGGGAAAAGTCCTGAACACTCGGAAGTGTGGAGTTGAGTTCCTATGTACCCAAAAGAAGGAATCTGAGATGGAACTACAGCTCCAGTCAAGGTGATACATGATTTTCTTGATGCCTCTTCACACTCCCTGGGGAACGGAGGTGCCTCTCAGAAAGGGAGTTGGCCTCTTGGATCTCTGACTTGATCCCAATCATAGATCCTTAATAAGTGCCTGTTAGGTTCTCCAGAGAAAACCAACAGGATATATTGAAAAGAGAGATTTATTATGAGGGACTGTCCCATTTGGAGGATGAGCAAACCAAGACCCATGGTTTTTGCTGTCTATAAGTTGGAGGCCCCAGGAAAGTTGCTGGTGTAGTTCCCAGTCCAAATCTGAAGGCCTGAGAACCAGGGGATCCAATGTCTGAAAGCAGAAGAAAATGGATGTCCCAACTCAAGCAGAGAGAGACCAGCACACACAGCATGGGAATCCCAGAGGAAAAGAGAAAGGGTCAGAGAGAACAGTTGAAGAAATAATGGCTGAAATCTTCCTGAATTTGACAAATATACAATGAGTGGCCAGATTATTATGATTTCTGAATGCATAGTAATCTGGCCACTCAGTGTATATCCTATATAATAAAAGGCTAATATGCAAATTATCCTCTTGACCAGGAGTTCGACCAGCAGGCAGGCTGGCCAACCACTCATGTCCCCTCCCCTTGGCCAGGCTGGCAGGACCCCACCCATGCACGAATTCATGCACCGGGCCTGATATGAGTTCAGGGATCATAATAATCTGGCCACTCAGTGTAAACTTCCAACAACAAACTCTAAGTAAAATGAATTTAAAAAGACCCACACCAGGCCACATAATCAAACTTTCAAAACAAAGAAAGAATCTGAAAAGTGGTGAGAGAGGAGTAATCACATACAAGGGATCCTTAGTAAAATTAACAGATAAGAAGTTGAGCTGAAACTTCAGGCCAGGCCAGGGTTGCTGGCCGGATCCCCAGTGGGAGGCATGCAGGAGGAAGCCAATCAATGATTCTCATCGTTGATGTTTCTATCTCTCCCTCTCCTTCTCTTTTCCTCTCTGAAATCAATAAAAATAAAACTTTAAAAACACATTACAGTCCAATGGTAACTTTTCTCGACAGTGTAAGTGCAGACATCTGAGTGAACACCCATGGTCACAGATGAAGAAGCCGCTGTAGGCCCTTCCCACCGGCGCCATGGCACCATGAGAGACGCCCTGTGCATGCTCCTCTCTGCGGCGGCAGCACTGTTCTCAGTCTTCTACTTCATTCAAGAAAACCCTTTTGACACTACAAGCTTTCTGTCCTTGGTGAGTACCAGAAGCTGTGGGTCGGGCAAAGTTGAAGTCCATGGACTGAGAAAAAGGAGACAGTGTCTAAGTGTCTGCCACGGTCACTAACATTGTAGACACTCACAGGAGAAACATGATAAAGCCTGATGACTCGACATTTTTTTTTTTTGATGGGGCAATAAAGGAGGTGGCACTCTGGAAGAAAGAATTCAGGGATGGGAAGAAATTATACTTCTTTCCTATGGTTTCAAAGTTAAGTCACTTTTCCAAGCCAAGAAAAACTGTAAGGGGATGAGAAATTTCACCGAGAAAAGAAGAAAAGGGTGGGGGTGAACTTGGAGGGTGAAGAGTTTAGACTGGGGCATTGCAGTGGCATCACTGTCTCTTCTCATGCCTAGCACATGCTTTGCCCTTCATGGGAGTAAGTGGCCCATATCAGACTAGTCAGAGAGATGACTGTGGGGGAAGAATGGCGTGAACTGAGACGATCTCATTTCCTACATGTAACCTGGACTCCCTTCACCACAGGACCCATAACCTGTACAAGAATCCCCAGAGTAGGACTTTATCAGAAGATAAGGGAGAAACCTGAGCAACCTGCCTGTATCCTGGAGATGTTTTATTATGTGATGCAGAGCAGAACCCACCCAGCCATTCTTCTCAAAGGGCAGGACTCAGAGCTGCAACTTACTCTCTTCTCAGGAGGAAAAGGAGCTGGTAGCTTGGCAGAGAGCCCGGATGCAGGTTAACCCTGGTAGGACACGCCACCTGCAAACTTTCAAAGTTATGCAGAAAAACTCAGAACCACTCGAAAACGTGAACTCCTATATCTTGATCGGAGCCCCTCCAAGGAAAAAAAGTGAGTGTGCACAAGGGGTCTAGACCATGAAGGGGCGGGACAGGCAGATGGAGAGCAGGGACCTATGACATCTGGCACAGTAGACCACTCTCCTGTCAACACTCCGATTCCTTCTAGGATCCCAATCTCTGGTTTCCCTCCAGCCTCACTCACAGATCCTCAGTGTCTTCTGCTGGTTGATCTTCTCTCTCCAGCATCTAGATGTTGAGGTGCCCAGAGCTCAGACCTTGTCTGGACTGCCTTGGTGGCCTCACCCAGTCTCACAGCTTTAAGTACCATCTATAGGCCGATTACTCTCACAATACAACTCCAACTAGATCTGTCTGTGGTCTTCACTGACCCCTGCAGTGTCCTTTTCCCACCACGGTAAAAGGATACAGATCTCAGCTGTCACTAAGATCTGTGTCTAGACAACATGTGGCCTCTGATCTGTCAGCTCGGTTGGACTTTGTTGTTCCCTCTGCTCAGCAAGCTTCCCTTTGGGACTGGACCCTCCTGAGGTCAGACTATGGCACTCACTAGATCCTCATAAGTTTCAATGATAAGAAAAAAAAAATATAACACAGAATAAGCTTTTTCTGACTCAAAGAGTTTTAGAATTCAAAGGGCAAAACTAAGCTATTATGTTAATAAAATACAGTTAAGTTCAAGGGGGCTGAAGAATGTTGGCCTTAATTATACAAGAACTCTGCCCTGGCTGGGTAGCACAGGCCTATTAGAGTGTCATCCCAATATACGAAGGTTGCAGGTTCAATCCCTGGTCAGGGCGCATACAGGAAATAACCAATGAATGCTTGAATGAGTGGAACAACAAATCAATGCTTCTCTCTCTCCCTCCCTCCTTCTCAAATCAATAAATTAAAAAAAAAAAAAAAAAAAACACACACACACACACAATAACACAAGAATGCTGAATAAAGAAAAACTTTTTTTCTTCAAAATCAAATGCTTTTTATTTTTCAATTAGCAATAGTCCCACTTTATATAAACCTCACTGGCTATGATGCTGTACTTTTTTAATTAAATGCGCTATGAAGTATCAGTATGAACTCATGATGGTATTTTCTCTCTTTAGAAATATCTATTTTGGTTCTATCCAATGTCCTAGAAATGAGCCTTTGTTACATAAATACTGTTTTCCACTGAAAATAACCGGGCTGATTCCAGGTCCAGGGCAGGAAACGTCCCATCAGATAGCAAGAAAGCCTTTAAAAATGACTGAATTTGTATCAAAAAGACTCAGGATCCAACTTGCCACGTTAGCTCTGCCCTCTCTTCCTGCTGCTATGAGGGTTCTTGCTCCATCCTGGGGTCCCGCCAGCCCAGGACTCACCCATAGCCTTTCCCCAGGCAGACCTTCCACTTTACGTAGGAAATCGTAGCACTTTTTTGCCTGCGATGGATGTTGCCACAGCCAGCCCTTCAGCGGTCAGTGGTCCAGTGGTTCTGGAAGCAGTCCTGTGGCTGATTTATCCAGGGACCATCCCACGGCTCACACCTTCCGTGTGGCGGCTTGAACTTAGAATTCCTCTGAGGCTTTCAGTATGAAACTCTGTATCTTCTGAACTATGAATTCTTCCACTTAAGACTTTTTCGCCACCCCCCGTTCCGTGTACTCTATCTTCTGGGAATTCTGCAAATATTACAGTTCTCTAATGGCAACCTTTCCGGTGTTTCAGGGGGACTCTGGTTGAGGAGACATAAATGCAAATGTTTTTAGTTTATCATCTTTATTTCTCCAACAATAGTTTCTCAAAGGTAATGATTATTTTTTTTAACTCACAACTCGTGACCAGATTATTAACTCCTAACATAGTACAATGACCACAGGAAGACATTAAGTTGGTGTACGCAAGTATTACGACCTCACTCGTAGCAGCTATGTTCCTCACTTCCGTAAGCTAACAAAGGTCCTCTCTTCTTCCCAACCCTAGAACTGCTGACCATAGGGATTTCCTCAGGGCGGCATCCTGAAGGGAGCAACCTCGTGGACACCCTGCAGTCTCTCTTCTCTGCTTCCTCCTCATCCGAGCGGAAACACTTCACGGTTCTGGTACACCTAGCAGGCTCTGACCCCAAATGGCTTGTTCAGATGATGTACAACCTCTCCACCATGTTTCAACCACACATCCAGGCCAGAGAGCTGGTGGTGATCACTACTCCTCTCACCAGCTACCTCCCTTTGAAGGATCTTAAAGTGACCTTTGAGGACCCTCCTGGCCACGTAGCCGTCCGCTCCAAGCAAAACATGGACTATGCCTTCCTCATGAACTTTGCCACCCAGCACTCCGACTACTTCCTGATGGTCGAAGATGATGTGAAATGCGCCCCCAGATTTGTCACCCACATAGCTACTGCAGTATCGGCCTGGGCAAACAGACCCTGGCTGACTCTGGCGTTCTCCCCGCTGGGCCTCACTGGGAAGCTCTTTCGAACAGGAGACTTGCCCAGCTTGGTTCACTTCCTTCTCCTCTTCTACCGAGAACTGCCCTGGCACTGTCTCCTCGCCCATTTTCAGGACCTCACACGGCACACACCAGTTGAGTTCCTGCCCTCCCTCTTCCAGCACGTGGGCAACTCGTCCTCCTTTAAGGAAGAGGACACTGGCTCTCCCAGCAACCCTGCTGCCTCCATCCACACCAGCCTGAAGGCTGCCAACGACTCGGTCCCCTCACATGCCTACAGCCTGAATGAGACTTTCTTTTACACCCAGGCGGCTGAGCCTGGCAGCCATCTGACCGTGGTTTTGGATGTACCTGCCCATGTATCCCGAGTTCAGGTGCTGACTGGCTCTGACCTGAGAGGCTGGAACCAGCTGGAAGAGGGACAAGTAGAACTGGGCTGTGACGCTACAAACAGGGTCAGTGACTGTGACGACTACACTCTGCTGGGGCTGGTGGTGAATGGCATCCTGAACAAGCAGGTGCTGTCTCCCACGTTGTCAGGGAAGAAAGTGAAATGTGTGAGACTGCTTGTGACAGCCGCTGCTCCCTCCGGAATAGTGGTCAGGCACATCCACCTCTGGACCAACTGAGGTGTAAGTGATAAATGGAGAAGCCACCAGGAGTGCTGGGAGTGGTCAGATTGGAGGTTAGAGTCTACAGAGGTTAAACAATCAAAACATTAAAATACTGAACGTGGGTCCCTTCAGGATTGTTCATTCAGAAGAGGGGTGTTGAAAGGCGGAGTGCTCTTGGTCCCAGAACCACTGGTGGACGAGGTGGGCTTGTTAAAAGCCTTCCTGGTTTACTCACCAGACGGTCTACCATTCGGAATTCTTCCCTTGGAGCAGGAACACCAGACTCGCAGAAACAGCAGGAGCACGTGGATAGAACTGATGGATACTCACATCACACGACAGGAAGGGCTCTCTCCAGCAGCAGAAATGGACTCATTAAAGGCGGAACTTCCTGTGTGGCAGGAAAGAAACACAACTGTGTGCTCTGTGGTCTCATTTCCCATTGAAGGTGGCCATTCGATGCAATCTACTGATCCCTTTATGGTCAGGCAGAGTCCTCGTCTCCATGGTCACCCAACATGTCAGGTATTCCTTTTCAAATAGCCTCCAAGCTACTGAAAATCATTTGTTCTGATCTGTGATAGCTCCTGTCCAGCAGTCTTATCTCTGGGACTATAAGGTAATATAGGTTTCTGATAGGAAAACCTTTGGATATTTTACTATTTTTTTTTTTTTTTTTAGTTCAGTTTGGCTATGAGATCTTTATTTCCATAAAAACCTAAGTCCTGAGCTCAGCTAATATGCAGTGTCTAGTTTTCACTAGCTTGTCTATAATCCAAGAAGGCGGGGAGAGGAGAAAGGAAAGGAGAGCTCTAAGAGGGATATTGGGGAAGAACCTGGCCAAGCCTTCCTTCGTCACCTCCCACCCTTGTCAGACCTTGATGGCAATCTGAAGCCTCCCCTGCCCCGTCCCCTCCACCAATGAAGCTCTGGGATGCATGATCCCAGGCTCCTGTCAGCAGCTGGGTGGGTGTGAACTGACATAGGGGCGCTCAGAGTATTCTGGGGAAATGGACAGCAAGGTGGGGATTTGGGTCTGGCTTCCTTATGATGCTCAGATAGTTGTGAAAATAGAGGTTAAAATAGGTTTAACAGAACAGCATCACTGTGGGTAAAGTAGGTAAGGAGAGGACAACCACCAAAGGTAAAAATGGCTGAAACCGGTTTGGCTCAATGGATAGAGCATCGGCCTGTGGACTGAAGGGTCCCGGTTTGATTCCAGGTCAGGGGCATGTACCTTGGTTGCGGGCACGTCCCCAGTGGGGGTTGTGCAGGAGGCAGCTGATAGATGACTCTCTCTCATCGATGTTTCTAACTCTCTATCCCTCTCCCTTCCTCTCTGTAAAAAAATCAATAAAATATATATATTTTTTTTAAAAAGTAAAAATGGAGGGGCAGGAGGTTGACAGTCACCCCAATAAGACAATTGCTTGCTTGGTTCTGGATCTCCAATGTTCAGGTCCACGTGCACTGATGGAAGAGGTGGGCAGGTCCCTAGAAGGAAGGTCCCTGAGACACAAATCATTTAAGATTCCCCAGACGCACCACCACCACCAACTACCACAGCACCTTGCAGACATGTACCTAGGTAGCTGTAAACTGGGGAAAGGGAAACACCCAGACATTTGAGGCGGTCACCAGTTCGATTCTGTCAGGGCACATGCCCTATGACTGGATATCCTGGGACACGGATGGCTCCTCCAGGAGCCGTGTGGGGCCCTCTAAGAGGGAAGGGATCACTCAGTACCCACTCTTGTCAATTTGATTCAAGCGGACAGTTAATTTTCAGCTTCTGGGTTGAGATAAGACTGGAAAGCTGGCTTTAAACCCTTACTCCCGCTGCATCCAGAAGCAGGTGCTTGATGCGGGCAGTCCCCATTCAGGGTGAACAATGGTTGTCAGGGAGGGTCTCCCGGGAGGGTGGCCAGTTTCTGCTGCCTCAGAGGAGCCACTCTGGGCTGCCACCCTGCAGCACTGGAGTTTTCTCTCTGTGATTTCAGAGAAAGCCCTGCTCTCTGGGGGTTTACCAAGCTGCATTTTCTAGACACAGAGCCTCCACTCGCTGTGACTCTGCAAGCCTGGTCAAGACACCCGCAGGATTAGAAATTTCCGGCCACTTCTACGTTTCCATCCTTCCTTCTAGTCCGGGGTCGGGGAGACACACAAGAGTTTCCCTTTGCCCTTCTGACCTGATTCAAAACATCGTCACCTGTCCGAAGTAACCCCCAGTGGAGACTTTAACTCAAGTCTGAGTTTAGGGAGCTAACACCTGAGCCTTGATTCCTGGCAACACACCCCCTCTGGCGGGGCCTCTACACCAAGTGGCTGACTTAATGCGCTCCAGTTCCACCTGGAAGCCCAGACAGGAGCTGCAGAAGGCAGCAGCTGAATAGAACCTTCGTCTCTCCTTCGACGGCTACATGGGGGTAAGGGGGCAGTCAAAGTGGGTGGGAAAGGATTCAGGAAGAAAATTGGCAGAGGTGTCCGGGAGGAAGGGTGGGGGAAGGGAGGGGAGGCCACAGGCAACAGGAGGACAGTCGGGCTTCTCACACTCAGGATCCAACTCCCGCTTACTTCCTGCCAAGTGCCAGGCCCAGCACCATGACGCTGTGGAAATACTCCCTCCTGGCTGTGTCCTTCATCTCCCTGAGCTGCTTCCTCTGGGACACCACGAACAAGCACCTTGAGTACAGTGTGTCATTGGTAAGTTCCAGAAACTGAGATGGATTGCTTGCCAACACCTCGGCGGGGAGGGAGTACGTCCAGTTATGTAAACACTCGAGTACCACCCTAGTTCTAAGAAGAGGGCGCTTGAAGATTCAGGAGAGTGTCCAAAAAAAGGTATTAACCCAGCCTTGCATATGGCTAGGATTTGAATAGGGTGAGGGAGGAAGAGGGCATTCTAACCGTGGAGAGAGCTTTGCCCAGACCTTCTTGGCAGCCGTGCTGCCTGCCAGGCCCAGGATGCGAGGGAGCTGCCTGGGTGCTGCCACTCTCCTCACCTCAGGGACAGACTCAAGCCCTAAGATGACTCCTCCCACGTGAACTGCGTCTGCAGGTAGACAAGGTCATGCTCAGGTTCTGGGGTCCACCTTCTCCCTACGTGCCTCAGAAGAGCTAGAGCAGAGGGGGAGGTGGGTGTGGGGAAGTGTGCAGCCAGAACGGAGCAAAGAAACAGCTATAGAATTGAGGCACCATGTGCAATTCCTTAAGGTCAAGATAGCTTGGTCTTCAGCAGCTGGCCCAGCACCCAGCACAGTCCAAGCAGAGTAGGGGTTCTGCCAGGCTGTAATGGTGGAGAAATCAGACATGCGCAAGGTGGAGCAGCAGGTTCTTACTCTGCCTGGAACCTTCCCACAGGCATTCCACATGGAACTGGAGAGCCCCACTTCCCTGACCCTAAGGCCCACCACCCTCCCAGCACCATGGGTGTTCTCACGATGAGGTGGGGACAGCGCTTCAGAGCCCCGATACTGGAGCTCCCTAGTGATGAATCATGGGCTTACTTGGTCTGTCTTAGAAGGGGGATTTGCCCTCATTTGTCTCCAGAGGAGCAGGGGGGAAGCTCAGGGCTGATGCTTATCCATCCTTAGCAGGAGGAAAAGAAGAAAATACTGCAGCAGCTGGACCGGGAGCAAATCAGCTCTGAAAGCAAGAAGCACTTGGAGACCTTCAAGGAGATGCAGAGACCCTCCCAGGTGCGCCAGCTCACCAGCTACAAAGTCCTGGCAGGAGCCCTTCCCCAGGAGAAGAGTGAGTACATGGGAGAGAGGTCAGACTAAGGGAAGAGGGAGGGAGAGGACCCAGAGGGAGATGAACATGAATGGTGCTAACGCACTGGACACTGTACTGCGAGAGCCCTCAGGTTCCTCCATCCCTGCAGACCCTGCCACCCAGGTCTGAGGTCACGGTCAGGCTCACATGCTAGCAGATTTCCCTTTGGTACATGGCAGCCTTCCCCATCAGAGAGCCTTGTCCTCCAACGACCTGGTAAAGTAGTAATCAAATAAAACCACCTCACAGCCGAAACCGGTTTGGCTCTGGATAGAGCGTCGGCCTGCAGACTAAAGGGTCCAGGGTTCGATTCCGGTCAAGGGCATATACCTTCGTTGCGGGCACATTCCCAGTGGGAGGTGTGCAGGAGGCAGCTGATCGATGATTCTCTCTCATCGATGTTTCTAACTCTCTTTCCCCCTCTCTTCCTCTCTGTAAAAATTCAATAAAATATATTTTTTTAAAAAACAACAACACCTCACAACCTCTGACCAAAGATTAATCTCTATCCAACCACACTCTCCAAGGAAATGTGACTTTGTCCCCAAGGGTTGGCATTAAGGGGAGAGGGGAGGAGGGTCTTGACACCACCTAGAGTGCTAATGGTGCCCTATGCCTCCCACCCCCAGAACTACTGACGGTGGGGATCTCCTCGGCGCAGCATCCTCAGGGGAGCGCCCTCCTGCACACCCTGCAGTCCCTGTTCCAAGCCTCCTCAGAGCCCGAGCTGGACTGTATTGTGGTGCTGGTCCACCTGTCAGATCCCGACCCTGCGTGGCTCCACCAAATGGCCGCCAACATATCAGGCCTCTTCCGAGCTCGTATTGAGGCCCAGCAGCTGCTTGTGATCCACGGTCATCTCAGCGGCTCTCTTGTCCCAGGGGACCTGGGCCACATCAACGCCTCCTCGCCCTGTGAAGCCGTTTATTCCAGGCAGAAAGCCGACTACGCCCTCCTCATGACCTTCGCCGTCAGCCTCTCCGAATACTTCCTGATGGTAGAAGATCACGTGTTCTGCGCCCCCAAGTTTGTTTCCACCGTCTACTGGGCACTGGCAGCCTGGAAAGAACGACCCTGGGTGACCCTGGAGTTCTCTAGCCTGAGCTTCTCCGGGAAAGTATTCCACAGCCGTGACCTCCCCCGCCTGACCACCTTCCTCCTCCTCTTCCCCAAGGACACGCCTACCCACTTGCTCCTCTCTGAATTCCGCCTTCTCCTGGCCCAGCGTGTTCCCATTCGTCTCAGCCCCTCGGTCTTCTATCCCGCGGGCAATTCTGCGTCCGAGGACACCTGCTTTCCCAAGGAGAAGGAAGTGGCCTTTGGTGAGCCAGACAACCCCGTGGCCAATGTCCTCACGGACATGAGCCCCGTGTGGGACGTGCTTCCCCAGTACGCGTACGTCCTGAACGAGGAGGGCTACATCACCCTCGATGCCTTAAGGGGCAACTACCTGGTGGTGATTATGGAAAAGCCGCAGAAAGTCATCCGCATCGAGGTGCTGACAGGTGTGGACCAGGAAGGGCAGTACCGGCTGCAGCAGGGCCAGGTAGAACTGGGCTACAGCCCCCTGGCGCATTCCACGGGCTGCGCGCGCTACACCCTGCTGGGACCGCTGGTGCAGGGGAACCTGAACCAGCGGGTGTTTTACGAGGAAGGCACCGTGGAGCAGCTGAGCTGCATACGGCTGCTGGTGCTGGCCTCTCAGGACTCCTGGCTCCTCATCAGGCAGATCAGGGTCTGGACTCAGCCCGAGGAAGAGGAGAGCTGGAGGCACCCGGGGGATTCTGCAGGCATTGTTGGTCTCGGGAACCCAGCCTACATGGCTGGCAGGAAATAAAGCTAGAACCGGGTCGAAGCCTGTGCACACTCGGAGTGGGGTGACCGTGTTGAGTTACTGTCCATACGGGGGGTACGTGTGAGAAAGAAAGGAAGCACACTACAACCACAGAGGAAAGCCAGCCTGTACCCCGCAGAGGTGTGTGCTCAACCTAATCCAGTTTTGTGGGATTTTAAGATAGACGGCACAGTCCGAGGAAGGGGGAGAAACAAGACAAAGTCCTTTTGGCTTCCAGAGAGAGGGAAGGAGGCGCTATGACCTGGCCTACTTCTTTTTTCTTTTAAATATATTTTATTGATGTTTTTACAGAAAGGAAGAGAGAGGGCTAGAGAGTTAGAAAGATCGATGAGAGAGAATCATCGATCAGCTGCCTCTTGCACACCCACTACTGGGGACATGTCCTTGACTGGAATCGAACCCGGGACCCTTCAGTCTGCAGACCGACGCTCTATCCACTGAGCCAAACCGGTTTTGGCAAGATCTGCCCTATTTCTTATCTGCACACAAGCATTACGCTCCCATCTCTCCTCCGAGGAGTCCCTACCCTGCCAGGAACCAAAAGTTCTAGGAGTGTCCCGCTCCTTTCCGCACGGCCACTTCCGGTCTCCACACCCTGGGTCCGGTTCCGCCCCTTCCGCCCCGACCCCTGCCGTACTGGCCCCGCCCCTTTCACGCTCATTCCTTCCTCCCCGGCGCCGCGCACAGGCCCCACCTCTTCCGGGCTGATACTGCGGTCAGGCCCGCCTCCCCGCCCCTTCCGACGCCGCCGCTTCCACCCCCACTCTTGCCAGAACACGCACCTTTCAGGCCGGCGCTTCCCGACACTGCCTCGCGCTCTGTCAAGCCCCGCTCTTTCCAGCCTCAACCCCCAGCGCTCCGCCCCTCTGGTCTTCCGTCGCCAGACCCCTCTCTTCTGGCTTCCGGCCCCCTACTCCTGTTAGCCCCGCCCCTTCCGGGCCTGCTTTTCCGGCCAGCTCCCAGTAAGGCCTCACCTCTTCTTCCCGACCCGCCCCTTCCGCCTCCCCGGTTCCGGGCCCTCGACCGCCCCTTCCAGCCCATCTCTCTCCAGGCCCCGCCTCTGGCCCGCCCCGCGGCGACTCGTGGGAACGCCCCGCGGGCGCAGCGGTGGAGGACGCGGTGCTCGGTCATGGGGTTCCAGCTGGTGAGACCGGACTCCAGGCCCTGCCCCAGGGACTCCACTCCACCTGGTTCTGGTCCCCTCGGCTATGGGCCTGGGGTCTCCCCCTCCGCCGTCGCCCTGATGGGGGGTCCCAGGACCCTGCCCAGGGAACCCCTCCGGCCTGCGCCAGCTCCCGCGCTGGGGCTCGGACGGGACGGTCACCTCCGCGGGGCGGTCACTGCGCCTCCTCTCCCCACAGAGCCCAGGCCTGCTGGCCTCCCTCGGGGCGGGGCTGCTGACTCTGCTCGGCCTGGCCCTGGGCTCCTACTTGCTTCGGAGATCCCGCCGCCCCCTGGTCACTCTCCTGGACCCCAATGAGAAGTACCTGCTGCGGCTGCTAGATAAGACGGTGAGTTGCGGAGGAGGAAGGGGTTTGGGGTAGAGGCAGGACCAGAGCTCCCCTCCTAATGTGAAGCCACAGCATCCACTGCGGTTGGGATGTCCTGGTGACAACTGTCATCCGTCCCTCCAGACTGTGAGCCACAACACCAGGAGGTTCCGATTTGCCCTGCCCACCGCCCAGCACACGCTGGGGCTGCCTGTGGGTAAGGAACGTGTGGGCTCCTTTTCCTGGCATCCTAAGAGCGCGATTCTCCTTCTGGAGTCTCCCAAAACACGCAGCTTCTGTCCATGCCCTCCCTCCTCACTCTCTCCCCTTCCTCGCCTGGCTGGATCCTCCAGGTTGTCACTGGCTCATTCTTTGGTGTGGCTTCTGTGCCCCAGTCATCTTTTAACACTCAGCAGTCCCCCTCCTTCCTGCAGAATTTGCTCTTCCTCCCCCTGAGCAAACACTCATTTTATATCATTAGCTTCTCTGCTGCTGCTGCTGCTGCTGCTGCTAAGGCCCTGGTTGTAACTGAGTAGAGTTTGTCCCTTGGCATCGAAGAGGGGTCCCCCTGGGGGCTCCAAGGGGTGAGTCCTCCCTGCCTGGTAGCTTATAGGGGCAAGATGTCCTCGTTCTCTCAAACCTCTCTGGGTATTTTGAAAGGTAACTGGAAGGCAGCACATCCACAAGCCACCCTCATCTCATTCTCTGCATGGTCCCCAGGCAAACATGTCTACCTATCAGCCCGAATCGATGGCAGCCTGGTCATCAGACCGTACACTCCTGTCTCCAGTGACGAAGACCAAGGCTATGTGGATCTTGTCATCAAGGTAAGGGGGTAGGAAGGAACCCCAGGAATGGTGGGAATGCAAACTGGTGCAGCCACCCTACTTTGTCTGGGATTTAAGGAAACTTCTAAGTTTGTTAGATAGCAGGAGATGGGTGTCCTTTGTAGCTATGAAGAGTACGTGGACGGGGGAAAAGACAGCATGTGCATACATGGCCCCAGCCTAGAGAGTCCAAATAAAGTCTTTTTTTTTCTTTATTAATTAAGGTGTTACATATGTGTCCTTATCCCTCCCATTGTTCCCCCCATCCACCCTCCAGCACCCTCACTCATGCCCTCATCCCCCTGGTGTCTGTGTCCATTGGTTAGGCTTATATGCAGGCATGCAAGATCGTTGGTTGATCTCTCCCCCTGACCCCCATCCTCCCCTACCTTACCTCTGAGGTTTGACGGTCTGATCGATGCTTCTCGGTCTCTGGATCTGTTTTTGTTCATCAGTTTATGTTGTTCATCATATCCCACAAATGAGTGAAATCTTGTGATATATATCTTTCTCGGACTGACTTATTTCGCTTAGCATGATGTTCTCTAGTTCCATCCATGCTGTTGCCAATGGTAAGAATTCCTCCATTGTGTAGATGTACCGCAGTTTTTTAATCCACTTATCTGCTGATGGGCATTTCCAAATCTTAGCTATGGTAAATTGTGCTGCTATGAACATAGGGGTGCATATGTCCTTTCTGATTGGTGTTTCTAGTTTCTTTGGATATATTCCTAGAAGTGGGATCACTGGGTCAAATGGGAGTTTCATTTTTTAGTTTTTTGAGGAAACTCCGTACTGTTCACAGTGGCTGCACCAATCTGCATTCCCACCAGCAGTGCACGAGGATTCCTTTTTCTCCACATCCTCTGCCACCAGTTGTCGTTTGTTGATTTGTTGATGATTGCCATTCTGACAGGTGTGAGATGGTACCGCATTGTCGTTTTGATTTGCATCTCTCAGATGATTAGTGACTTTGGGCATGTTTTCATGTGTCTCTTGGCCTTCTGTATGCCCTCTCAAATAAAGTCTTTTCCATTCTGTCTTATCAGGTCTACCTGAAAGGTGTTCACCCCAAATTTCCCGAGGGAGGGAAGATGTCCCAGTACCTGGACAGCCTGGAGATTGGGGATGTGGTGGAATTTCGAGGGCCAAGTGGGTTGCTCACTTATATGGGGAAAGGTAACAGCCCTTCTGCTCCTTGAGCCCCTCCCAGCTCTCCTGTCCTCCGGGCACATGTGCCGTGCAGAGGGGCCAGGGCTGCCCTTCCTGTACACGTAGCTCTGACAGTATAGAGGGGCAGAGGTCTCAGCCCACCTGTCACCGGGATCAGGGTCAGTTCCCTGTCCACTTGAATTCGCCCACCATGACAGCTGTGGAAATAAGAAAAGCAGCCCTGCCTCACAGATTCGCCCTTCAGGCTGAGCTATTCAGACAGCATTTAGCCCTTCCCAGGGGAGTAGCATGAGCAAGTCCCTGGGGCTGCTCTGTGCACTTGGAAGAGTAGATTCACACCTGTCCCCAGGCCCGTTGCCCTGACTAGGGGTGACCCTCTTGCCCGAAGCAGCTGCTGACTCACTGTGTGGGCCTGAACTGACTGGTGGTTAATAATACAGGCCATGTGGCCCCGGCCCCATTGTCCCTCCTGTGTATTATTAGGGTTTGGCTCAACTCAGATGTCCAGCCGGCTCCAGGGTCAGATTTCATTGCAGCTGCTAACCTGGCCTGGGACGTTTTTAGCGCTGCATTTGTTTTCTTCGTTTCCTCCGCTGACTCCACTCTTCCGTCCCTTCTTCGCTCGACTTCTCAGGGAATTTTAGCGTTCAGCCCAACAAAAAGTCCCCACCGGAGCCCCGCGTGGCGAAGAGACTGGGCATGATCGCCGGCGGGACAGGTGTGTGTTGCTTGGGGGCCCTTGTCTCCCACCGTTGTTGATGTTGCCATGAGAACTTCCCAGGGGCCCTCGGAAGGTTTTGGGATCAGGATCAACCCGGGAATTGGGACTCCCAGCAATGCCCAGGACCCCCCAGTACCTGAAAAATAAAATCATGATCAGGTAGAAACCAAAAGCAAGTTTTTTTACCGATAGAATGAGAAATAATTCACATGTACTTTCCTTACCACCTCACACGGAATGGATCTCCTTCAGATGAGAACAGGGACACAGCTAGAAACAGGCCAGTCTAGAAGGGAGTTAGCATTGGACATTTCCACATATTCACCACTGTGGTAGTCTCTTTACGCCTGAGTCTGTGAAGTGGGTAGTTGCCTTTCCCTTTTACAGAGGAGGAAATGCAGCTGCAAAGAGTTTAAGAGGTAAAAGATTGGTGTCCAGCTCTGCCTGGTCCCAGAACACTTGTCCTTAACCTGCCAGCCCTCCTCAGCCCTGTCCCACTGAGTCACACCTGTGACATCTGAGTCCTAGCCAACAGGGGACGTTGAGAGGAAGTCTTACAGGGACTTTAACAATATGAGCTTTTTGTGAATATGGAGCATGACTACAGTTCACCTACCAGATAGGAATTTTTGTGAGTTTATGGTAAGAGGCATGTCTACCTAGAAAAGTGGGTGCTAGAGAATACACAGGGTTTGGATTCTGGATGGAGGTGGGTGCAGTGGAGAACGGGAAGCATTCAGGTGAAAGCGTTGGTTGGCTAAGGAGCTGGAACAGGTAAGCTGTGGCTACCATGTCTCCCTGTGGCTGTCTGTGCAGGAATCACCCCGATGCTTCAGCTGATCCGGGCCATCCTGAAAGACCCCACAGATCCAACCCAGTGCTCTTTGCTTTTTGCCAACCAGGTTGGTTTGCTTTTCTCGGTCCTGGGACTTTTCAGTTGTGTGGGTCAGCTCAGAGATGTGACACCCATGGGCAGAAACAGGTCAGTGCCCAAGAGCCCCCGGTAGCTAGAGGACCCTCTGCCACAATAAGTGGACAAAGCCCTGAGCCAGTTCCTCCCCTGGGCCCAAGGAGAGAAGAAAACATTTTTGGAATATTGTCCTGAGCATAAAAACTTGCTCATGGGGTTACCTAGGTTAAATATGCCATCTTTATTTCACCATGCTGTGTAAATAAAACCCGCTCCCCTCTCCTTCCCCCTCATCCTAACTCCGAAACAGTCGTGTTTTCTTTTTCTCTCCTGGTTACAAAATGTTATGTGGGCCTGAGAAGATTCCTAAAGACTTTGTTTCTCCGTTTCGTGTCAGACGGAAAAGGACATCATTTTGCGGGAGGACTTGGAGGAGCTGCAGGCCCAATATCCCAGTCGCTTTAAACTCTGGTTCACTCTGGATCATGCCCCAGCAGGTACCCTCCCCTGCTGGATATCCCAGCACCAGGGCCCATGGTGGGTTCTGGTTTCGCTGGAACCAGCCTTCCTGACACTGCTGGGCTCCCACGTCTGTGTGCCGGGACGCAGTGGTCTCCCGGCCCTTTCCTTCAGCTTCCTGTTCACCGGGCGGGGGCAGGAACGGCTGTGCTGCTGAAGCAGGCTGAGCGCAGGCTGTGTTTCACTTGACACCTTCCCCAGAGCCTTCCTGGGCCTCCCCACCTCAGGCCCCTCCACCCCTTGCCAGCAGGGGTCTGGAGTGACTGTTCTCTCCACTGCAGGTTGGGCCTACAGCCGGGGCTTTGTGACTGCGGACATGATCCGGGAGCACCTGCCTCCCCCGGCGGACGATGTGCTGCTGCTGCTCTGCGGGCCCCCCCCGATGGTGCAGCTGGCCTGCCACCCCACCCTGGACAAACTGGGCTACTCTCAAAAGATGCGCTTCACCTACTGACCGCTCCCGGCCATGTTCCCGGTCAGTGCTCGGCTGCTGTAAGTCCTAGATCTCTTTCCTGGGAGGATAAGCCTCTGTCTTTCTCTGAAGCTGAAATCTGATGGTACTCCTACAGGAACAGCATCCTTGTAGCCCTGGAAGAGAGCTAAGGCTGAGTTGTTCCCTGGAAGGCCCCCCCAAACCTCCCTGTGACAAAAGGCCCAGGTCAGGCCACGGAGCAGTGTATGTTCGTTCCAAGCCTGGCTAATTCCTGGGTAGCATCGCACTCTTCTTTGTCTGTGTTGGAAGGAACAACCTATGTGTGATGGGTTTTACTTACTGCTCGGTGCTTAACTCGTAGCAGATTCGTTGTGAGTGCAAGCTGAGCAGACTTTTAGAGCTAGTCTCACCGAGGTTGCAGGAAAGGAGCAAGTGGTTTCTTCAGACCTGCAGGCCTCAGAGAGAGGAATCTCAAATATGTACTTGTATGTCTGTCTCTTTCTGCCCAGCCCAGGCTAGAGGGAAGTGGCTGTCCACAGCCTGAGGCTGCTGCTTGTGGCAGGAACCCCTGGCTGTGCGAATAAATAGACTGAGGCCCCAGTGGGATACCAGTAGGGCTATTGTGTCTAGGGGTCTTATCTCCAAGGCTTTTCACACCTGAGAATTTTGGGAAGAATGGGGCTTCCCAGCACAGAATTCTTCCAGGTCTTCCCAAGAACCCTTGAGCAGTTGTCCTGGGTGTTAAAATGAGCTGTCCCCAAACTGTGATCATCTTTGTAGCTGTCTCAGCAGAAGCAGAAGCAGAAGCTTAGCGCTCTCCCTGGAGGCTTTTCAGGTGGGGGACAGAATACAGCTGAAAGGGGGTGCGTTTTGAGCCCAGGTCCAGTGGTCCTTTTGTTGGCCATTCTTCCTTCTCCCTCCTCTTGACCCTTCCTTCACCATAGACACCCTTCAGGGTACCTGGCACACAAATGAAAGCACTGTCTTTCTGTTTGGAAGAGAAACCTTCTCCTTTAAAAGTAACCTAAGCCCAGCCGGTGTGGCTCCGTGGTTGAGTGTTCACCTGTGAACCAGAAGGTTAGGGCATATGCCCGGGTTGGGATATCAATCCCCAGGAGGGGACCTGTAGGAGGCAGTCAATCAGTTATTCTTTCTGGTCATTGTTTCTATTTCTCCCTTTATCATCCTTTCTAAAGTCAATAAAAATACATTTAAAAAAAAAAAAAAAACTGACATCACCAGCCCGGCCAGACTTATTGGTGCCTGGACAGAGTTGCCCTCCCCAGCCCATCCGTCTTGTCTGCCCTCTCCTGTTATGACATCATGACCCAATCCACTCCCAACTCCCAGGGTTGGACCAGGCAGCTTTTTAAGATCTTTGTTAGTCCCGTTGGGATAGAACTGCACCTGTCTCAGGAGGAAAGGCCAGCATTGATTTCCTGCATGGAACCATGTATTGCTCTCTCTGGGGCCCCTAAAAGTCGGCTTACGGGACCCTGAGAATTCAACCCCTTCCATAAAGCAGAATCATCAGTAAATTCTGTTACTGGTATTCCATCAAACATTTCTTGGTCAGCTAGCATGTGTGCACTACTAGCTGTGTATACAGGGGAGAATCTTAGCTTCCTCATCTCCAAAAAGGAAAATTGTGCTAAGGATTGTTGGGTTCAGATAGTACAGCAGCACAGCACAGAAAACTTTCCACACACAAGGTCATTGTTCCTTGTTTTGCATGGGTTTCTGTCTCATCCACTCAATATGCAAACATTTATTTAGGGCCTGCCATGTGCCAAGCACCGTGACAAGACTGGTCTCCCACCCCCTAAGAATTCCTAGTCTAAAATAAGATTGACGTGTGATAAATAATTATCGGAGTAGAGATAAAAGCTATGGATGGGTGGAGGATTCAGAGGAGGAGGAAAAGAAGAAAAAGCGTTGCTGAGTTCACAGCCACAAACCAGACACTTGCTTAAGTATTCACAATTTCATCCTTATGATAATCCTGAGTCTTAAGATTAAGGATTTGGCCAAGGTCTCGCTGAAGAAAATTAAAGTCAGGTCTGTGGACAATGAATGTTTCTGAGGGTTTTATACAACAGACATACAGCTAACATGTATGAAGCGTTTGCCATTCGCCTGGCATCATACGAGAGCCTGCGTAAATCATCTCAGTCCTGACAAAGACCCAGCGAAGTAGCACGGCTTTCTTCCCATTCCTCAGGTGAGGCATTCAGTAAGGTGCTCAAGATCATCAGCTGGCCAGGAATGGAAGCCTGGGTCTGTGTTACTCAAGCCCGTGCTTTTAACCAGCACCAAGAGAATCTCACTGCCTCCAGGCATCCATAAATGTTAACCAACTACCATCTAAAGTAGCACTAGTTATGCACCATCCTCCGGAGAACTGAGAAAGTGGTTCCTCCGATCAGTGATATTCAACCTTTTTCATCCTCATAGCCCGTGTAAACTTAATTACTAAAATTCTGTAGCACACTAAAAAATATATAAATTTTGCTGATCTGGCTCTTGGGTCGAAAATCGCGGCCTCGAATCACTTTCTGTGGTTAAGAGGAGGGCTACACCACCTGTGTCTCCCAAGACCTGCACTCAGGTGGGGGGCGGGGGAGGGGGGGAGCACAGCCTGGCAGTGAGTTCTGCCAGGACGGAAGCAACTCTGTTTCTGCAAAGACTAGCAGGCGCCCAACGAACGCTTACCCCAGCCCTCGGCACGTGATGGTTCCGTTCAATAAATAGGGGAGGGACCCGGAGTGTTTGGAGGAGCCAACAACTGGCACCGGTCACGGTGAGATGAGGGGACTTGCCCACATTGGATGAAGTTCGTTGGGGTCCGGTCCAACTCCCTGACAACCCTCCCGCGTGCATCAGGGGGCGTGGTCATCGGGAAGCCCAGGAGGCGGGGCTCGGGATTGGAGCTGCGCGGGGGCGTGGCCCAGAAGGGCGGGTCTGTGATTGGCCCGCTGGAGAAGGACACGCCCCCGTGGGGGCGGGGCCAGGAGTTGCGTCGCGGCGGTGACGTCAGCGCCGGGCCCCCTTCCGGCGCGGGGAGCGTCAGGACCAGGGCCGCCGGGCTGCAGGCCGCCTGCGGCGCTGCGGGATGTAGCGCGGCGTCCGCGGCCCCAGCTCAGCCCGTCGCCGGCGGTAAGTTCCGGGAGCGAGCAGGCGAAGGGCGGGGCCGCCCCGAGGTCCGAGACACCCCGCCCTGCCGCCGGTCGCGCCCCCGGCTCCCCCGCGATCCGCGGTGTAAACATTTCCGGCCCCTCCCCGGCGCGCGCCGCCTCCGGGGCGACCTCAGAGCCGCTGGCGGGCGGATGGGCCGCGGCCCGGGCTGCCGAGCTGCCGGCCGAGCTGGTGAGTGCGGCGTCCTCCCGGCCCCGCCGCCGGGGAGGCGTCGGGATTCGGGCTGAGGTTCAGGCTTGGGGCAGGGCCGGGCCCGGCCGCGGCGCAAGCGCGTGGGGAGCGGGGGTGAGGCTGGGGGCCTGGCTGGCAGGACCGCCTGCCTGTCCAGCGGGACTCGCCTCCGAGGGCCTGGGCGCCCCAAGGATCCTCGACCTACAATCTTTGTCAGATCGGACCCAGGCAGTGTCTCCCCCCCGCCTCCCTTGGTGTTGGAAAAGCGGAGACTGGTGGGCAGTTTACCTTTGTTTACGGGAATCCCGGACGCTGACATGGAGCAGAGGCTCAACTACTTTGTGCAGAAAAGGAAATCTCATCCCCTCGGAAATTCTGCACTGATGTATGTCATCTTAATGTGCGAGGTTTGCCCTTCACGCCTTTGGTTTTTTAAGAAAACAAAGTAGATAGATGCTTCCCCTCGGTTTTTCCTGCTTCCTGGGAAACTGACGCGGCATTTCAGTTCACACAGAGTCCGGTGTGGGAGGAGCCATCGAAGCCCACGTAGGACTTTTTCCCTGAGTTACCCGTAGTCTCTCCCCCGGTAGCTAGAAGACCGACAGCAAAAGGGAGCGACGCTGCCCGCTGAGACCAAGTGAATGGTTCTTTTCTGAAACGAAGCGGTGGGGTCTGCTCACCGCTTTCCTCTTGGTAGGGCTGGGGTCACCTGTCGTGGTGCAACTGCTGCTCCCCATGTTTTTACAGCGTCTGTAGGAGGAGGAGTGCACCCTGAGCGGTGCTCAACAGATCGTGATGTCAGATCGCAGGTCCCAGCTCCCAGCCACAGAAGTTATTCCAGGAGTGCCTTCTGCCCGGGGTCCTGGTTGGTCCTTGGGGGGGAATCAGTCCTCAAAACCTGTGGAGACCCACCTTCGAGCGCGTCCACTGTATCTGCTTGCAGAGCAGAGTCAGAAAGTGTTTTTGTTCTCAGTGGCCAAGCATTTTTGTGATTCTCAAGGGATTTGAAAAATCGGTCACTGTACCTGCAAGTGGGAAAGAACCTCAGGAAGCGGCCGGAGGCTCCATCAGCTAATGGCCGGCTGTCAGACCGTCTTCCGGGTCTTCAGGCTGGCCTCAGTTTACCTTTCCACAAATCCTTTATGGAAAAGTGGGGTGAGGGGAGGATAAAAAAAAAGGGGGGGGGGGATAAGAAAAAGAAAGAACAAAAACAAAATGTATGTCTCCTTCTAGGCCAATTCTCTATTTCCCTGGAAGGTCTCTGCTTCCTTATAACATAAAGCCAAACCGACACTCCTGGTACACGACATTATTATGTTCCATCTCCCTGTAGTCACCCTGGCGAACTGAACATCCATCTTTAGATTAGAAGCTTTATGAAGTGTGTGTGTGGGGGAAGGGGGGTTGCTGGTGCTGACACCCATTAAAATCATGACGTTTTCTCCTTAAGGTGCATTCGTCCCTGATGTTGCTCCCTGGATTTTGTTCCTCTCACTGCACTCCGATTTCTTTTTTCCTGCTCAGAAGTGTTGGGGTGTGGCTATTATAAAGTTTGTAGCTGTCTTGGTTCGGAAGGACCCTGGAAGTGCCCCCTAGACAAATCCGTTCCCAGTCCCGGGCTTTTAAGTGTGCGCTTGGTTTGCGTTTGTTTCATTGGGGCTTCCAGGGCACCCAGTGTGAGTGACCACCATGCTGTGTGACTGCTCACCGTGTATCTGTAATGTACTGATAGCCAGGTGTTCACGTAAAAACGGGACTGGCTGAGACTGCTGCTTTTTTTATGCCTGTGTACCGCTTGCTTTTTTTTTCTTTTTTTTTTTTTAAATGGCATTTGAGAGGCTTGCCTGTGGGGGGGGGAATAAAAAAAAAACCTCTCCTGCTGGGACTGCTTTAGCTGGAGAAGAGCTACAAAGGACATAAGCTTGTGATTTTCCGCTTCAGTCTCTTAAGCCAGTGACTTGGCATCAAGTAGGAAAGTGGAGGCTCTGTCACTGCAGTTGGTAATTTTCAAGCAATAGGCCTTTTCCCAGCAGAGCATGGGGAGGAGAAGGCAGCTGTGCTCTGTCTTGTCTTTTCCGCTAGACTAGCCTTGCTTTAAAACTAGTGAGAATCTGGCAGGCATAGGCTGAGCCTACCCTTGGAACCTCTAGGGGTGCAGGGACCCCAGAATAAATCCCCCAGAAGCTCTGTGCCTCTGACTGCAGGGAAGGAGTGTGCAGTAGCCTGGAACATTGGGAACTGGCTCGCAGCATAAATGTCTCAGAGACCTGTGAGGGACGTAAACTCTCCAGCTGGCTGGCAAGTGATTGAGAGTCAGTCCTTCCCAAGTGTGGCACAAGATTATCTAATTTATAGGAGCACAAACACCTCCCTGCCTCAGTAGTCTACTCCCTGATACTGGTTTACCCAGATAGAAAGCTTACTGGTAAAGACTTATTAGCTGGGATTGAAGAAATCCCTCAAAAAAAAAAAAATGCATTTGGTGTGATTTGGCCCAATTCTACTTTGCTATTATTGGGTGTGGTGAATTTTCTAAAATACATAAGGATATAACTGGCTGAAGTCCTTAGTGCTCCCAGAACCAGTCTTAACAACTTAGGGGGGTCGTGCCGATTTTGCAATAACGCCCAGCTGTTTGAGTGGCCTGCCCTGTCAGAAACTGTATGTTCAGGTCCTAGTATCACCTGCTCTTCTTTCTCGCCAGACCTCCGATCCCTCTCTCTCCCTCTCCTGTCTCTGTGTTGCTACAGTTTAGAAGACCAAAGTGGACAGTGGACTTTTGCTCACTATGATGACCTCCTCTGTATGTATTTCATTGCATGATGTATCTTGTAGCCAATGGCGGGTTCATGAGTCACCGGGTGATAGGCTTAGTGACTTGAGTCTGGGAGACAATGCCAGGGGGAGGGAGTGTATGAGAGAGTAATAGAGGAGTCGGAGGGAGTCAGAAAAATTAGCAGCAAGTGATTTGGACAAAAACAAAAGACTTTGCTCGTGGCCAAAGGCTGAGGTTATCCCGGGAGAATGCTAGGCAAAGGCACTTTTCAGATCAAATGAGATGTTAAGGCTACCAAGCTGGGCTCTGCATCTGATCTCCTGACCCTAATTGCCCAACTTAAAGTTTGTCTATATTACTCTTGATTGCTTCTCGTAAAATAGTTTCCCAACATCCAGAAAAACTGAACTTTGTGTGTGACTGTGCTAGGTCAGGGGGCTTTGCACGGGCCACAGATTACCTTGTGCATCTGGTTGTAGGCTCCTTGAAGAAAAGGACTCACCTTGTTCCCCTTTGTGTTTTGCACCGTACCCGAGAACGCCTTGGGGTCCGCACTAAACACATGTGTTCGATGTTCAGTGACGGGGAAAGCCCAACAAGCACAAGAGAGTGCATACACCCTGAGCTGGTGATAAAAAGTTAACGAGTCACATGCTTGCTGGCTGGAAAGCTGCCCCATTCATCCATTCATTCCTTGTGGACTGAGGGCTCTGCCTGGAATCAGGGATAGGAATCCACTTGTTAGCGAGGTGGTGTTAGGCCCCTGCACCTGAGAGGGACATTTTGGCCACCCCTGAAGTATTGCCAGCAGTACACGAAGCTACGTGCATCCTCCTTTTGAGACTGACTTCTGAAAATACCCAAAGCTATTCATATTTTTTTTCCAATATACATTATTTTTTTTAATATGTTTTATTGATTTTTTTACAGAGAGGAAGAGAGAGGGATAGAGAGTTAGAAACATCGATGAGAGAATCATCGATCAGCTGCCTCTTGCACATCCCCTACTGGGGATATGCCTGCAACCAAGGTACATGCCCTTGACCGGATTCGAACCCGGGACCTTTTCAGTCCGCAGGCCGATCCTCTATCCACTGAGCCAAACCAGTTTCGGCAATATACATTATTTCTTAGGAAAGCTGTTGATGTGGGGGGTGCTTCCCTGTGAGGAGACGTGTTTTGTGGTCAGCCTACCGACAGGGATTTCCCAACGTTCCCTCTCACGTGGGCTGCCTCTCCCATTTCCTGTTCTCCCGGGCTCCGCTGTTGCCCAAGCGGCATCTGTCCTGTTGGTCTTGTGCAATTGAAGAAAGAGGAACTCCCTTTGTGTTGACACCGTGTAAAGGCCTCTGTACAGTGAATTTTTGTTTGTCCCTTGAACCAAGTTTGCTTGTTGCATTCAGTTGTGCTTGAGAGTTGAGCACAGCATGACTTGAAACTTGAGGATTGCCCTCACTTGACTACATAAACCCAGCCATAATCCCTGAGAAGGAAGTGTGATTCCTCTTGGATTTTAGAAGAAGAACTGGTACAAAATACAGTCACCAGCCATGGAAGAGACGGTCTCTCCTGGAAGCAGTCACCTTACGGTCCCTTATAAACGTTTTGGTTCCCTGAGCTTAGTTTCCACTCCTGTAAAGCAACTCATTCGTGTGCAGGTGTTACCTGGTCCTCTGCGTTGCCCTGGAGTTACAGGGACACAGATGACCAGGGCAAGAAAATGCTAATACCACGGCGACTGCTGAAGCTGTGAGTAACAAACTCCTTTGTTTATGGGAGAGGGGAAACTTGGTCACTTTGGGCACTTTTCAGTATTGTTTTCATCACCCTGAGGCCTGATTAAAGGCTGCTGTCTGAAATCCAACTCTGGAACGCCTGAAGGTCTGGAGACTTCCTAGAAAACTGAGTTCTAGGTTTCTCTGGTTTTCTGGAAGAATCTGTGTGCCTGTCTGGTTTCTGAAAAGCTAAGTTTGAGTGGGGCTATGGTTACGACCTGTGGTGGCTGGCCAAGCTCTCGCTGAGCCGTGGTTTGGTATTTGTGTGGCAAAGGGCAAGGCTTCCTGATTGTCCTCCGCTTCCTGCTTCCAGGTAAGTTATTAGTTCCTTTAAAGGGAAGTTGTGGGGAAGCGTGTTCTCTGAGTGTGGAGCCCACGCTCTAATCCTGTAATAGAATTAGTAGGACGTAGAGAGAAGTCAGCCACTGGGCAGCTGTAGGGAAGACCCAGCTGAGGTCAGCTGGCACTCACTTCCTTTCCAAGCCCTGGGAGGGCTTGTAGTTACAGCCAGGCGTTGACTTCGTATTTTTGCTCCACAGTGTCAAAGCCAGACCTTTCTTGGGCAGAATAGCTTTGGGATTGATGGGCTATTTCTTCTCACTCAATGGGGTCCATACAAATTGGTGGGAGAGGAGGTTTGAGGGTAGACACCTGTTTTTCTGTGGTGACCGTTTGGTATAAAAACCACAGATGCTTTCAAGGCGAGCAACCAGGTGCTCTGTTTTCAGCCTCACCTGTAAGATTAGTGGGGTTCGGAGTGAAGGATACTAATTAAAGAGGGAGAAGGAACAGATTTCATTCTAGCAATTAATTGGCCTTGAGAATTGGAGACAGAAGTGAGTTTGTCAGCACCCTTCTCGTCTGTGTTTGCTTTCAGTGTCTGCCGTCACAGGGAGATCTCTGCCCCCTGGGGCTGAGACACCCAGCCCGCCCCCAAGCTGAAGCTGCAGGGCATTGAGGTACCAGCTAGATGTCTGCTCACAAAGGACCGGCGGTGGCACAGGGCAATGGGGCTCCTGCCAGTAACAGGGAGACCGACACAGTGGAGCTGGCTGAACTGGGACCCCTGCTGGAGGAGAAGGGTGCCCGCGGCATCGCTGACCCAGCCAAAGTGAGTTGTCTTTGCGGAGTTCCTTCCTCCGCCAGTTCTCAAACCTGCTCGCTGTTTGAGGATCTCGTGGTCTGGAAGATGGAAGTATTTGGGAAATGGGGGACTTGAGAAGGCTATTCTAGAGATTGGTGGGGGGGGGGGGCCTTCAGACTTAAAGAACGGGGGACTACGTGCTAATCCTGTGTCCTCCCTCGTTGCCAGCTCCCATCAGCCTGTCTCCTGGGTGTGAATTGAGCTTCACGCCAGCATTCACACAGCATCAGTAAACCTTGAACAGAGTGTCGTAAACTTAACTGTCGTGCTTCAGAGAAGAGGCCACAAGGCCCTGTGCACATGCGTTTGGTTTCCCCAGATACGTCTGACCTGAAATAGCCCCGTGTAGGAGATGACTGCTGGGATTGGTTTGTGTGTGTTTTTTCATGCAGGCTGAAGAAGAGCAAGCATGCCCAGCGCCCCAGGAGGAGGAGGAGGAGGTGAGGGTCCTGACCCTTCCGCTGCAGGCCCATCATGCCATGGAGAAGATGGAGGAGTTCGTGTACAAGGTGCTGAGCGCTCAGGCCCGGAGGGGAGGGGCGGTGGGCTTCCTGGGGGTGTCCCAGCGGGTGGGCCTGCGGTGGGCTAAAGACCTGCTATTCCTGCGTGTGGATTTGTTTTTGCTTAAGGTGCAGTAAATACCGGGCTAGCAGATGTTTACTGCCTGGTGTGTTAAAGCATTATTCAAAATATGTTCTGAGCAGGAGTGTTGGGGGGGGGGGGCAATAGGAGGGGGGGAGACACCTTAAACAATAAAAATAAATAAGTAAATAAATAAAAATTCATATATGTTCTGAACAGGAGCTCTCAATTTTTTTTTTTTTTTTTTTTTTTTTTTTTTTTTTTTTTTTGCTGTGGATCCCTTTGGCAGTCATCAAAATATTAAAATGTGATTGGGCTCCTTTATTAATACATTAAAAACACATTAATGACAAGCTTTAAAATATTGTATTAAAATTTATGGGGTTTTTTATTATTATTATTGATTTTAAGAGAGAAAGGAAACATCAATTTGTTGAAAGGAAACATCAATTTTTATATCTGTAAAACTAATGTATGAAAATACCTGTGATTTCTGTTGGTGACAGTCACAGTTCTAATCCCACTGTGGTTTGCTGCTCACACTTGTAATGGAGAGGAATGTTGAGTTTCCTGGATTCTGCTCACTGTCCATGTGTCCTAGGTTAAGAACCCCTGCTCCAAAGGACACTGTCTCAGCCTCTCGAGGGAAGGGCAGAGCAGGGGCAGCCAGCACCTCCAGGACTGGGTCAAGGGGGCTGAAATGTATGGTTTTAAAAAGCCACATGCATATTCATGTCCCACCTGTCCCAGGTCTGGGAGGGACGCTGGAGGGTCATCCCGTATGATGTGCTCCCTGACTGGCTGAAAGACAACGACTACCTGCTCCACGGCCACCGCCCGCCCATGCCCTCCTTCCGGGCCTGCTTCCGGAGCATCTTCCGCATCCACACAGAGACCGGCAACATCTGGACCCATCTGCTAGGTGAGCGATCTGGGAGGGAAAGGGCAAAGAAAGGAGTTTTACAGCCTGTGTCTCTGGGAAGGAAAAACCAAGTGGCTCTGGCCAATGGGAAACCGGCATTGTGCCTCCAAACTGCCGGTGAGCGTGGTCGGCTCTCGGTCCTTGGTCTGTAAGACAAGCGGGGGGGGGGGGGGGGGGGGGGGGGGGACACGGACGAGAAATGGGAGAAGAAAATGCAACTAGGTGTTGTGTTGTCTGGTCTCCCTGGAAGCATGGAGGCATGGAGACAGCTCCTTCCGTTTTCTAATGATCTTTCTTAAATGATTGTTTTGTCTGGGTTTATGTGCCTGGTGCCATTTTCTCCAGAAACTATGGACTACAGTTCTCACAGCTAAACCCTGTAATGTCAGCACTGACTTAACACCATCGATATGCACACCTTGCCTTCTTCCTCAGGCTTTCTTTTCTTCCTCCTCCAGGGTTTGTGCTGTTCCTGTTTCTGGGGATCCTGACGATGCTGAGACCAAACATGTACTTCATGGCCCCGCTGCAGGAGAAGGTGGTGTTCGGCATGTTCTTCTTGGGCGCCGTGCTCTGCCTCAGCTTCTCCTGGCTCTTTCACACCGTCTACTGTCACTCCGAGAAAGTCTCTCGGACTTTTTCCAAGTGAGTGGGAGACCTGACATTGGGATGGGGGGGGGTGGAGAATACCAGGCCCTCCTGTCACGTCCTGTGACCCCTAAAGACACCCTGCTGTGCCAGAGGAAAGGCTTTCTAGCTTGTCAGTGAGGCTCTTTTAAATCCTTCATGAAAAACTCACGGCAGCTGTGGAATGTGGTTCCCACTGCCTAGCGCTGTCCCGTGTGAGCTGGGTTCGAGTGGGCTCCTCTCCGGACCACACGCCCGAGTCAGCAGGGCGTGGCGGCATGTCCTGTGCTGCGTGCTGCTGTGTGCCTACCCGCAGCCAAGCAGCTTATCTCCACTGCCCACACGTCGCTGGAAGCCTCAGATGCTGTCATCCGGTGCCTCCCGTAATCCCCGTGCTGAGCCTGGAGTTCGTGTTTGCTTATTGTTGTTGGTTTTGGTTTTGGTGGTGGGTTGTTTTGTTTTTTCCCAATAACACCAGTAATGGAAATACATTTTTATCATTTAAAAGTCAATTAGAACAGCAGTACCTCTTAATACTCCCAATTTAAGGGTTTGTTTTTAGAACTCAACCTGTCAGAGCTGGGGGGACAGTCAGAGCCCGACCGAGCGAAAAGCTGGAAGCAGCTCCTGAATTTAAGTGCCCCAGGGTGGGGGTGAGGGGGGGCATGGCTCTTCACGACTGAGGGGAAGAGAGTTCCAAGGTTGGGGACTCATAGCAACTCTTCACTGCAAAGACAGGTGTGTGGCCTGTGGGGTTTCAATCCAGGATACAGACAAGAGATGGGTGATGGTCAGGTCTGTGAGCTGATGGAGAAGAGAAAACATAAAAACACAGCTGAACGAGCCATAGAAGCTTCATTTCTCCACTAATGCGTTTTAATTCTGGCTCTCTTTCAGACTGGATTATTCAGGGATTGCCCTACTGATTATGGGGAGCTTTGTCCCCTGGCTCTATTACTCCTTCTACTGCTCCCCACAGCCACGGCTCATCTACCTCTCCATCATCTGTGTCCTGGGCATCTCCGCCATCATTGTGGCACAGTGGGACCGGTTTGCCACGCCTAAACACCGGCAGACAAGAGCAGGTGGGTTTGAAGGTGATGTAATCGCACAACTTTGATCCTAATGGGCTCAACCTTAGGCTCTAAGATGGGCAGTTTGAGGACCTCACTCAACCCCTGATTTGTGTTTAGAATCCTGAGAGCAGTGTTGTTTTTATTAATTTAGAGATTGGGAGGGAGAGGAAGAAATGTTGATGTGAGAGAGAAACATTGATCGTATGCCCTCCACCGGGGATCAAACCCACAACCTGGGGTATATGCCCTAAGCAAACTAGCAGCCTTTTGGTGCTTGGAACGATGCTCAACCACTGAGCCACGGCGGTCAGACAACAGTATGGACTTTTAAAGCTCTGTTATCCCCCAGGTTTCATATTTCATAAGCACACTAATGAGCCACATAATGACCAAGTTTGTCATTTGGCTGCAAGTATAGAAATGACTGCTCTTATGAAAATATACAGCCCTGGCCAGGGCAGCTCAACTGACTGAGCATCTTCCCTGCACCCAGAGGTCAGCAATTCCATTCCCAGTCAGGTTGTCAGTTTGGTCCCACGTCGGGTGCATAAGGGAGACCTTCGATGGATGTCAACCACTGGAACAGATAAAGCGTGAGCATCTCTGGGTTGTGCCACCTACACTCCTCTCTTAAGTTTTATTACTTGCAGCAACACCAGTGACCTCCTTATCATCTGGAATGTTGTAACTTTCAGTTAAAAGAATTAAATGTTCATTAAGCATCAGCACATGCTGGATGTGGTGCTTTAACGAGGTATATCTAGGAGTGGAGAAGGTGGTCCCTGTCCGTGCCCCCCTTCCTCCCCCACTTCCCCGTTGTGTGCACTGCAGGGGTCCCCTTCCTCTTACCTCACTTGTCTGTCCCAATAGCTACAACAACTTCTAACTTGAATGTCTGCCTGCTCAGGGCAGAGCCTGGCTACTTAATGTCTGATCTTACGAGAAACTCCACTCCTCCCACCTCAAAGGCACCTGGAGCTTTGCCATCCGAGTCCTGATGGCAGCAGAGCTTCGAGCAGGTGAAGAATGACTCGTTTACCTGTTGTACCTGATTGCAGATCTGATGCCCCAGAGGGTTTGGTCTGTCACTTTGCCTACCAAATAGTGATAAAAATGAAATGCTTGTTCTTGGTGCTTTTTAGAGGGTAATATCCATATGAGCACTTTCACAGCCTTCTTCCCATTCCGGATGTTGAAGAAATAGCTGCTAACGGTTCTCCATTTTGTGGCCAAATTTCCTGAAAAGTAGCTGATGGCCATAGACACTTGAACTCCAGAGAGAAGCAGCAGTGTGCACCTCCAGGCAGCTGTCCCCTCCCTGACCGTCTTGTCTGCTCCGTGCAGGGGTGTTCCTGGGCCTCGGTCTGAGCGGCGTCGTGCCCACCATGCACTTCACCATCGCCGAGGGCTTTGTCAAGGCCACCACCGTGGGCCAGATGGGCTGGTTCTTCCTCATGGCTGTGATGTACATCACCGGGGCCGGCCTCTACGCGGCTCGGATCCCTGAGCGCTTCTTTCCCGGGAAGTTCGACATATGGGTAAGAGACGGCTCTGCCAGCAGTGCCCGTGGTCAGGGACCGGCCCCAGTGAAAGGTCTGAGTGAAAGGCAGTACAGACATGGGGTCATGTAGTGTTTGGGGTACATATATGTACAGGGGAAGCGGGCAGGGAGGGGAGTGATCAGGATGAACGTTTTGGTGTATTTCTGACACTAAATAAAATAATTATTTTTTTCAGAGAGGAAGAGAGACAGAGAAATATAGAAACATCATGATGAGAGTGAATCACTGATTAGCTGCCTTCTGCCCGTAACTGGAAATCAAACCATGACCTCCTGGTCCCTAGGTGGATGTTCAACCACTGAGCCAAGCTGGCTGAGCTCTGATAAGACTTTTTAAAATTTTTAGCCCTAGCCGGCGTGGCTCAGTTCCTGGAGCATCCGTCCTGTGCAGCAAAAGGTCGCTAGTTCAGTTCCTAGTCAGGGCATATGCCCAGGTTGTGCATACAATCCACCAGTCAGGGTCCATGCCAGAGGCAATTGATTGATGTTTCTCCCTCCCCCTTCCTCTCTCTAAAATCAATAAAAACATTAAAATTTTTTCATAGCAAATATATCATTTTTTTTAATATAAAACTCTGAGAGAAGTTAGATGAGGTAAGAGCTCTCTTCTCATGTCTGATCCCTCCTAGCCATCACCCTGAGGTTCATTTCTTGTTCCCACAGTTCCAGTCGCATCAGATTTTTCACGTCCTGGTGGTGGCAGCAGCCTTCGTCCACTTCTACGGGGTCTCCAACCTTCAGGAATTCCGCTACGGCTTGGAGGGCGGCTGTACTGATGACTCTCTTCTCTGAGCCTCCCGGCAAGGCTGGAGGGGACCTTCCCAAGTGCTTTCAAAAATAACTTCCTTGCTGAAGTGAAAGGAAGCGTCTGAGTTGTCTGTTTCTAGAAGAAACCTCTTAGAGAATTCAGTGCCAGCCAGGCTTCAGCCCACCTTCCCACCTCAGGGCGGGGGAAAGCTTTCCATGCCCCTCACGAGGAGGGGTGATCCACTGGCTATGCCTCCTCAGCAAGGCAGCTCTGTCCCCTAGGCACAGGGCGCTTTGAAGCTCACGTTGAGATTTTATTCCTCCTCCAACCATTTTGGGGAAAAATGATGGACTGGGACTCTTCAGAAATTTTTTCTGGAAGAAAACGTCCCTCCCTTACCCCCATCCTTACTTTGTAATGTGGCTTAGAACAGGCCATCCATTTTGTAGCACACTTTTCAGAAACGATTGTAACCGGTCCCGTCTCTCTGGGGCCTGGGTCTGCTGACGGCAGGAAGAAGTCACCGACTTCAAGGCAGCAGCTAATTATGGGAGTGTGTCCAGGCTTCAGATAACTTGAGTTTCAATTTTTTTCTTGGCAGAGTAATGTAAAATGGGGAGAGATATTTAATATTTAATACTAAGCTTTAAAAAGAAATCTGCTATCATGCTGTGTATCCTGATGCAGAGGCTACGATGATAATAAAAGGAAGTGCAGAAGACAATTAGCATTCAAATATTTAACACGTGTGGTCTCAACTATTTGCACATAACTCTGAAGCTTTAAAACCAGAAAAGTCATTTCAGATTCTGCAGAAGCACAAATTTGAATCAGGATTGACAGGCTGGCCTATGCAAGCCAACGAATCAGCCCAACTGATTTCCGAGCATCAGCTTCTACATACGGCCTTACTTTTCTCGACTTATTGCACAGGCTTTTACTAGAGAAATTATTCTGAAGTAGTATTTCATAATGAAATGCTTCTCAAAGGTATTGGGGTATACCCCTGTGACTATCAAAGGTCTGCTGTCCATCACTCTAGAATTTAGTTCTTTTAAGGATGTCTCATCCAGAGGCCGTTCCCTTGCCTCTCTCTGCCTTTGACATCGTACTCTACCTGAGAGGAGTTGTGTTTGTGTGTGCGCCCCGCAGCCGTCACTTCCAAGTGAATGTCCACAGAAGGCAGTTTTCTCGGGTTACAAAGATGGATTTGTTCAAGATTAAGTTTGTGCAATTGGGAGAATAAGTTACCTTTTAAAAAAATAATCCAACTAGGCTGACAAACAGGAAGCTTGCTCAGCCTCATGTGGGTAGTCAGGGAAACATAAATTAAAACGAAAGTGATAAGCCATTTCACTACCACCAGGTTGGTGCACCTTAAAAACCCTACTACTGAGTGTGTATGGATGGGGAGCAGACCAGGAGCTACATGGTAGGACCGGTTCTGTCGAGGGGCAGGGAATATGGATGTGTGTTGCAACATGCAAACACTGCAGGAAATGCCGCCTTACAATATGAGATGTATCTAAAATTCATCCTAAATTAATTCATTTCAAAAAGTTTGGTTCTGGCACTGGCACAGTAGCTCAATTGGTTAGGTTTGATCCCCAGTCGGGACATATCCCACAGTTTGAAAACCACTACTCAAGAAACAGCAGGTAAAAAGATTCATTGCAGCTTTGACTGGTGTGGCTCCGTTGGGCATCATCTAGTGCACCAAGTGTGCCGATTCGATTCCCGGTCAGGGCACGAGCCTGGGTTGATGGCTAGGTCCCTGGTGGGGGTCGTGCAGGAAGCAGCCCACTGATGTTCAGCATTCAGAGCTTCCTCTCTCCCCCAACCTCTTTCTAAAAGTCAATAAAAATATTTTTTAAAAGATCCATTGCTGCCAACTGTATTAGCAGTGCACTAAAATGAAGCCAAATGTCCAAAACTGCTGGAAAAGTAAAATTTAGCTTATTCATATAACGAAAGACTAGTGAAAGTTAATTACAGTGACAAGTGACAACACAGGAAGGAGGGAGGGAAGCAGCTTACAGAACATAACTGGTCTGATTGCATCTCTGTAAAGCTCAGAATTTTACAAAACTAACGATAATTTAAGGAAAAATATGGTGAGAATTTAAAAGGGATTTCAATTCAGAAATAAACGGTTACCCTAGAACAGGAGAAAGGGAGGAGGACAGGATATTTCATTACTGTAGCTTATATTCAAGAACCTGGATATTCTTTAAACTATGATTGCTTTTCTTATATGTATGTAATAAGTATATTTAATAAAAACTTTTAAGTTTTTAAGAAGACTTGAGCTGACAGCAGAAGCCACGGTGGTTCACAAACACGCTTTGGCCTGCAGTGGGATATCAGTATTTCTGTCCCCAGTGGGCTAGGAACTAACCCTTAGGAGGCATGGCCTGGCCTGAATGTACTAAATTCAGGGATGAGTTTCAGAGCAGCAGCTGGGGCCCTGCTTTGATTATATTCAGTGAATAATTTTTATTAAGTTCCTCACATTGGAAAAAAATTTTATTTAGCATCCACATTCATAAAACAATGGTTTACATTTAAAATTGTACATATTTTTAATGCACTGAAAAGTTCAAAAATCACAAAACGTCAGCGAGGGGAAATCTCCCTCCCATCCAGTCTCCCAAGCAACCAGTTCCTCTCTCCAAAGAAACTGAAATTACCACTTTATTTTGTAGCTTTCCAAGGGCATTTTATACATATACAAATAGACAGGAACATATTCTCCCAACCTTTCTATACAAATAGTAGCAAACTATACGTAGTGTCCACGACCTCATGGTATTGTACGGATATATGTACTTGACTGAACCAGTCCTGCACACACATCATTGTCCATGTGCAAGAGTATTTACAAAGGATAACTTCATTAAAGGATGTCTGCACTCATAATTTCGGTGACGTTTTCCAAAATGTGTCATCAGGGGCTTCCCACTTTTCTCCCACCTGGCGTGGCGGCTCCAACAGGACTTGTACCTGTTCTGCTCTCCCACCTACCATGTCAGGGATAATTTTGGAGCAGAGAGAGAGGATGTGAGAGATGGAAACTCCATGTAAAACCAGAATGCTACTCTCTCGGCTATGGTTTATCTCTACAGAGTCACAGGCATAGGGGCTTCATCACAAGGAACAACAACAGGCTGTAATTCTTGGAATCCAGAGTCTAGGTCAGTGGTAGGCAAACTCATTAGTCAACAGAGCGGCGAGCCGCAGTTTGCCGACCAGGGCACTAGGCTAAGGACACTCAAATCGATGAGAAGCAAAACGCCCAGACTGACTCGCTCAGCCCGGGGAGCAGGGGCGGTGAGGACCGAGGCTTCCGACGCGCAGTGACGTGGGGTGACGGCGGGCGCCGCGGCCAGGGTCCGCCCGAAAGGCCCCGCTGGGCACCGGCCTGGGAGAACCTGGGCGCCTCCGTGGGTTTTTCCCGACGGGAGCGGACTCCCGGGCGTCCCGCGGGGAAGACGTGCCGCCATCAGCTCCGGGAGAATCGCTGCCCGGCCTCCCCGCCCACCCCTTCCACCCCTTCCCGCTCCGCCCGCTACGGGTCCGCAGCCACCGGGCGCCGGGTCCCGGGTGGGTCACGTGATCCGGTCCGGCTCGCGCGCTGCTGCGTCATCACGTCGCGCGGCCCGCTGGCCCTGGCGGTCACGTGATGCTGGAAAGGGTCGGTCTTTGAGCCGAAACGTCATCACGTCGCGCGGCCGCGGGGCCGACGGAGCGAGAGGAGCGAAGGGACGGCTCCCGAGCCTCCGGGTCGGGGCGGCGGCGGCGGCGGCGGCGCCTGGGTTCCTCCTGAGCCGCCTGCTGGCCGCGCGCCCGCCTCTCGACCCCAGCGGCGGGCGCAGGTGAGCTGGTGGGCGGGGCGCTCGGTCTTCTCCGTCCGTCCGTCCCTCCGCCCGGCCCTCCCCGCGGGGACCGGGTGGCGGGGCTCTCCGCCCCTCGGAGGGCGCCTCTACCTGCGGCGCCAGCGGCCGGGGGCTTCCCCGTCTTCTCCCCCCTGGGCCGTGGCGGTTCCGGAGTCTGACGCCGCTCCCGAGCCTCCGGCGGGAAAACCCCGTCCCGGTGTCCGCGAAGTTCCTGGGGGAGTCGGGGGGGGGGGGTGCTGGCCTCGCTCCCGGAGGCCGAGCCCCACGCTGCTCCAGGGCGACCCGGTTTGACTCTGAAATGGTGCAGCCCAGGCCGAGCCCGGGGGGATCCCCCTTCCTAGATCCCCGGAGTTTGCATCCGAAGCTGAGAAACACCGTCCGCTGGGGTGACACACCCCTCCTCTGCCCCTGGGTCTGCGGGGCTGAGGGAGGGGCGGTGAGGGGAACCGCACGGCGACCGGCCGGCCGGCAGGCTGTGAACGCCGCCGTGGTGGGGATTCAGGATGTCCTGTGTGCTCTTCAGAAATCGCGGCTGTGAGCTGTGGGCTTGTGGTTTGGTTTGGTTTGGTTTGTCATTCTTGAATCATCAATGGAATCCAAAAAATATAGAGTCTCTTAGTAACCACCCCATTTCATTGCCCACAAGTTGTCGTTAAAGAAAAATGTAGCCGAAACCGGTGTGGCTCAGCGGATAGAGCGTCGGCCTGCGGATTGAAAGGTCCCAGGTTCGATTCCGGTCAAGGGCATAGACCTTGGTTGCGGGCACATCCCCCGTAGGGGATGTGCAGGAGGCAGCTGGTCGATGTTTCTCTCTCATCGATGTTTCTAGCTCTATCCCTCTTCCTTTCTCTCTGTAAAAAGTCAATAAAATATATATTAAAAAAGAAAAAGAAAAAGTGTAGTGTGGCTAAACCCCATCAATAATCGAGAAAGTACTTATTACTTTGGCTTCTTTTAAATGTGAAATCTGTTGCTGAGTTTATTTAACTGACGCGTACAAGTGACTGTGGCAGAAAATGAAAAGTGAGTTTTGGTTAGTTTCTGTCCTAGTAAGGCTCTTTGTTTCGGTAGAGGAGAATTTCTACAAAGGTTGATTTGCTGGTGTTGATGGACATCTATTAATGATGCAGAGAAGGGAGACCCTTCCGTGAAAAGGTTTGTAACAGCTTAGCCAAGTGCAAGTCCATAGACAGGCTTGTGTGGTTTCCACGGTCCAGTGTAGGCACTGGGTCCTCAGTGGGTCCAGGTATATTTGGAAATCTTCATACAAAATTCTCTGCCTTCTTCTTTGGGGTGGGGGGGGGAGTTTATTTTTGCTGGCTCTGGCTTTTACTCCTCTAAGTTGAATACCCAACTCTTTTTTTTTTTTTGCATTCATTTACTACATATTTATTGTACACCTGCCGGTGTGATTCCGTGGATAAGCGTTGGCCTGGGGACTGAAAGGTCCTGGGCTCGATTCCCCGTCAGGGTATATGCCTGGATTGCAAGCTTGATTCCCAGTAGAGGGCGAACAGGAGACAGCCGGTCAATGATTCTCTCATCATTGATGTTTCTATCTCTCCCTCTCCATTGCTGTCTGAACTCAATAAAAATATATTTTTAAAAAATATATGTATACATACACAATGGATCCCCATCCTCTAAATACTTACCCATTTAAACCTGCTTATGGATATTCAATAATAGTGATAGAGGGCTTTAAGCAGTTTTATCTTTCCATCATCTCAGACAACAGCTTTGTGAAGCTCTGAGGAACCTGGATCGTTTCTGTTCAGAGTTGAGTGATGATGATGAGTGCCAAGTGGCGGGGGCACTCTGTACTGTGGGAATTCAGAGGGGGGGGGCATTCTTACTTGGGATGATTGGCGGCTGGACCGTGGGGGTGATGCCAGGAAGAGTGCTCTCGACTCCATGTTTGGTTCTGAGGAAGCCGCCTTAGTTTGGAAAGCTACGCGAAAAGTGTCCCGTTTCCCCAGGCCTTCACCTGTGCTCATTGTGTTTCCTCTTGTGTTTCCAGACTCCAAGGACCCCTTTCGTTGTTTCTCCACTTTGCTTGATGGGAGGCATTATGGCCCCCAAAGATATCATGACAAACACACATGCTAAGTCCATCCTCAACACAATGAACTCCCTCAGGAAGAGCAACACCCTGTGCGACGTGACGCTGAAGGTGGAGCAGAAAGACTTCCCGGCCCATCGGATCGTGCTGGCTGCCTGCAGCGATTACTTCTGTGCCATGTTCACTAGCGAGGTGAGGTGCCTGCCCTTTTGAGTATAAAAGTAGAAGTTTGGCAGACATTCGTTGGTTTTATGGCTTGATTCTCAAGAGTTTTCGTCTTTATTTTCAAGAATAATTATTACTCATAACTCTAAGGATGTATTCTAGGCAAAATATACCATCAGCGATTCGGTGATCCCAAAGTCAAGTTAACCCCGTATCTTGCAGAGAGTATCAAACCACTCGGTAAAACTGATATTCCAGGAAGGTGTCATCTCACTGTGTGCTCTTGGGTTACATTCAGTTCCTTCCCTGGTGGAACAGCTACCAATGCATGCTTTAAACAAAATAGACTATGATTTTAAGAAGATGTGTATTCAGTTCATGTTATTAACATCCCTCAGGCTATTGGATATGAGATGCTGCCTTTGTCATGGAGAATGATAACCACGGGTATTTCACACCCTTTGAATTTTCAGCTTTCCGAGAAAGGGAAACCATACGTCGATATCCAGGGTTTAACGGCCTCCACCATGGAAATCCTGTTGGACTTTGTGTACACGGAAACGGTGCACGTGACAGTGGAGAACGTGCAGGAGCTGCTCCCTGCCGCTTGTCTGCTCCAGCTGAAAGGTACAGGTGTTACCATTGTGTGTACCAAGATGGCCCGGAATGTTTAAAGTGGAGACAGTGGGCGCTCTCAGTTCCTGCCCGTGGCACAGAGATCGGGTTCTGGGCGCAGTAGAAGGGCCTCTCCCCGTGTGAGTGTCGGGCTCTGTAGGAGAGATCGTTTACCCTGTTCTGTTTCCAGGAAAACGGAGGAGAGGACAGGTGCGCTTCCTTGCATGCATGAGCACAATCACCCTGCAAGGACACGAGAAACCAATACTGTTGTCGCCCACGTAGAGGGCTGCGCTGGCCGGGGGGGTAGGGAGGCACGGGGGACTGCTCACGGGAGCCCTTGGCACCTTACCTTCTGCGCCTGCAGAGTGTGTGTGGGAAACTTTAATTTTTTTTTTTTTTTTTTTTTTTTTTTTTTTTTTTTTTTTTTTTTTTTTTTTTTTTAAATATATTTTATTGATATTTTTACAGAGAGGAAGAGAGAGGGATAGAGAGTTAGAAACATCGATGAGGATCATCGATCAGCTGCCTCTTGCACACCCCCTACTGGGGATGCGCCCGCAACTAAGGTACATGCCTCCGACCGGAATCGAACCCGGGACCTTTCAGTCCGCAGGCCGACGCTCTATCCACTGAGCCAAACCAGTTTCGGCGGGAAACTTTAATTGACACACACAGATGAAGCGTCAGGTTTTCACAGAGTTAGCAGTGATGACCCTTCCAGGGCCCTGTCCGTGCTGTTTGTCTTGTTTTCTGTTTTAATGATTGAGGCAATGGGAGGGCTTTGCATTACTGCACAACTAGGCTTATGCTCTGAACTCCTCAGGTATAGAAGCATGAGCTTGATATTAGTGTCCTATTTTTCCTTCTCTGGAGTCTTTTAGAAAATTAAAAAAAAAAAAAAAAAAACAACTTTTCAATTACAGTTGACATTAGATATTATGTTAGTTTCGGGGGTACAATGTAGTGGTTTCACATTTAGTAACTTCCAAGGTAAATTTTCATATAGAGTAGAAATTAGGTACATTATGCTGAATTAGAACTGGTTTTATAGCTTGATTTTCAAGAGTTTTATGGGCAGTTTTGCCTAATTGTGCCAGTGTCCGCAGAAGCAGTTTGTCTTGCTCTACTTGTTTTTAAAGCTGAAGCAGAGACCATCACAAAAGCCTTGTTGGAGGTCACCGAGTGCATAACACCGAAATGGGTTTGCATTCCTTAAGCATGAAATTTCTAATCTGGTCCTGAGTGCTGAGCCAGGGTTCTCTAACTCTGGGTGGGGAAGATGTTATGATGGAGAATAAAGACAGAGCACAGCTGACCACGTGTCCTGAAGTATCCAATGTCTGTGTTTGTCCCAGGTGTGAAGCAAGCCTGCTGTGAGTTCTTAGAAAGTCAGTTGGACCCTTCTAACTGCCTGGGTATCAGGGATTTTGCTGAAACTCACAGTTGTGTCGACCTGATGCAAGCTGCAGAGGTTTTTAGCCAGAAGCACTTCCCCGAAGTGGTACAGCACGAAGAATTCATCCTCCTGAGTCAAGGAGAGGTGGAAAAGCTAATCAAGTGTGATGAAATTCAGGTACAGATTTAGCTTCTTACATGGCTTCTTTAAGATTGGGCCATTCCAAAGAGCAAGGTGGCCTTCCATGTTTCTGCAGCAGGGCTGCTTACTCCACGTCCACGTTTTCATTAAATGCCCTTGAGATTACGTGCCAAATTATTGGCATGTTTATGGAGGGAGTTCACCTTCCTGAATGAAATGTGTGAGCCCAGTGTTGAAGAATCATTGCTGTACAGAGTAGATGACGCAGAAGTTGGAAGGAAAGTGGATTTCTCTGTTACCCATTCACTCATTGTACAAACATCTATTACGAATATGTGACATAGCAATCAAGGTGCCAGGTTCTATGGGCCCAGAAGTAAGAGGCAGTTCTTGTTTTTAGAGAATTCACAGCGTAGACACCACCACCACCAAAACAGATCGTCATAGAGTGCAGTGAGAATGACGAGCCTGCTCAGAGTGAGGACATGGCATCGGAGAACAAAGCGTGAACCTGACTTAAGTCAGATCAGAAAGGAAGGGACAGAGGTTGGAGACTGAGCAGGAGCCAGATTCTGAGTGCCACGTGGGGGACCAGGAAGTGAGAGGGAGGAGTCTGGGACAAGGGTGTAAGGCCGAGTTCAGTGCTGAGCCTGGCAAGGGAACTTCAGCCCACTTCCTCGCAGTCTTCGTTGCACGTAGGCCTCGGGATCGTGAGAGGTCCCGCACAGAGCTCTTCGTACCAGCAGGCCTAAGGCCTTCCTCTGGTGGTCCGGTGCTGTGACCCAGTCAGGAGCGTCTGGGAAATACGTCCAGAGCCACGTGGGGGGAGCCTTGAATCCGCAGCAGGTCCTCCCCCACGCCCCTGAGAGCTTCAGAAATGACCAGAAAAGGTTCGGGAGTGGAGGACATTCTGAAGCAAACACCAGCCTGTGGCTGAGGGCTGCCTAGGCACTCTCTGTGTCAGAGATTTACCCACTTTGACCATTATCTTCTTCCTGGTCCTAGGCAGTGGTGTGGGGAAAGATGTTTCTAAGAGCCTAGCTTTCCTGGGAGATGTAAAGTAATGGTGGCGGAGGACGGGCAACAGGAAGGGGAAGGTAGGCATAGCTACTTTTTGAGCCTGTGCGGCGACTGGCGGAACACGGGTCTGTAATTGTTCTCTGACAGGTGGATTCTGAAGAGCCGGTCTTTGAGGCCGTCATCAACTGGGTGAAGCACGCCAAGAAGGAGCGAGAAGAGTCCCTGCCTAACCTGCTGCAGTACGTCCGGATGCCCCTGCTCACCCCCAGGTACATCACCGACGTCATCGACGCAGAGGTGAGTCCTGGAAGACACCGGACCCCGCGCCTGCCTGTCCTCTGCGTAGTGCTGTGGCCTCAGGTCCACCGTCATTTCCGGACGCCACAGCGTAGTTACTGCCAGAGTCTCGGACCACGTCTGGAAACTGGTTTCTAGTTAAGAAGCTAACGACAACATGCCGTTTATCGGTAACACGGCCCCTCTGCCCTGTGTTCCAGCCTTTCATCCGCTGCAGTCTCCAGTGCAGGGACCTCGTCGACGAGGCAAAGAAGTTCCACCTTCGGCCCGAGCTGCGGAGTCAGATGCAGGGACCCAGGACACGGGCTCGTCTGGGTGAGCTGGCGTCCGCAGAAAGCTGCCCCTTGCCTGGTGGATGGTGGATCTAACAGGAACATTCTGTGGAAAATACAAGGACCTTCTCTCAGGCCTGTTTTCAGTCTTTTCTTCATCGGGTCCTCAGATCACTTTACCACCAAATTTTCTTCCATGTCTGTTTTGCACAACTCTGTGGAGGTTTCGACGAGGCAAAGTGTGACAATTTATAAACTGTCAAGTTTAGTTTCAATATGTTAGGAGCCTGTAAATTGGGAATTTTTTAGCATGTCATGGAGGACTTAGTATGTCCCCATCCACCTGTCCCCTCTCCCCGTGTGTTTTCCCTTCTGGGTGAGGGAGGAAGGAGGGGCAGGTGGTGGGGACAGCCCAGGGATGGTCAGGGGCCTGCAGTGAGGTGGATCCCTCCCTCGAGCCAGGCTGGGTGGGTGCATCTACAATACGTTTTTAATTATTTGAGAGGGATAGAGAAATAGAAACATCGATGAGAGAGAAACATCCATCGGCTGCCTCCTGCCCGGCCCCCACTGGGGATCAAGCCCAATAACCCAGACATGTGCCCTGACTGGGACTCAAACCGGTGACCTCTCAGTGAACTGGATGAACTCAACCGAACCACACCGGCCAGGGCACGGGAAAGAGACTTTCAGGTGTATCGCTCGGTTCCCGTTCTTTGAGGCGAGGTTAGGAGAGTGGTCTCACCACCAAGAACACTCTGTTTTGAGGTGCAGGGAGCTCTGGGAGGGCAGGGAGCTCCTCCTGGCTTCTCGCTGCATGGGGAACCTCAGCTGAATGTCGGCCAGAGGCGTCGGGGTGGGTTGGAAAGGTGGGGACTCAGATTTGCCGTCTGCAGTTTTAGTGTCCAGGACTTTCAGTGTAAGATACTTGAGTTCTCAAGCTAGAGCCTCTAGACTAAGAAATAATCTCCCATCAGGCAACCTTACAGTGAATCTTCCGTTTCAGACGGCTTCTCTGGGCCACGTAAACACCACCTTCATTGTAGAGCTGTTTCTGCCTACGCGTCCCTGTGAGCGTGTGCCCGGCCACGGACGGGGGGAGACCTGCCTTTTCCTCCCTCTCTCCTCAGGGGCCAATGAGGTGCTGCTGGTGGTGGGGGGCTTTGGCAGCCAGCAGTCTCCCATCGACGTGGTGGAGAAGTATGACCCCAAGACTCAGCAGTGGAGCTTTCTGCCAGTACGTGTCCTCCGTCCCTGGCTCCCAGCTCTAAACCTAGGACAACCTAGTAACCGCTAACGCTCCTTACAACAGTGTCATGCTCACAGTAGATATTCAGTAGATAGTTATCAACTGTCTACATTAGGTTAGACCTCAGAATGCCAGTGGCCAGAGTCAGCTGCCACCCTGCTTCACGCCTTCCTGAGCTGTCTAACTCCCAGCATGCTCCACTGCTCCTGCTCCGTCACCCTGAGCTTGGTGTTAAGTCGTGTTAAGCTGAACTCAAGTTTGTATCTTTCTCACTTTGTCTCTGTTTGAGTGGTGAAAATAACAATTCTCAGGAAATCTGGAAATCTTCCAGTCAGTCTTCATGGCTTTGGGTCCTTGAGTCTGGGCCTTTGATGAGCAGATCCGGAAAACTTCCTTCTGTGGGAGGATTTTAGTCTGTAGCACAGAGCCTGGTGGAGCAGAAAGGATGAGACCCTGGATGATGGAAAGCCTTGGAGGCGGCAGGGGTGCAGACAGCTCGATGCTAGAGCATCACAACAAGGAAAGAGTGTCTGCTGGGGGGGAGGGGGGGGCAGACAGCTGGAGGCCACTGCGGAGCGCTGCTCCCCACAGCTCCTGCTGGCAAGTGAAGAGGCGGGATCAGGACGGAGAGCCGGGAGGAGGCCGAGCTGCGTGACTGACGTGCTCTGTCCCCTTCTCTCCTGAACCAGAGCATCACTCGGAAGAGACGTTACGTGGCCTCTGTGTCTTTACACGACCGGGTCTATGTCATCGGTGGCTACGATGGCCGCTCCCGCCTCAGTTCAGTGGAATGTCTGGACTACACAGCGGAGGAGGACGGGGTATGGTACTCCGTGGCCCCAATGAATGTCCGGCGAGGCCTGGCCGGCGCCACCACCCTGGGAGGTAGGCTGGGTACACAGGGTGGCGTGGCCATGCTATGGGGCTGGATCAGGACTCAGACTCCCTGCTGTCTGGCAGGAGCATGGCCTGTGGAGGGTCCCGGTGAGGCCAGACGCTCCTGTTTGCTTGGGCAATAACCGTTACAACGCTGTTCCGTGTTCACCGGTGCTTCAGCGCTGACAACAGGCTGGGTGGGGCTGCAGCATACTGAGGGGGACATTGGCCTGGATTTCTGGGACCCTCGGCTGGTCTCGGAGTGCTTTGAGGGTTTCATCCACTGTCTGCATTTGAGGCCTGTGCTCTCTTCCTTATCAATACGACTTCATTGACTTGTCCCATAAGAAACATGTGGGTTTGCTTCCAAACATGTGAAGGACTTGTGGGAAACTGGTGGAGAAAAGAATGATTAGAAATCTCTCCTTGCGGGGAGGGCAGGTGATGGGGGTGAGGTGGCTGGGGAGAGTTCAGTGGGGAAAAAGGAGACCTGTGTAATACTTGAAACAATAAAGACCTGAAATAAAAATAAAAAAGAAATTTCTTAGTGAATAATGAAGCTGTTGATATAATTAGAGTGATTTATGATTAGAATATTTAAATTCACTTCATTAAAAAAATCTACTTCTCTAAGAGTCTGTGGTTTGTTAATTCTGAGCAGATATGATCTACGTCTCTGGAGGCTTTGACGGGAGCAGGCGTCACACCAGTATGGAGCGCTATGACCCCAACATTGACCAGTGGAGCATGCTGGGAGACATGCAGACAGCCCGGGAAGGCGCGGGGCTGGTGGTGGCCGGCGGAGTGATCTACTGTCTAGGTGCTGACCCGGGGAGGCAGGGATGGGGGAGGGTTCCCATTTTACCAGAATCAAGTTCATAGATGGCCTTCAAGTAAAACCCTGGTCTGTCCCAGTGCAGTTCCATTAACTGGGATTGTCTTTCTCATGGAAGCAGAACATGGCTTCTGTTAGATTTCTCTTTGGACTGTGGGCAGCCTTGAAGGAGAGCTGGGATTAAAGGGGGTCAGGATGTGTCCTCCTCTCTGGAATGGCCTCTGCTGTCTTTCAGGAGGATACGACGGCGTGAATATCTTAAATTCGGTTGAGAAATATGACCCCCATACAGGACACTGGACTACTGTTACACCGATGGCCACCAAGCGCTCGGGTAAGACGGTCGGGTCTGAGGGGCCATCTGCGGTCAGGTCCCCGCTTGCACTGTGGGGGGGACGGCCCATTGGTCAGGGTTGTAGTTCCTCTTTGCTCCGACTTCAGTGAAGCAGGAGTAGAGTTCACCCTTCTGGCCTCTGATCTCCGTGTCCTGAGAATGAAGAGGCTTTTCAGGTGGAATCTGCATTTGAGGACAGAAGCCTCCTTGTTTTACTCACTTTTTAAATCCCAGCATTGGCACGTCTGGTACAGTCGTGTGTGTGTGTAACATGTTACATGGGCAAATGCCGGCAGAACTTCCTGGACAGAGGAGCTGGGCTCTGAGGCAGCAGAAGGCTGTGCTGTTCTGATTCACTTTTTCCGTAAAAACTGCTCAGAACCGTCACAGCTCCTTTCCCTCCTCCCTCCTCCATCGCCTCCCTTTTCTATTTCCTTCTTTTCCGTTAACGGAGAGGGTTGGGCTCTGAATTAATGAAAGTAAAGATGAGAACTATTTTGTGTTTTTTTTCTTCTCATTTCAACTCCCACCAGTGGGTTTACCTGAGGGTTCAGCTGGCCATCAGCGACCATGTTTCTTTCTGGAATCCAGCCTCCGTTCAGGAGTAGTGACCTCTCTGCCTTTTTCCAGGTGCAGGAGTAGCCCTGCTGAATGACCATATCTATGTGGTGGGGGGATTTGATGGCACCGCCCACCTTTCTTCCGTGGAAGCGTACAACATCCGTACCGACTCCTGGGCGGCTGTCACTAGCATGACCACCCCCCGATGCTATGTGGGGGCCACCGTGCTTCGGGGCCGACTCTATGCAATTGCCGGGTGAGGATTTAAAACCAGGCTGGGACCATCATGCATCAGGGCAACATGATCCCCTCCACACTGTTGGGTGGAGACAGGGTGTGGGTCAGGGGAGATGTGTCCATGGAGACCTCGTGTGGGGTGTGGGTGGAGAGGAACAGAAAGCTCATTTCCCTCTCTCGCTTTTTCCCCACTCAGTTATGATGGGAACTGCCTGCTGAGCAGCATCGAGTGCTATGACCCTGTCATCGACAGCTGGGAAGTGGTGACCTCCATGGGTACCCAGCGCTGTGATGCTGGCGTATGTGTTCTCCGAGAGAAGTGACCTTTTTGGAGCTCCATTCAGAGCTAGTGACCAGTCCAGGGGCCAGAGAGCAGGCGAATCAAGAATCGTGTCCAGAATGTCTGCTTCTCGCTGTGTGCTCAGGGTGATTACAAGCACCGGGGCGGTGATGGTGGTCTTTATTTGCACACACTCCCCCTCGCGCTGGGACTGGTCCCTGAGTAGAGTGGTGAACGCCCTTAGGGGAAAAGAAAGCACTGAGGGGATGTGCGAGGCCAGGCCACCTCTCCTGGTCTGGGCGGCCCTCTGGCCGTGTCTGACTCTCTGTGTGCTCAGGAGGACATGCGTACGTTGCGCCCGTGTGTTGCAGAGAACAAAAGTGAGAGTGACCTAGTAGAGGTGGGCAGTGTCCAGCCGACGTCTGGATTGGAAGGATTCCGGCTTGAGTCAGCCTGATGAAGTGCAAGTCCTGTTTTTCAGGACTAAGTGTACTTCCTGGTCTGCAGGAGCTGCACGTAGCTCTGTGCTGGAGGGGAACCGAGGGAAGCGCCTGTCACGGCGGTGGGCTTGGGAGACACCTTTGTCACACTCCATGGGGGGCAGAGCTGCTGTATCCGAACTGGGCTGAGAGCGCGGTGACTTGATCTCGCTGGCGGAGTGAACCTGGACCTCCACGACGGGAGACCTGGAAGGCAGGGTGGATGTCGGAAGGGTCTTCCGAGTCCCCGGTCTGTCTGGACTGCATTGTGGCTTGCCTGGCCCTGGCCCTGGCCCTGGCCCTGTGCGAGACGAGCACAGTGAACCAGTGTCAGGTGGGCGGACTGGAGACGGCGGGGCACAAAGAAGTACCTGTGAGTTGGTGTTTGTTTCACTCCTGCCAGGGCTCGTTCCCCGCAGCAAGGTTCGCCTTGCGGGGAGAGGTCGTTGTTGAATCAGATCCTTCTATGCTGGAACATTTCCATCCTATTTATTGGGGGCAGGGGTGGGGTGCAGCAGCCTGCAAGGTCAGCCTCCTTTTAAGCGCACACTTGTGCTGAGGGTGGTTTTTACTGCTGTTTGGTACAGCTCGTCCTTATCCTACTGCCGGGCTCCCAGCCTGTCCTTAGAGTGGATGATGTTCATCCCAGGACAGAAGAATCAAAGGACGGCCAGCGTCCTGTGTTCTCCGGTGCCTGCTCGCACCTTTTCTGAGCCACCGTTCTAGGCTCTCTGTGTTACCGAGGGAAATTCCTGCGTGGTGGGTATTGGGCACGTGGGAATGTGATGACGTGAACAAGAAAACAATCCTTTTACATTGGAATTCCATTTTCTCCTCTCCCTGAATTGAATTGACCTAAAGAGTTCATTTCCTTTGTATATTTTTAAGAAAATATTAAAAATAATCTGTCTCAAATGCCTTAAGAGAATTTGTGGCAAACCAGCACTGTCCTCCATGTTTGGGGGAGCAGGCAGATCAGCTGTGAGAGTCTCACCAGGAAATGTTTCTGAGTTTGCCATATCCATTGACTCCTCTCACACTTGGAGTGTCCTTGAACCCTAAAGGGAATCAAGAAGAAGCTCATTTAGTATGCACCTTAATTTCAGGGTTTTAATCATCCCAGCCCCTCTATTGCTTCAGTTTATGGCATAGAAACAGAAGTCCAGCTATTCCCAGAAGAAGGGGGAGGGGAGCAAAGAGGAACTGGTTCGCTGAAGAGCCTGCCAAGCTCTCTCCAGCAGATGGACTGTGCCTGCTGGTGAAACCACAGCCACAAAACATGCCTCAGCCGGAGTCCCTGGGGAGACAGACTAGGCGGCTCCTCAAGCGAGTCTCAGATCAAATTCCCAGGAGTTCTGCCGAAATCGGTTTGACTCAGTGGTAGAGCGTCAGCCTGCAGACTGAAAGGTCCCAGGTTCGATTACGGACAAGGGCATGTACCTTGGTTGTGGGCACATCCCCGGTGGGGGTTGTGCAGGAGGCGGCTGATCGATGATACTCTCTCATTGGTGTTTCTAACTTATCCCTCTCTTCCTCTCTGTAAAAAATCAATAAAATATATTTTTTTAAAAATCAAATTCCCAGGAGTTCTGACATGACACAACTGGATGTTTGGCAGTGCTCCCTCCTCATGCCCCCCCCCCCAATGGGTGCCCCTAACTTGGTAGTTCCTCCTGCCTTTCTCTGTCTCTTAACTGGAAGCCAGTCACTTGGTCATCCACCGCGGAAAGCTATCATTCACTTTGTGGGCATGCATTTGATTAGTTTCTGGGTTTTGCATGGTTTTGTTTTATCTCTGTCCCAAATCCATTCCTGTATTTTCACTCCCTTACAGTGCAGGCCTTTCTCGCCCGGACCCGTGGAGCAGTGGCCTCCTGATGTCCTTGCCACCTCTCTTCCAGCCCAGGCCCTCCGTTTGTCCTGCTAACTTTCCCAGCACAGCTGGGGTCATGGTAGTACCTGACATGCAGCAGGTTTTCAGGAAATGTACAAGTTATTTCTGGCACAAAGTGCCCATCGCCATGGATCCTGGGGGGTTAGCATGTTATGTGAGTGTTTGAACCCTGAGTTGGAGGAAGAGGAGGAAATGCAAGTGGGTCATGGGTAGTGGGTGACACCTGGCCTGACCCAGTGGGTGCTGAACCCGTCTCTGAACCGAGAACCTGGGGATGTGATGACGGCTGTGCCTGGACCCGTGCTTCCCAGGAGGTCCCCTCTGACCCGGGCCCTCCTCGCTGCGCCCATCGGATGGACGAGCCACAGCCACAGGGAGGCAGTGGCGGTCCAGCTCGGTCCTAAAGCGCCTCCACCCCATGGAGAGATCTCACTGCTTAGCACCTACCGGCCCTCGGCTTCCGGTTTCCGGCATCGGAGGGGTACGTGTCCCCGCGGGTGGGACCCACATTGCCTTCCGTCCCCTCCCGCTCGGCCCTGAATCCACGTCTCCGGAGACAGGGAGGTCCGAGCAGCTCCGATGACCCAATAGTAAGGGACTCGTGTCCGCCCTGCCTGGTCCTGTCACAAAGCCGCAGGCCCCTGCCACTCAGGGCGGCGGGGCGGGCCTGCGCGTGCGCAGCGGAGCCGGCGTGGGCAGAGGGCGCCTGCGCAGGAAGCAGTGGCCGTCCGCCCCGCCCCCTGCGGGAACCGCGCCTGCGCGGTGCGGGCCCCGGGGCAGCGGCGGCGGCGATGGAGCCCGCGGAGGCGCCGCCGAGCGAGCTGGTGTCGGCGGAGGGCCGGAACCGGAAGGCGGTGCTGTGCCAGCGCTGCGGCTCGCGGGTGCTGCAGCCGGGCGCGGCGCTCTTCTCCCGCCGGCAGGTAGGCGCCGGGCGGGGCGAGCCTCCGCGCCGGGACCCGGGTCCTGCTTCCGCCGGGGCGCGGGCCTCAGTGCCCTCCTTCCGCCGTCCCCGCGGGCGCCAAGGCGGAGAGGATGTCCCGCTGACCTGCCGCGGGAGAGGGCGGTTACTCCGCACCGTGTGCGCGCCCGGCCCCCGGGTTCTCTCCCCTGAGTCTCTCCCGGGGGCTCCGCCCGCAGCGCCGGCCCCTGGGGCCGGGGTTCCGCTAAGGCGGGGACGCAGTTAGCGGGGCTGGGGGCACCCCACACCTGGGTCCCATCCCTGGGACCTCACACCTGGGACGTTACACCTGGACCTCACACCTGGAACCTCATCCCACACCTGACACTTCACACCTGGGGTCCCACACCCGGGACCTCATCCCACACCCGAGACTTCACACCTGGGGTCCCACACCTGGGACCTCACCTGGGACCTCATCCCACACCCGAGACTTCACACCTGGGGTCCCACACCTGGGACCTTACCTGGGACCTCATCCCACACCTGACACTTCACACCTGGGGTCCCACACCCGGGACCTCATCCCACACCCGAGACTTCACACCTGGGGTCCCACACCTGGGACCTCACCTGGGACCTCATCCCACACCCGAGACTTCACACCTGGGGTCCCACACCTGGGACCTCACCTGGGACCTCATCCCACACCTGAGACTTAACACGTGGGGTCCCGGCCGGGGCTGTGACACTGGTCGTTTTTACCGCCCAGGCAACAGAGGAGCCACTCGCATCCTGGTCTGTCCCTGACGGGACTGCGTGTCTGGTTTGTGGGGGCACCGCGTGCAGTCCACCGTGCGCAGGGTGCTGGCGTGACGGGTGCTCACGTGGCTGGCGTTCCTGTGTCCCCCCCCCCGCCCTCCTGCAGCTCTTCCTGCCCTCCATGAGGAAGAAGCCGGCCCTGGCGGATGGCGGCAGCCCCGACGGGGACCTCCTGCAGGAGCACTGGCTGGTGGAGGACATGTTCACCTTCGAGAACGTGGGCTTCACCAAGGACGTGGGCAACGTCAAGTTCCTGGTGTGCGCCGACTGCGAGGTCGGGCCCATCGGCTGGCACTGCCTGGACGACAAGCACAGCTTCTACGTGGCCTTGGAACGGGTCTCCCACGAGTGACGGGGGCGGGGGGCTCCGCGGCACCCCCGGCGTCAGAGCCGCCCCGTCCCAAGAACTGGCTTTTAACCCAGTGCCACGGCTCTGCCGCTCGTCTCTGTCCCCCTGCTTCCCCAGAGCCTGGTGCACATGCCTCTTCTAGTTCACAGAGCACCATGCGGCGCCTAAGCTCCCCCCACCCCCCAGCTGCGGACAGGGGGAGCGCCCCGCCCTTCTCCTCTCACCCCTGCATCCTGCTGGGCTCTCCTTTACCCAGGGCTCCCGGCTGCCTGCTCTGGACGGCACCGCCCACCCTTCAGCCATGGCCTCACTGATAGTCGAGGCTTCACCTCTCTTCATCCCAGAAGGCACGCGGGCGTCTGAGTGCAGCGCTGCCGTGCGGCTGATTGCACACACGCGTTTATTTATTCTTTTAAAACGTGTGGCCTTGGCGGGCTCTGGTATCCAGGCTCCTGATCAGGAATGCCGAGGTGCACCTCGGTGCCAGGTGTGAAACCCTCACCTCCAGGCTGTCAGAAGCCCTTCGGGGTGAAGATGAAGGCGGCCCCTCTTTCCTCCCAGCCCCGATGAGGTTTACGGCCTGCACGTCGAGAGCCAGACTTTCCACCCCGTTGGATCGGAGGCCGTTGGATGTGGGGTCTAAGGAATAGGCCTTTGCCACATTGCACAGGAGTTTGGGGGTTTGTCTTTTCTGGACAAGTGAACGCTTCCTTTGTTCTCAGGAAAGACTTCCTTAACGGATAACGTCTTGGCTGAACCTGCTGGGCCCGGTTCACGTGGAATCTCTGCCCCAGCCCCCAACGCAAACCTTCCACCCAGAGGCCTCGGTGGCTGCAGCGGGGGAGTCGCTCTAACCGTGTGATCTTAGCGCAGTATCTCCCCTCCCAGTAGGGCTTGGGTTCTCCTGGAATGACTCACCTCAGCAGGAATCTGTGTGGCCGGGTCCAGGTTCCTCCCATCACCCACCACTCAGACCCGGGAGGCCTGGCATTGCAGGAGGACTAACCGGAGGCCGCCTCTCTGCCGTCCGTCTGTCCCCTCCCCCCAGAGCTTCCTCTAAGGGATCCCTCGCCGACATGTGGGCCTCGGGCATGGTTCTGCGACTGGCCTGCTTCCTCCTGCTCGGTCAGAGCCCCGGTGAGCTCCCGAAGAAGGGAGAGAGCCGTTCTCTAGACAAGCGGTCTAGGGTCCATGGTTATGGCGTTTACAGAAAGACAGCTGTGAGAATTCTCCACTCAGGTTGGAAGGGACAAAGCCAAGCAGAGGCCTCCGTGGGCGAGGGTCCCCTCCCGGCACAGCCAAGTCCAGGCGAAGCATTTTCTAAAACCGGGCTCTGACTTTTCTTTCCTTTTTTAATCACAGAAACCGTACCCATTCGTTGCAGATACACACAAAAAGGGGCATAACCATTTTTTAATCCCTCGTAGTTCCACATCCACAGATGGTAATGCTGCATATGTCCATCTCAATGTTTTCTACGCGTACGGACGCGTGTACGGCTTAAACATGAGCCCTTACTGTGCTCGGTTATAGCTAGCTTTCTCCACTTAACAACACGCCAACTTCTCTTGCGGGTAGCTTTCCCCGGTATCCACCCTTGTGTTTAGCGTGCCATTGTATGTATTTATGTAAGCAGTCCCCTGTTAGATTGTAGCTAGACTCACATTCCCAGTGGTTCCCTCGGGGTAGAAAGTGGGATGGCGAGGTGTGCCGTGCACATGCCTCACATCTGGCCGTGCCATTTACCCTCCAGAGGAAGGCAGACTCTCGTTGCTGAACCGTTCTAACACCGGGCACGAGTTCTCTTTAGAAGAGCATTTGGCCCTGGCCACGTAACTCAGTTGGTTAGAGTGCCGTCCAGATACGCCCCCGTTGCGGGTTCAACCTCCAGTCAGGGTATAGATGCAAGAATCAACCAGTGAATGCACCGATATGTGGAACAACGAATCGACGTTTCTCTCAAAAATATATATATATTTTGTCACTTTAATAGAAACAATAGTCTCATTTTTATTTGCATTTGTTATTTCTAATGAAGTTTTTATATACTTAGTGGTGATTTGTATTTCTTTTTCTCTTGAGAATTGCCAAACACTGTTTCCCAGTAGCCAAAGAGTATCAGGTGGTTATCCTGCCTTTTCAGTTTGATTTGAAAGAAATAAAGGCATTTAAACAAGGGACATTATACTCCTGTACGTCCTTGGAAAGAACATATAATTTTAGACACCAGAGGAGAGCTGGAACTTGAGATTGACCTTGAGGTCTGTCAACACACTGGTTAATCAGTCATCTCTTGGTCTCCCTCACACCATAAGGCAGAGGAGTCACACTCTGTCTTGAGGAGAGAAAGTTGCCTTCCTGAGGGGGAGAGGTTGATTTTCCGAAGGACTCGTTCCTACAAAATTCTTTTTTTTAACACAGAACCAAAGCTGGACAGTGGTGTGGCAACATTTTACTGAGCCAAACCAGCCCTGGCTGGACAGAATACATCAGCCCTAGCCAGTGTGGCTCAGCGCATAGAGCATCAGCCTGCGGACTGAAGGGTCGCAGGTTTGATTCCGGTCACGTGCACATTCCTCAGATGGAGGCTGGAGCCCCAACCCTGGTTGGGGCTTATGTGGGAGGCAGCCAACCGATGGGTCTCTCATATCCATGTTTCTCTGTTCTCTCTCCCAATCTCTAAAAACCAATGGAAAATATATCGAATGAGGATTAACAAAAATTTTTTTTAAATAACCAAAATTAATAATTCAGTGGGAGGTTTTAGCTGCCAATTAGGCACAGCCTTGTAAAGGTACTAGTGAAAGCCATTGAAAGTGTACCTGCCCCCAAGCATCCTGTACTCAATGTCAGCCGGCAACCTGCACTTTGCTTGTCCTCCCTCTTGGCAGCCAGCAGAGGGCAGTAGAGGCTGCAGCCACAGGCCTGTCCGCAGGGGCCAGCTTCCCATTCAGGGCCTGTCCCAGTCCAGGCCTTGTGGTCCCAGGATTCTGGAGGACGGGGATGTTTAATTTCTGTTCTTTCTAAGCTCCCGTGAGCTGCAGGCCTGCCTGGAAAGGCCTCGGGGTCTAGTGGTCAGCATTAACCTGGGGGGTTATTTAACGAATCAGCATTCGTCTGAGGGGCCTGCTTGAGGCAAGGCCCTCGGCCTGCGTGAGCGCCCTGTCTTGATCCCTCCGAAGCCGTGTCATGGCTGTTGACTTTCCACGTGAGACTGTGTGTCGGCAAAGCTGTTCCGGCTGACTCTCGGCCTCAGGGTTCCTGGGGACCCAAGGGCTCAGGTTAGGGGTGGAGTTGGGGCTTGGTCGGCAGGGAAGGCGGTTGGGAAAACCTGCCTGGCACACGTTCAAGGATGGGCCTGTGTCTGCTCGGCCTGTAGGGCCGGCTCTACTGGTCTCTTCGCCCAGAAACCAGGAGCTGACCTCCCTCAGGTCTTCCCAGCACACGCCACCCAGGGAGGCAGGCTGGCGGCCGGATGAGCTAATCATTTGCATAAACTCCCTGCCGGGACCCCCCCTCAGGCCCCAAACCAGAAAAGAAGTGGAGGCCAAGGAGGCTGCTCACCAACCTACAAGGCACCAGACAGACCCCACGTGGCCCAGGGAGGAAGTCCAAGGTCACTCACCCATCCCAGACCCTCCCCCCCAGGCAGGTCACATCCCCACAGGCAGGTCTCGTAGTTTGAAGCCGGAGCTGTGGACAGAGTGGAGGTGACCGCCTGGGATCTCAGGGTCAGGGAGTCAGGGTTCCAGGGGTGTGATGAATGTCGGTGACCCTGTGTCCCTGCACCATGAGGCTCAGTCTTCCTTCCCAGGGACAGAAGGAACAAGAAACAAAACTTGGTGGTGGAGTTCCAGCCTCGGCCTGGAGCCGGGCCTGCCTCTGCCACACTCACACACACACACACACACACACACACAGGAGGACGCTGCCCCCAGGCCTTCAGGTGGGAAAATCCGCCCTTCCCCACCTACTGGGGGCGGGGCCAAGCATCCTACCTGCCTGGGCCCGTCCTCCTCACCCGTCTGGGTCCCTGAAGCTTCTGGGCAGGAGGGGACGGGCTTGGGAGGGCAGAGGGCGGAGTGTGCATCCCCCTGAAGTCGCCGCTCACCCCTCATCTACCCCCCTCTCCACCCCCATTGTGCCAGGTGGGAGCAGTCCTGGCGGGCGAGGGGGGGGAAAGCGGTGGGCCCAGCAGTGGGCTCGCCCCTGAACCTCACTATCCCGTCCTCCGAGGGCGAGCACTCCCCACAGAGGCTGCAGGAGACACGTTTGTCAGAGGCCCTCACCTCACTCCCCACGCAGGGGAGACTCAGTAAACGTTTGTAAAATGATCCCAGCCGGTGTGGCTCAGTGGTTGAGCATCGACCCAAAAACCAGGAGATCCCGGTTTGATTCCCGGTCAGGGCACAGGCCTGGGTTGTGGGCTCGATCCCCAGTGTGGGGCGTGCAGGAGGCAGCCGATCCCTGATTCTCTCATCATTGATGTTTCTGTATCTCCGTCCCTCTCACTTCCTCTCTGAAAATCAATAAAATCTTTTTTTAAAAAAAAAGGACAGAACAGACGGTATGAGTCACTCGTCCGGGAACAAAGGGAAGGGACAGGCCTCCTGACGTCTCTGCAGAACGGAACGCGTGATGGAGCCGGCCCCCTCTGCCCTCTCCCCTCCTCCCGCCTCAGCCGGGCTGGAATGAAATGGCGTCTGGGATCTCATCGGTCGCACCCTTGACTGATTTATCTTCACCCCCAAGCTGCCGCCGTGGGCCGGACGTGCTCCTCCTCCCAGAGGTAGACGTGCCTGACCATGAGCCCGCCCGGCTGGTCGGCGTTCACCACCAGCTTCACGCAGCTCACGTTGGACCCCGCGGCCGCCGGCAGCGCCTCCTCGTCCAGCTGCCCCTCGCGGAGCGGGCCCAGCAGGACGAAGCTGGTGCAGAACGGGGGCACCCCCTCGGGGCCGCGGCCCAGCTCCACCTGCCCCCTCCGCAGGGCGTGCTTGCCC